TGAGGGACTCAAGGACGTTCGCGCGAAAAAATTCAAGAATTTTTCGAGGCACCGAGGACCGCTGGATCCTCGCGATCGGGATCTATTCCCGATAGAAACGCGGGCGCCCGTCAATCGATCTCCCCACTGCAGAGAAAAATTTCTCCCGCGCTGCTTGGGTGGCGACCAATTGTGTTCAGGAGTCGCGACGACGTACTTCTGTGTGCAGCGATGTGCGGTACGCATCGGGGTGTCACGAAAGAGTGACTTCCTCGTCGGGACGGGAGGAGATTTGTCGAGAAAAATAAATAGGATACGCGAAGGAGTCGCTGAGAGCAGGAATAAACTCGAGAAAAAAATTTAGTTTGATAGAACGTGTGTATATATATTATATATATATATAAATTATATATATATATATATATATATATATATATATATATATTGACTGTTGAGTTTATATCTGATGGCAAAGATGTGCGCAAAAATCTTACATACTTAACAATTGTCACGTATGAAGTCTTTTTGTGTGTATCAAAATTAGGAATTTAATTTGATTAATTTTAAGTTTTTTTAGTCTTTTTGATTAAAAAAAGGTTTTAAAGTAGGCACCAGGTTAAGAAGGAAGGAAGAACAGAAATATTGTATGTATTTTAACAAACAATGTGAGTTTAAGGGTCAAAGCTTACAATTAGATTATGTATATTATCACATTCTTAAATGACATTGAGTTTTGCACAATTTGTTGGTAGTAAAGGATAGGAAAAATATATATATATGTATGTATATATACACAAAAGGTGGAGTATTGCTCAATAATTTTATATATGTATATATATGTATATTTTATATATAATTATATATAATTTTAATATATGTATATATACATAAAAAAGATATTGCTCAAATTGCTCAAAATTTGTAATTGGTTTCATGGATATTATGCTTCGCATTTAACATGCATTTGCTGTACGACATATATTTTTAGTTTTAAATAGAAAAGCACTTTCACACAAATGAGATACAGATTACATGATAAAGTGTCACTTGTTAATTGTTTATTCATAAAATTTCTAATCTATAAAGGATAATTTTGATTATATATATATATATATATATATATTTTTTTTTTAGGAAATCAGACGAATTTTTGCAAAACATTTAACATTGATGAAATAGTTAAAAACATTTTTTTCACATTACACTTGTTACATTTTTATATGATTGAGACAAATTCTTTATAAATTTAGAGAAGCTTTAACAGAATAAAAAAAATAACATGTACAAAACATTGCAGGACCTTTTGCGCAACAGATATCTTAAATGGGAAATAAAATTGATGATTTTGGAAATATGAGGCTATCAGGTATGCAAGAGAGAGATAGAAATTATGTAAAAAAACTGCCTCAAAACCAAGTCTCCAATGACGAGATGACAATGAACGATACTACAAATGATAAATATTCAGAAGATAACACTTTAACAAGAGAAGAGGGTTCCATGGTATCCAATCTTCCTCTTTTATTTGCCAATGGATATCCTACATCTTTGGAGAAATCACAATGGTATGTACAATTTAATTTTTTATCCTTCTTTCTTTTCTGATATAAATTTGAATTATTTTACAATAATTTGTAATTGAATAGTTAAAAATAAATAATGCATGATGACTTAAATTCTGTTTATGGATCCATACACAATATACTGATGAACACTATCCTGCAGGTACAACTGGAACGCTTTATATTGTTTATGGTTCACTGTTCATTAGGCCATGATACCACTAAGGTCATTAATAGACCTACGTGGTGGCCTCAGGATATTAAGTTTTCAAGTCCGTTAACAAGACCTAAAAAGATAAATGATGTAAATAGTCAATTATTATTTAATAATAACATCTATATCTTTAAAAGACTATGAAATATAAAATCATATACAAGGTATTTTTTTTCAAAAGTACTGATCCAAGAATGTCATTTTAGACCTGGATGGCGAATCTGAAGAAATTGGTTTTTCGATGTTACACATATCACAGAAGCGACTATTTGTTACGTTTTTGCTCCTATTTAGCGCAATATCCTCATGAGGAATTAGAATATGTTAATAATTGGGATTCGACAACTAGTCTATATCACAAAAGTACAGGAAAGCTACTAGTGACCTTTCGCAATGAAAATATGGTGTGTATATGTCTGTTTTAAATTCTAAAATTTAAAACAATACTAAGAGATTCTAGAAATCTTTACTGTATTTTTATACGTCATTTTTTTCTATTCAATAAATAAGAAAATTTTCTGCATCCACAGTATTATGACAAAAAAAACGATAGTCCTCGAAGAACATTGTTATCTCATAATGCGTCTTCGTCGGGCTACGGAAACAAGACTAAACAACAAGTCCCCATGATGGTTCAACCACCATGTGATGATATTTATTTGTGCGACAATTGTGATGCTGAATTCATCGGTCTTGCGAAAATGAAGGTATCATATTTATCATGACTTTTTAAATTGAACGTTATATGATGTTATAAAATGTTTAATATACTTTTTTATTTATTAAATAGGAACATGAAAAAAATGTTGCGAACAAGGTGGCAGTGGTTCGCGCGCATCCACACCAGATCTATCTATAGTCGAGCCTGAATTGCAACAGGATCAATTTTTGGAATATTTCCAATTATCTTCAAATAAGACTGAAGCTAAATCGGCTTGTGCAAATGATACGAGTGTTCCTGATAATAGTATTGTTAGACGAACTTCTCGGCGTGTTAGGAGTTCCTTTAGCTTCGCAAGATACGCCACCATCCCATTCTCATCGCCTGCCGGCATAATGCTAACGAAAAATCGAAAGCGATGACCGAGGATACGCAACAGGAACGATTGGATAGAATCGAGAGGCACGTCATCGCGCCTGTACTGAACGATTCGTGCAGACCAAAATGGTTAGACACAACAGTGGATTGTGATAGATGGATAGTGACGTACAAACAAAATCGGGATAAATCGGCAAACGATTATGTGCATCAATATAAATTTGTGAATACTTTTAAAAACAAGCCAAGTATGTATTTTACTGTACTAGATACTATATGTTTTAATATTCACTAGGCATTATATCTTTTTTGCTATTTATTGAAGTGAAGTGCAGAAACTTCCATATACTCTGTACTTTGTCCTGCTTTTTTCTGCTTTGTCCTGCTCTTCTATTATTTTATATTTGCATGGCCACACGACCATACATTAAATTAAAAGAAGGAATGAAACAAATAATCATGCATGTCTATAACTTGTTACTGTTGATTCTTTGTTGATTATTTTGTATATTTGGTATATAAAATATTATGTTTAACTAACCAATTGATCTCACAAACAATCGATATTTTTAATATTTTAGAGTAGTAATGATGCACATTGATTTTTTTATTCAATCAAATATATATGTTGGTTTTCAAATAAATATGAATATGAAAACTAGAGAATTGAATAAACGAGTTACACAATTATAAAACAATTGTAAATGATAACAATTGATTAAGAAAAATGAAAGAAAAATCAAAATGGCATCATCACTAAATTGTTATACATTATTAGAGTTTTGCTATACATTAGAGACAGATTATTCTAAATTAATCGTAATTTGATACACTAAATGTACACAAAATGTGATGAATAGAAGGAATAGATGGTATAAATAATCTACATTTACAAATAAAGTTATGGACATGTATTATTGTATAGTAATGCAAAGAAAATAGTGGGAAAGCAACATAGAATGAAAAATAATTAATTTAGGAAAAAAGTTTATATATATATATATATATGTATGTATATGCAAAGGTGATAACTAGTTACTTAGGTATAAGTTAAATAAGAAGTTAAAAACTGAGCTTAATTAATTTAAAATGAGTTGATTTTTAACTTAAACTAGTTATTTTTAAACTTATTAACTTTTTCTCCTAACTTAAAATATTTTTTCTTTCTAAATGTCATTATTTTTTCTATAAAATTTTAAACATTGGACAATTCAATTTTTAATAACATTAAAATTTATATAAGAAAGAATCATTTTATGATGTATGTAATTTTTTCAAGAATTATGATGTTAATAAAGAATTATTAATTTTATTTTTTTCATAATTCTAATTACAAAGAAAAAATACCTGTATAAAAACATTTTTGTTATTTCTTTATTTCTTATTTTAGAAATGTTAAAAATGGACAAATAAAATATTAAATTTGATAAAACATTAAATGAATTTTAAAGTTACGATATTTTAATTTAATATAAATAATATTTAAAAAATTGAACTTTTTATTTAACTTAATTCAATCTTAACTTTTAACTGAGCTAGTTTTTTGTTCATGTAACTTTTAACGAAAGTAAAATAATTTTATCAGCCATTAACTTCAACTAAAACTTAGTTTAAAAACTAATTAACTTCCCTTGTATATATGTATATTTATGAATTTATTTGTACTTTCATCTATATATATATATATATATATATATATAGAGATAGAGAGAAATATAGTAGAATATTAAAAGTTACAATAGTTATAGTATTAAATCTATCAGAGAATTTTTTTTAGTATAAATATTAAATTAATAAGTATAATATTAAATCTATCAGAGAATTTTTTGAGAAAGCTTATACAATTTATGTTCTCTTTAGTGCTGAGCATACGATCACAACTGCTGTATGCCACATGTCGACCTATTTATGTAGTTCTTACTCGTCTGAGTGAAAAACAAATCGATGAACTAAAAAGGATTCCTCAAAGTATCAATGTCCTCAGAAGAACATTAATGTGCGAAAAGTTTTCTTAATGAGAAGAGTGGGACCAGCTTGCAAGACAAAACCGAAGAAGGCAAGTTGCGAACAAAATGCGTTTATGTCATTGAAACGTAAAGCGTTGGGAAATGAATTGGATCCGATTGTTGTGGAAGATAAGGATGCTGGTATTAGTGTGACAGCAGCTAAAGAGACTCTAATCGCGTTTACTGCCGTGAAATCACCTTCCGATAATGTGGAGAGTGCAAAATCAATCAAGGAAAGAAAATGTCCAAGTACAATAATGTTGGTTGACCTCTGTTCATCGGATGAGGAAGAGATTGATCCAAGTAATCGGGCACCTCGCGACGAAAACACAGATCCCTTGACCACTGCGGACTCCCCAATCGCAAAGTCTCTCCTGCGTAAATTGACATCGAAACAGACTTTACGTGAAACCTTGCATTTACCACGTACCCTTGTCAATAGATTGGTTATCGAGCAACGTATGGAGCAAAGATAAGAATGAAAATGAACATCATCCGTTAATAAACGGATGCACTTTTTTTTCTTCGATTATAGCACTTTAAATAAATCCATATACAATAATAAGTTATTATTGAATTAAACTTAATAGTTCTCATCCGGCTTTTGTACATGTGTTACAGTTCTTACACATTTAATTAATTACTAATTGTATTATTCATGCTAAATTTTTACATGGCTATTCTAATTTCGCTATATTCTTTGAGGAGTAAAAATTGAATTACACATCATGAAATTAAATGGATTAATTGATCAAGAATTATATAAAGTTAAAGAATATACAATATAAAATTGCAAAATATATAGAAATTTGTCACATATACATAATGTACGAAAATATAAATACATATATTAATTATATATAAGTTTATACATTATAAATATAAACTTATATATATAAATTATATACATATAAGTACATATAATTTTTAATATAAAATAAGTTTCCATTTTTTAAAGTAGATGTATTTTCATTCAAAGCTTGTATATATAAAGTTCAGAACAGTATGCGCTTTTTTAATAGTTTTCATAGTAAATATTATGGAAACTTTCTAATTATTACAAGATTATTATTTGGAACTTAATTAGCAATTTTATATAGTATGTAAAGCAATATTTCTCGCTAGGCAAAAAGTTCAAAGATTACTCTTAATTTGTGAAATCACATACAAGGAAAATTTTTGCACATTCTGTATTGTAAAACTTATTTAATAAACAAAGAACTCATGAATATTTATTTAAACGAGAAATATAATACACTTCACATTTATAGTCTTTATTCTTGTTTTCTTTTCATTCTAAATACTTTTTCTACGAAGAAGGCAAACAATTTACTTTTCCAATCCTTCTCGATGCGTTTTAAGACCAATCTTTTCGTGGAAATATTGTGAAGCGGGCCAAATGCCAATGCGACCGCCGTACATGCAAGACATATGACATTGTAAGGCATACTGAAATCTGGAGTCGGAAGACTGATGAGCAAGGACTCTGTTCGCAATTGTACTAAATAGTCGTCTCTCGAAGCGTTGAAGCTGCAAGTTTAATTATGAGAGTTATTATATAACTATGAATTATGAGAGTATTTATACAATTTATCCTGCTTATAACGAAAGCAAATATTTTGTAATTAATTATCGACAGGCAGAGAAATTGTTAAAAAAAAAAAACAGGCGAACCTTGAAGTGATTGTACTTCCATCGAGCGGCAGAGCGGTGTAATTTCTAGCTGTGGGTAACAAAGCCGTAATTATGGCTGGTCCCATGTAAAAACCGTGATTAGCGTCTGGTGGATATTCCTGCCATTTAAGAAATAAGTAATCTATATCGATAGTGATTTTCATCACCGAATACGGAGGTAGGCGCAACATCAATTCTAAATAATATGGGCTTTTTCTTTCCTTTCCAGGTAAATAACGCTGCGCCACTGTAATGTACAATATTATGAATAATGCTACAAAATGTATGTATCGATATTTAACTAATGTTGTAGAGTTTTCATATATAATAAAGTTTCTTTTGTACTTGTATTTGTATTTTTACTGAATTGTATATATTGTATATATATGTTATAGACTATGAATAGATAATAGTCAACTTTATTTAGATTATATTTTTTATTTTATGTATACTTACATGGACGAACTTGTTGTCCTTTTTGAGTTATTGTAACAGAATGAAAGTAAACTAATAAGTACCATGGAATATTTTCCAATAAGATCACGTCTAATGTCTGCCAGTGATTGTTATATAATTTAGTCACTAAACTGCCTCTTTCTTGACCATACCCTACAAAATTATAAAAATTTATTAATATGTATGTGAATGTTTCTTGTACAAATTTATTAAGCTTTTTAAAATAGATTTTCCTATTGTAATAGTCTAGGAATATTAATATAAATTCAACAATCACACATTGAAAATATCACTTATTCATAAAAAGAAAGACTAATGCAACTTATGAATATCTATTGTATACTAAATTGATTGATATTTCAAATTTTTAAGAAAAAATAATTAGAGTTTGTACAACTTTCGATGATTTAATGAGAAATTCAAATTAGTATAAGATATAATTTGTAACAGTTCTTTAAAATTAATATACATATAAAAGGCAATAAGAGCTAATTAAGTTCTTTCATTAATATTTATTTGTGGAAAAAGATAAAAAAATTAAATTTATTAATTAACTGTTATATACATAAATACATTAATAATACAGATTGCTTACTATTATGTGAAATACTATATATATATATATATATATATATATATATATATATATATATATATATAACTCTGAAATAAAATCTTGTTTTATGGCATTTTTGTTATTTTTCATTCTATATCTCCCATTATAGTATTTCACATAATAGTAAGCAATCTGTATTATTAATGTATTCATGTATATAACAGTTAATTAATAAATTTAATTTTTCAAAATTATTATTTTTAAATTATGCATAATAAATACATGAATGGAAAATATTTAGGTGTAAATATAAATTTAATTATAAAATTATTTAAAAAATGAAATACATACCAATAATATATCTATTTGCATAGAGAATTGAAGGATAATTTATAGTATTAGTTGGCACATTATGCCTAGCAGCAATATTAAAAATTCCTGTACTAGTATGAATTCTGACATCATATACTGCTATTTTGCTCTGCTGTCCTCCACGTAAGCTAGTAATTTTTGCACTCGGTGGTGGTGTTAATTCATATACATGATTCGTATTATTACTCGATATATCGACATATATATTACTTGATGTTGCAAGTGGACATGCACCTTGAAGCCCCATTCCGAAAAATTTTCGTATCGACCAATCCTATATGTAAATTAAAAAACCATTAATTATAATCGAGAAAAATAATATATAATTAATAATGATTTTGTATACGTAAATTTTATTTACTTGATTCATGTCTGTCATTATGTCATATATTAAAGAGACAGTCTGTCGCAGTTCTAAAGAAGTACTTGTGCAACTTGTATCACCACATATTGATCGAAAATGTATACCAATAGAATGATAATTTGTATTATGAATATGTGCAGAATTTAGCAATGTTGCTAGACCTCTCTAGAGAAAAAGTTAATTAGTGGTTACAATGTAAATATAATAATATATATGACTTACAAATTTGTGAATACCTTGGAATCACATGGTAACAATTTTTAAATGGTGTTAGATTTTCAGTACAAACTATTTCCTTTGGTAGCGATGAATAACGTAAATAACTAGCATTTGTTAGTTCATTCATAACTAATCCAGTAGGACGGAAGGTAAACTCTGGTGACATACTATTAGATATGTCAATAAAATTTAGAGATGCGCAAAGTAATCCAGCTAAAGCATTTGTCAGACCTTTCCATTCTTTGTCTATGCTGTAAAATATTTAAATATTATATGCTTTAATTTTTTCTATATAATTAATTTCTACATAATTCAATTAAGTCAAACTTTTAGTAAAATTGTTATTCTGTATATGCATTAAAAATTAGTTGCAACAATTCAAAAATTCAATTTCTGGATTCAAAAATTCAATTCCTCTATTATATGATGTACATATAGATGTTAATATATGGTATTTGATATTTTATATATAATTGTTAATTTCTAAATATAAAAAAAATTATAAAATATAAACTGTTTCTTACTTTGTTACATTTTTATTAAACCAGGCAGTAATTTCAGCACCAGGTCCAGCGTCATGAAATGGATATCCCCATTTTTGATAATTCCATAAGCCTTCTGTCAAAGTAACATGTAACTCATCGATATTATGACGAGCTATGATTTCACCCAATCCTCTTGGAAATAGATGCGAATGTTGAACTAAAAAAAATTGTTTTTATGTATTTATTCTATTTATTTATGTATAAAATATAAATACTTTATTTATTCATTTATGTAAATACTTTAAATTTAAACTGCTCAAGAATTAATAACTTACGTGTTTCTATATGCTTATCTGTGTTCCATATCGTGGTGAATTGAAAATAAGCATAAATGTGATTGCTTGGTAAAGGTTTTAACATTAATTCCTCGTCGAAGAAATCATTGTATGAATTATTACATGTTATGATGCCAATCAAACCGGCAAACAATAATATATACGAAGTAATCATATTATTTTAAGATAAGTTACACTGTGATTAGATAATTTCCTTAATTAATTATTTTAATATAACTATATATATATATATATATATATATAAAAGATAAATAACTATTATTTATCTTTAATAAACTGCATTGTTGACATGTACAAATCTATACGATATATGAAGTCATGAAGCATTCGCGGATTCTGCTTAGTCCATGGACTTTTATATTACTAGATGGCTAACTCTTACGAAATGCATGGTCCTTTTTATTCACGCATGTGCAGCTAATAATCAAGTATGATTGGTTAATGTCTCACGGTTTACATCTATTGAAAACTCGACTTAAAAAATATACACTTTTTAATTTAATTAATTTTTCAATATATAAAAAAATTAGCAATTTAGAACAGAGGATATATATATATATATATATTTATATAATACATATAATGTAATATGCAATGTTTATTTTTTTGCTTTATTTATTGAATTAAATCTGTTGTATCTTGTTTAACTTTTAAATAGCTAAATAGCTGTAATATCAAGTTTTCTTAGAATATAAATAGATTATCTTTCCAACAATATAGCGAGATACGAATGTAAAATAATTTTCAATAAATACTACAAATGGAATGCAGAAATGGCACATAAACTTATGCTTATTTTCAATATTGCCATACACTTTTATAAATTAATCATTTTTACACTTTATTAAATGCCGCAATATCGACGCTTTGCACATAATCTTCCAATTCTTGGATTTGTTCCACCAACCAGTCCACCGACACTTTCTCATCTTCCACAACACAAGAAATTTGTAGCTTATGAATTCCGAAGGCGAGTGGCACGAGTTTAGCTAAAAAAAGACGAGTTGGTATCAAATACAAAAATTCGTGGACATAAACGCGATATTAAAAAAAACTATAAAACAACTTACAAGCACCCCAGAGGAGACCATCAGTTTCAATCTTCCGCACTGCAATTTCCATTTCTTTCATGTCCGTCTCATCATCCCATGGTTTGACATCCAAAATAATATTTGATTTGGCTATTAAAGCTGGTTCTGCAATATACAAATCAATAATGTATTTCCTCTTATTAATTTATATACTGATCATACTATTTTATATACTGATTTATATACTTTTGGATTTCTTAGCAGTGTATTCGGCAAGTCGCTCTTCTCTAATTTTAGCAGCTTCTGTATCTTCTCCCTATAAAAATACAATTAACATTTTTGTCCACAACAATAATTATACATTAATAAAAGACGAATAAATTACGGAGAAAAATTGCATTGAATTTATACAATAAATGTGAAAATACACTCACAAATATTGAAAAAAAGTTTTAATATTTTTATTTAAGTATAATATTAAATATAATAATAGTGTTAAATAAAATATCAACATTAATCAAGGCAATGTTCAATTATTTATATGTATCAAAATTAAATTTAAAATATTCGTCTTAAATAAAGAAATCATTTAGCACCGTTGTTATACTATTTTTGTCCATACCTCTGAATCTGAACCAAATAGATCAACATCATCGTCATCATCTTCTTTGCTTTGCTTCTGATGTTTGTCATGCTCTGGTTCCTGGGGTTTCGCAGGACAAACTGCTAAGTAAGGCATGCGTACCTCAAGTCTTTCCACACGTTGCTCCAATGTTTCAAAACTTTTTACATGTTGCATCAATTTTTCAAAAGAATTCTTCAGATCTTGAATAGCTATTAAAAATATATATTTAAAGATTTTTCAAGTCTTAACACATACACATATATTCTTTCAATTATATATCTACAATTATCTATATTTAAAATTGTTTATTGATTAGGAAATGATGGCAATTTATTGGAACATTTTGCATTAATTTATCTTATATACATCTATTTACATCTATCTAATGTAACTATGCAATGTAATGTAATTTAAAATGTGTAACATGAACAATAACAGTTTAAGATTCACATTAATATTTGAAAATGTGTTTTATAATACACATACTTATGAAAATAATTTAGAATAATTTTATTAATAAATAAAAATATTTTTGGATATAGAATTACATAAGTTTTTATTTGTAATTATAAATATATTTTAAATAAACAATGTTTAACTACTTATTTTTGGATATATCCTCTATAGAAGTAAAACATGAATGTAGAAGTATTATGAAAAAAAATAAAAAACTCTAATAAATATAATAAATATTAATAAATTATGTTAAATTGTAAACTTATTGCACTTTTCGTTATTTTTAGTATTTATATAGTTCATATTATTTTATAACTTTTTGAATAATTACAATATTATAGTATACATACTATTTCGCAGATCCTGATTTTCTTTTTCAAGTTTGACAACACGAGGTGTAACATCCTGATTTGCAATATGAGCAAGCACTGCAATATCGTCCATCTAAAAAATATAATTTAATATTTTTAAAATTAATGCACCATGTGTAATATAATAACTATAATTTAATTAGCATAACAAAACACAGACACACACAAGTTAAATGTAATGTTTTTGTTATTAATTTTAGCTATTGATTTGTTATATATAATGAAATGAAATATATATGTATAATATATTTCTGCTACATGTTTTTGCCAGCAGAAAGATTACAGATTGTACACAAAATTTGTTATTACCAGATAATGATAGCAGTATGTGTTAGTAGAAATATTACAAAATCTGACATAATTTGATAGTAGGTCAGTAGCAGAAACAGTATTTGCACAGAATTATTATGAGTGGCTGCAGAAAGCAGGCAAGGTTGCGCATGCATAATCTTATGGCAAATTGGATGGACAGCAAGCACCACTTGGACAGGATCTGCATGTTTCAATTCTTTAAATAAAAATATTTATTATGCGATGTACTTTCTCACACATCTCTGTAAGAAATAAATATAAAGTCTGCAATCTAGCGAGTACTTCTAAAATTTGGTACCATCATTTATATATACATATATGTATATAATTATAATGTACAAGAGATTTTCACATAACTAAAATATTTAACACCGTAATTATTTTATGTAATCTTTTACATAAGATCTTTCTTCATTTAATTAACAGCATTCATTTAATTAACAGTTTTATATTTTAAAATGTTTAAAAAGCGATGAAGGGCATGTGTAAAAATGGATTTTTATAATAACACCAAATATTAATTTTATAAGCTATAAAAATTACACAAGTAAGCAAGAACAGTGCAGTACTCACACACTGTAAAGACTGTTTAATATGCTGCCGAGCCTTGGCGACCTCATTGGCCAAACTTCCAACAGCAGGCAAGATTGGGCAAGTAGATTGTTGAACTCCCTGCGTCCACTGAGATTAAAGAATAAGCTCTAACACCACAGATTGATTACATCAAAATAATCACATGCTATATCTGTACTGATGTTTAACATTAACATTAACAAAACGGCAGATGCAAATATATAAATGCATTTACGCAAATAAAATATTGAAATATCTCTTGCTTTTTCAAAAAATGTTCCTTTATTTTTCTTTTTAAATAATATTTAGAATAATGTAATCAAAAAATGAATAATAGTATATAATTGATATTATAATAATAATTAATAATTGATATAAAAAAGCATTCCGTTCATCATCAAAATATTTATTAATTTTATCACATACGTAAAAGAATGAATGCTCGTTTAAATAACGAAGCTAATTGGGTGATTTTTATTTGATAATTAATCTTTCGTTAAGCATCACAAAAAAAATGCTTCAGGACTCTTCGATTCGTGATTTATTCAAGAATAGCGTTGTAATTGGTGAGTATATAAATTATAATACATTCTGCGTATAAATTAAGTTTGTTTTCATATTTTTTAAATATTAATTTTATATTTTTAATTTATTCTTAATAGTAATAACATTTTAAAGCTTGAAAGAGTGATGACAAATTTCGTCCATTTTTGGGACCTCGAATTTCAAACTTTTTTTCATGGCAAATAGTATTATTAGATGAAACATTAATCCCAGTAAAATTTTAAGATGAGCATAGGCACGGTTCCGGAGATATAAGAAGGAAAGTGATGATTTTTAGTCAGTTCTATGAAAAATTATCACTTTCATCTCTTCATATCTACGAAATCGTGCCTATGCTCATCTTGAAATTTCTCTGAGATTAATGTCTCTTCATAGAGTACTATTTGGCATAAAACAGTTTGAACTTTGAGGTTCCCAAATTCGACCTTATAAAATAGGCGAAAAAACAGATCTTTTTGCCATCACTCTTTGTATTTTAACGTATTTTTAAATATTTTTTATCTTCAAGTTTTTCTAAAAATGGAATAATTTCAACAAAAAAAAAAAGAACATTTTGTAAGTAAAATATAGTTTTTGCGAATTGTTAAAAAGTTTTCGAAATAAATGTTTTATAGAATTGCAGTGTCAAAAGTAGTTTTAAAAAACAAAACAATGTATATTTTAAAGCACAGAAATGGAAAATTAAAAATTTTTTAAAAATAGTTGAAAGAAATACTTAAAGTATAAATTTCAATTTCAAGATGCTCTTTAAATTTTTTGTTTATGATGATTCGAATGGCAACGATTTAAAAATATACAAAATATACAATTTTAAGCGTTTGAAGTGTTTCCAATTTTTTGTTTAGTGTGCATGTATAATTTTATATTTCATTATAAGTGTATTTATCATTTTATCTTTTTCTTGCAATTACATAGCAATGCATAGAAAATAATTATACTATATATACTATATTGTCTATTCACTAAGTATATGTAAGTATTTTAAATAATTACACATAGTTGTATATTTAATATTTTATAAAATTAAAAAATAAATAATAGTTGTCTCAAAGGTCGCTAGTAAAATATAAATAAATAAATAATAACTGAATAAGTCGACCAGACTGGCAATGATTTATTCGATGATTAAATTACATACGACGTTTCGACCATCAATTCGGTCCTTCTCAAGTAAATCTACAAATATTAATCACAATAAAAATTAATATTAAAGATTGTGTTCATATATGCGTGTAATTATATTTATTTAAAAAAATTTTTTAATTTTATATTTTTTAATCTTTAATATTAATTTTTATTGTGATTAATATTCGTAGATTTACTTGAGAAGGACCGTATTGATGGTCGAAACGTCGTATGTAATTTAATCATCGAATAAATCATTGCCAGTCTGGTCGACTTATTCAGTTATTATTTATTTCTTTATAAAATTAAATACTTTAATATATATGAGACAATAAGGGATTACATGTCTCTTGTTACATTCTTTCTAAATATTTCAGAATATTATATCATGCAACATATATAAATATGTACATGCCAATGTTCATCTATGTACACGTATTCTATTGTCTCGAGTGATGCAAATGCAACTTAAGGAACAAAATCACTTTATATGTGTATATTGGCATACGTGCAAAACTGAAAGATGATTAAATTAAATAAAAAATGTTACTTTTTATGGAATAAATTTTGAAATTTCTATATTAACTGCACCGATGTTTGATTTGAACTGATTAATCAAAGCTTGCATAGATATTAGGTATTTTTCAGCAACGAGTCACATATTATGAGTGTTGCACAATGTTGTTGATATAGTAAAATTATAAATTTTTTTAATGTAACTACTCATCGTATTCGATAATATGGATTAATAAAAAAATAGTATAATTATTTTATATTATTTTGTATTTAAATAAGAACTTTCTATATTATTTCTATATCAATCTAATTATTATCATAAGACGAAGTCAATATATAGCTCATTAAAAATCATTAAGAATCATTTAAATTTGAAAAAAAAATATTATCAATTTTACAGTTCTTATAATCGATTTTTTTTACAACAAAACATCGTACGAGAATAATTTATTATATATTTTTGACTATTTTTTATTATATTACGTTTTTCAATCTACTATGCATATAAGGATATATTATTATATAAAGAACCCTCAATACAAATAAAAAATATAGATATAAATAGAATATAAATAGAACAAAGAAACAAAAATGCCATTCTTTTGATTGAAAAATATAATAAATATTTTTTCTGCGAGAAAGAAAAAAAGAACAGGCGAAAAATAGAAAAATTAAATTAACATCAGCCGAAACACACAGTTATCTCTATATCGATATACTAATTAATAATCAGCAAAAATTATGCAAAACATGTACCTGATCGGAAAATTGTTCTTTATTCCTTGTGAATGGCATTGCAGTTTCTTTATTTCCCCCGACATCATTTTCTTTACCTCCCCTATTTTTATTTTTCGTATCTTCTTTGTTCTTTTTTTCTTTAGCTTCTTTCGCATTATACTTTATAGAATTCTCGTTCGAAGAAATTCTCTCTTTTTCTTTCGCGTTATCGGATTTCTCGCTCGTTTTTATGTTTTCCTTATTCTGCATATTACATACATCTATAGTTTGTTTATTAGTTTTAATATTTCTTCTTTGACACATAGAACGTTTCACGTTAAACTCGTTCTCGACAACCAGCTTGTTGTCTTTGTATTTTTCCTTAGACTTCAATGTGTTAATATTGTTTAAATCTTGGCACTTATCAGTTATAGAATTGTCAACCTTAAGTGTGCAGGCTCCCGCAATCTTATGAAACATTACCTTGAAATATATTTCAAGCTATGCAGATATCTAGACTAATATATCAAATAAAAGATATAAGGAATAAAAATAAAATCTTTTCTTATGATGTTTTTCAATATATATTTTTTAAAAATACTTATTATGTAATTATATTATAATTAAGTATTAATATATGTAATATTTAAATAAGTTGTCATATAAGTATTATATATTATATAATTTTATAATTGTGAACTGTTTGATCAAAAAAGAAATATGAAATAATCATGTATATAAAAAAAAACGCTATCATTATCTATTATTATTTTATCATCTGATTTTATATTAGAAACATGTAGAAGTTTGAGATATAGAACCAGGGAAGCATTTAACATTCTCACTGTATAAAATTTCTGCTGACAAGCATGAATGAAAGCATGAATAGGCGAAAAAGATAATTTTGTTAATACCAGATATTCCCGCGTGTGTTAGAAATGTGAATATGTTAGATAGAAAGACAAATATGCTGCAAATGTAAGAGAATGACAAATGCTATAATACTAGTTATAAGTGCTGTATTTGGACTAGTAAATTCTAAAAGTAAATTTACTTGATAAATTATATAAGTGTACTTAAAAAAAATAATAAAATAAAAAGTGTCATTTTAAATTTGTAATTATCGAAGAATTTAAAAATTATATTAATTTTACTACATAATATATATATATGTGTGTACATGCATATATAACAATTAATAAATTCAGTGATTCTTCAAATTTATCTTTAATATGTAATTACAATTTCAGATAATGTACTAAGATTTTGTATTTATATCTTTTGTGAATGTGTATACATATACAAACATTTAAATATGTTCACTTCATCTAACCCTTTATAATAAATCTATTTAATTGAGTGATAGATAATGAGTATAACATTTTTTTTCTTACCTTACTCATTTTTTCAAAATGTAGCCGTTCTGCTTTGTCGTAAGATGGCTTATCAAACCATATATTTTCCTTAGCGAGTGCAGCAGTTGCCAATGTAACAGTTGCCATTGTTTTGGTTTAGTTTTATCAAGTAAAATATTATAATTTTCTGAAAAAGAGATGCAAAACTCATTAAAAAAAGAATCCAATTTGCGTAACAAAATATTCGTTAATCTACATTCTCTTTACATTGTATTTAAGAATCAATTTAAAAGAATAAAAACATAAATTATTAAAATGTTCATATATATTTATTGTATAAAAATACAAATTTAAATATAATAAAACGATCAATGTTTGCTGTTATCTAAATAAAATTATATACATGATCATCTAGATAAAACTTTGTGGCGTCATCTTATCTTATCTTTAAATCGATAATAAAAATATGAATACATATATTTTTATATCCCTTTTATAATTTAATTTTTTTTATACCTGTATTTACATAAGCAATCTTAAAAATTATTATCTAAAAAATTATCTAACTAGATAAATTGTCATATAATTTTAACTTTTATATCTACATACATTTAAAACAAAATCATCTTTATCTTATCTAACAATAAGATAAATTTATATATTTTTATCTCATCTTTATTTAGCTAATTAAAAAAATTTTAAATATATTTTAATTTTAAAATTATTTAAATACAACACTGAAAACAATATATGTATCACCTTATGATAATACTGATAATATAAAAACATTAAAAATTAACACAATTAGAGAAAATTATTAGAATAATAATCATTAAGCCACGGTTTATTTATATCGTCACGTTTAAGTACTTGTAATGAATATGTTTCACGATTTCTAATTGCATCGTTCTCGTTTGTTTCAATTTCTTTTTTAATATCATCTAATAAACGATATGTTACATGTTTCAATTCTTCTGAGCAAACACAAGCATGTATTTCTTTTGGCTTAAAGTATTGTATAAATTTCTTAAGCTCGTCATAAGATGCATGTGTAGAATAACATACATTAAATGTTCTTTCCTTAATATCATCCCACTCTCCAATTACACTTGTATCTTTTTTCCTCCATTTTAATACAGACGGTACAATAGTTAAAATGTTCTCATCTAAAACTTCACTACGACACTTCAAACCTGAACGATCAAACTTATTCATACAAGCATGTATAGATGTAGCCTGTGCATCACACGTAATATGATGTTCCATGGCTTGGATACGACAATAGGTTTTGTACACACAATCCTTAATGTGAATAGGTGTTTTCAATAATTTTGATAATTCTATATAGAGAAACTCTGAGCCATACAGAGCGGAACATTCTAAAACAACAACATTTATTGGATTTTTTTCTAGCCAATTCTTGACAACTTTACACATCACATTTATGGACTCCTCTCTTGTTGGAAAATAAGCAAAATTAGTATCCAAAAATGTTGTATCTAAATACATTTTTGTTAGCTCCTTCGGAAGCTTATTAAAATTTTGATATGAATGTAATGGCGCTATCTTTTTATAATCTATTGGATTAATTCTGAAATCTCCAGTGTATAATACTACTTTATCCATCTGTTCAAAGAGAAACATTACAGAGCCAGGACAATGTCCAGCAGAAATACATGTTACAAAAAGAATGTCAGTCTTTTCATCATTATCTCTGCTTTTATTAACTAGGACTTTCTTATCAACAGCAAGATCTTTTACACAGCTTTCAATTATATTGGAATATTTAGTTTTTAAAATAACTTTACTAATGTGACTGCAATAAAGATATTTATGGCATTGTTGCAAATGTTCGAAAAATTCATAATCTAAGCCTCGCATATGATCGGTGTGACAATGACTAAGAAAATATGCAGAAGAGTTCAAATTCTTTCCGTCAAAACGATCCACCGAGATGCCTGGTATTTCTTCGACAAGTCCGAGAAATGTTGACATTCTGATGAATAAAATGAATTCCTGTAATGAAGAATCCAGGCATCAACCAATCTTATGCAAGCATGTTATATGAATTTGTTATATTTAATTATTTATATCTTTATAAGATATTTCTTTAAAAGAAACTATTTATTCCTATTTGTTTTTACATTTTAGTATGTATTAAAATACGAGTCTTTCCTCAATGGTAAAAGTCGACCAAACTGGCAATCATTTATTATAAATAATTAGTTAAAATATGTTTCGGCTGTCATTGCAGCCCTTTTCACAAGTAAATCTATAAAAAGTTACATAAAAATAATTATAATTTTAATACATTTCATCGCAACAAGTAATTATAAATTCATATACAAAAATATGTTACATACCAAACGTAAATGCATAATAAATTAATAAAGTAAATCAAATTCACTGCATACCACCGACAATATTCACCATTGTTTTAATGAACAATGTAGAATTGACAGAAGTAAGCAAGAAATAAATAGATGTTAACAGTTAGCAAAAATCTTAGTCACTACGCATTAAGAAAATCAAGACAAAATTTTGACTTTGTTATGAGGTTTTAAATTGCGAAAGACACATTAGTTTTGTCTCGATTTTCTTAACGCATAGTGACTAAGATTCTTGCTAACTGTTAACATCTATTTATTTCTTGCTTACTTCTGTCAATTCTACATTGTTCATTAAAACAATGGTGAATATTGTCGGTGGTATGCAGTAAATTTGATTTACTGTATTAATTTATTATGCATTTACGTTTGGTATGTAACATATTTTTGTATATGAATTTATAATTATTTGTTGCAATAAAATGTATTAAAATTATAATTATTTTTTTGTAACTTTTTATAGATTTACTTGTGTGAAAAAGGCTGCAATGACAGCCGAAACGTTGTATTTTAACTAATTATTTATAATAAATGATTGCCAGTTTGGCCGACTTTTACCATTGAGGAAAGATTTTTATTAATTATTACTGGCGAACCTTAAGGATTATTATCTGTTAAAATACGAGATTAAAAATTGGAATCCTTCTGAATAAAAGAAGCAAAGATTCATTTTTCCTAAGCTCACAAAGAAATAGATAATGATGATAAGAATCTGATCACTGATTTTGTTATAGAAAAACTGACTTTTTCTTAAAAGAGAATAAAATTTAGACAATTATAATTTAAAAATAATTAAAATTAAAATACACAAAAAATAATAGTAAACTGATAACCGAGATTTAAAAAATCATACATTATATTTCAATTTGTGCCACGTGCAGCATATCGATCGGCAAATTCATATTTGTGATATACAAATATTTCTTGTGTAGATATTAGATATTTGCAGCAGGACGTTAGCACAAACTGAAGTAAAATTGGATAATTAAATATCTTCAGATATACCTCAAATGACGTCAAAACGACGAAATAATCGTCTGTTCGTCGATGATGTTGAATTTTGTAAGGAAAATGTCGCCAAGTGTACAGACGGAAATCGGAAAGGTGCTTCTAGTCCTAGATGGCCATAAACCATTTCAATCAAGATAAAAAACACAGATCCCTTTTTCACACCTTGGCAGGAAAGCAGAAAACAGAGAAGCCGAAAGTAGCCAATCAGAACTCGCGTTGACAGTAAGTTTACTACCACCGAGTTTACTATCTAGTAAACGTAAAAAGGCGTCGAAAAGTGCACAGTGTTGCCACTTGTAGGAATTTTTCCATATTTGTAGGAATTTTTATTTTTATTTTTGTTTTTTGTGCGTGTACTAATGCGCCCTTTATTTTATTATTATATCTGTCATTGTCAATGTCAATACGGATGAATGTTTATTTTCCCAAAAAATTTGTTTTTATTTAACAAAAATCTACAATATACTATGTAAAAAATAAAAATTAGGATTTTTTTTATTAGATTAGTAAAGACAAGATCTTTTAGATCGGTGGCAACACTGAGGATGCACCTTTTGACATACACTCCGAACCTCGTGGTTCGACAAACACGTTGTGTATTTATCTTTTTTCACGAAGTTTTGTTTGCTACATTCATTCGAGATTTGTGGATGCTATTAAATTATTAAATTTGAAAAAATGGAGAAGAAAGAAACGTCAAAAGTTGTTGCAAATGTTAAAGTTGAGAATTCAACTATGAAGGAGGTAAATTTATTTTTTTTTTAATTATATTTTTTGGTAAATATATATCGAATTTTTTCTATATTTGATAATGTTATTATTTTGACAGATGTGTAGGTGAATAAAGCATCAATTATAAAAGTAATAATTAAGATTATCTCTTGAGGTTATATGAAAAAGATTATCATTATTATTAAAAATTATGCTAATAAATATTCAGTTAATCTGTTTCTGAAATTTAATGAAAATACATTTATTTAAAATACATTGATTTTTTTGCAAATACAAAAATTTAAAAAGTTGAAATCGTCAATAAAGTGAATAAAAATAACAACTGTATTTATATAAAATGTTTGAATAATGGAATATAAGCATACGTTTTGATGGAAATAATGTACAAAAAATTGAAATAATCTGTGAGGCCTTGGTTTGTAAAGAATTTATGCACAAATTTTGTTATAAAAAATTATAAATCTATATAGAAAGATTTTTTTTATAAAATTGGGATGTAATTGTTTAATTATTTTGATGATTGTAGCAAACATGGAACTTTGCTCTTTTTATATAAAAGTTATAAATATATATATATATATATTTTATACTGTACACAAGAGTTTCAAAGTTATTTATTTGATGTTGTCTTAAATATAAAATTTAAATATATTACAGGTTGTAATAGATATTGAGCATCGCGCTGACAATTATGACAGTTGCAATACACTTGTCTTACCTGCGAAGAAAAAGAAAGGAAAAAATGAGAAGAAAGAGAAGAAAGCAAGGATTCAGTTATTACCAAAGAAACGGAAACAACTGGAAAAAATAGTAGAGAAAAAAAAGAAAAAAGAACAGGTCTATTTATTTTCTTCTATATGAAAAAAGAAGGAAAATAAAATATTATTTATTCTAAAATATGTTATTTATTTTATATGCACAACACAGAGAGCAACATTGTTAGAAGATTTGGCAAAATTGCAAGCATCTTCAGATGAGTTACAGCAATATGTAAGTTTAACATCTATGCAAAACAAAGGTTTAAAACGCCATTTTCGAGAATTAGAGATGCCTGTTTCAAAACTGAAAAAAAATGAAGCTGAGAAAAGTGATACATCAAAGACAACTTCCTGTACAAATTCTATCAAAGGCAGCAAAAAGAGAAGATTAACTATTTTGGACCATGCAAAACAAGATAAAACTAAATATGATCCAAATATAATTGGATTTGAGGTACGTTTAGAGCAATTATGATAAAAATTATACATGTGTAAAATTGTGTTACAAATAATAAAACAATATTTTTTTAGTCTAGTGATGATAGTGATGATGAAAGTGATAGTAATAATGAAGATGAAAATGAATCATGTGTTCCTGATAATATTGCTGTTTCCACGATAAATGAAAAAAGTAATGAAACTCTTGTAGAAGAGCCACAAAAGAAAATCGTCCCAACTAAATCTCCGGTACCTAAAAAGTCAGTAGAAAAACAAACTGCTGTCTCTAAAGTTTCCACACCTACTGTCTTTGTGCCTGTAAGTAGAACGCCAGAGATACAAGCAATTAGAATGAAACTACCTATTGTTGCGGAAGAACAAGTAATAATTGAAACAATAAATGAAAATCCAATAGTCATAATAACTGGAGAAACAGGAAGTGGTGAGTAAAATTAGAATTTATAAGAATAATAGTATATGTATGAGAATTATTATTTATAATTTCTTAAATTGTTAATACTATCTAATATTGTTAATATTAGATAACATTATTAGGCTAAACAATTATATACTTTTTAGTTGCACATCTTTTTTTTACTTAATTGATTATATTTCTCATAGGCAAAACAACACAAGTCCCTCAGTTTTTATACGAAGCTGGATATGCTCAAAATAAATTAATTGGAATAACTGAACCAAGAAGAGTAGCAGCGATGTCAATGAGCAAACGAGTAGCTCAAGAAATGAATCTTACTGAAAAACAAGTTTCATATCTAATTCGTTTTGAGGGAAATGTTACTGAGGAAACAAAGATCAAATATATGACTGATGGTGTTTTATTGAAGGAAATTCAAAGTGTAAGTAATAACATATTTTTTATTTTTATAATGTTTTACATTTAATATTTAATTAATTTTAATTTTTCATTAAAATAATTCTAATTTTTTATAAATTTTAATTAAAATAACACTAATTTTAAAATTTTTATTTAATTAATTTATTATATTCTATTATAAATAAAAACTCATAAAATTTGTTTATTATTTAAATACTTTATTTTTTAATTTTTGACTATTAACTCTGAAATTAAATTTCTCTGAATTAATGGCTGTAATTGGTCAAACCTGCTTTATTCAAATACGTTATTATTTTAAACAATCTATCGTGATAAAATTCGGGAGAGAGTTTTATACACATACAAAATATACAGGATGTTCTATTTTATCTATTCGAATATCGTTAAAATTATAGCTGTAATGAGATTTTGTTTAAAGTTGAAAGATTTTGAAGTAAAAGAGTTGATAATCTTGAATTCTAAGATAATTTTTCAAAATTATTTGAAGATCAACCTAACTTTTTTGTAATAGAATCTCTCCAATTTTATTATCTAAATCGAATCCTCGCAATTTGGCATAAAACATTTATAACAGTGTGGACCAAAGAAATAAAACATTGTATATATTAGACTAAATAGAATTCTGTCTTGAATTTTGTTGCAAATTTGAAATTTTTTAAAGTGAGTTTAAAAGACTTTAAATATAGTAATATATATTAAATATTATTTTAAATATTATAGTATTATATAATAAATTAATTTGCATAATTTCTTTGTTTATAGGACTTTTTATTAAAAAAATATTCTGTGATTATACTTGATGAAGCACATGAACGTAGTGCACATACTGATATTTTGATCGGTCTACTATCCAGGATTGTTCCACTTCGTAACAAACGCAATAATCCCTTAAAATTAATAATTATGTCGGCTACATTACGTGTAGAGGAATTTGTAGAAAATACAAAGTTGTTTAAAGTAAAGCCGCCAGTAATTACAGTTGATGCACGACAATTTCCTGTAACAATGCATTTCAACAAAAGAACAAGCGAAAATTATGTCAACGAAGCATTACGTAAAGCAATAAAAATACATACTCGCCTTCCAGAAGGAGGAATATTAATTTTTTTAACAGGTAGGAAATTTATAATTTTATAATCTAATAATATAATTTTAAACTCTTATTTTTTTATAATATATTATAGAATAATAACTATCTTTAACTTTATTCACAGTTTTTTTACTTTTATATTTCTCATAAACGTGGAATGAAAATATTGTATCAATATTACGTACATGTGTTTATTATATATAGATATATATGTATATCTTTAAATATAATTTTTTTAACTTTTTTTATTGCAGGTCAACAGGAAGTACATACAGTTGTGTATAAATTACGCAAGTTATTTCCATTGAAGAAAAATAAATATCAAGTTAAACGAGTAAATTTGGAAGAAAAAGAAACAATGGAAGCAACAGAGAATAATGATCACAGTAATAATGATGAGTTCGATGATGATGATGATTTTGATGCCAAGCAAGCATTACACCATTACAAACAGAGGAGAAAGAAACAGATTATACTTCCAATTATTAATCTCGATGAGTATGTATAGTCATGGTTTGTAATTATTCTAATCTTTGTAATATTACTCTGAAATTGATCTTAAAAATTGTTTATATATAGTTATTCAACAACTCTCACTGATGACACGCACGAAGAATTAATCAATGCACGAAATGATGAAGATAGTTTGGACGAAGATGAAGATGAGGATGAAATTGTTGATTTCAAATCATGGTCAGATGCACAACCATTGTGGGTTCTACCTCTTTATTCTCTTTTACCTAGTAATCAACAAGCTAAGGTAAATACATGTTCTATTTATTATGTATGTGATAAATTAAATTCATTGAAGCATTCTTTTTTAATTAGCAATTATAATTGAATTAATAATGGATTAATTTCCTAATAAAGTATAAATTTCATGGAAAATTGATTTTTTAATGTGAATTTAGGTGTTTGAACCTCCGCCAGAAGGATATCGTCTATGCATAGTAGCCACTAATGTTGCAGAAACATCGCTAACGATTCCCAACATCAGATATGTTATAGATAGCGGGCGTCGTAAAACAAGATTATACGATAAAGTGACTGGTGTGAGCACTTACCATATTTGTTATACGAGCAAAGCAGCAGCTACGCAACGCGCTGGCAGAGCCGGTAGAACTCGACCTGGTCATTGTTACAGGTATCTGATGACCACTAAATTCTGTACATCTATATTTAAAAAATCTTCAAATATGAAAATTCTTTGATCTAAAAAAGATAGCTAACATTAAACCTCTTATTTTTTTCAATACAATTCAATCGAGAAGTTTAGTTTACAGGAAATATGCTTAGTTGATTTATAATTAGTCTTATAAGTTTTCAATATACATGAAAATAAAAGATAGATAAGATCTAAAAAAATGTTCACTAAGAATGAACTTCATGACAAGTTATAAAGATTTATAGTTTGCAAAAGAAAGCATTTGGGGTATATTTTATTAATTCATTTTATTGAATACGAGTAGTTGCATTAAATAATGAAATTTATTTGCAAGAAACAAAATTCATGATTTTTCTTCTGATGTCATAATTTAGTATAATGCCAATAAAGGATCAGGAACTGTAAGACTATGTGTCCTCACTGTAGCTAAATTATTATATCAGAAGCGAGAAATCGTGAATTTTTTTACTTGAAAATCAGGAAATATATAAGTTTTTTGTAAATGCAACCACTCATTTGACAATATAGATTAATAAAAAATACAATCTGTTTTTTTTATTTATGAATAACTATAAATCTTGAACAATTGTCACGAAGTCTATTTTCATTGAAAATGTAGAACAAATATAAATTAATTATAAAAAAATAAATTATATTTAAAAATTTTTTTGGCGAATTATTAATTATTTATTAATGCAGGATAATAAAAAAGAGAATTTTCAATGTATTTTACTAATCCATATAATCAATGAAGGACTGCGATTCTGTAATTTTAATGATAATATTGCTATATATATACACATATATATATATATATATATATATATATATATATATATATATATATATATATATATATGACTCTTGCGCAGATTATATTCATCGGCTGTTTACAATGACCAATTTGAGGAATATAGTCTACCGGAAATTCAAAAGAGGCCAATAGATGATCTATTATTGCAAATGAAGACAATGAATATAAATAAAGTAGTGAATTTCCCATTTCCTACGCCACCGGATGTCATACAATTACAGTCCGCGGAAAGACGGCTTATAATACTAGGAGCATTGGAATCACTTCCGAAGACACAAGGTAATCAGACATGGATATTTGTTATCATTTAGATACTGTTATAAAATGTCTGTAAATCTGTAATTGCAAAATATAAATTGAAGCACTTGGAATTATATGAAAAACACGTGCACGCACATTATATGTATATTTATGTGTGTGTGTGTGTGTGCGTGTATTTTTTTATTTTTATTAAATATTTTGTCTAAACGTATTTACATAAACTCAATGGTTCATTTGTTTAGAATTGTTTTGCGCGAAAGTGACACCGCTTGGACGAAGTATTGCTGCGTTTCCGGTTATTCCGCGTTATGGCAAAATGTTAGCACTGTCACATCAACATAACTTAATGAAATACACAATATGTATGGTAGCAGCTCTCAGTATTCAAGAAGTGCTGATAGAAGCATCTGGCACAGAAGGTTCAGCTAAACATAAATGGCTGTCAATGCGTCGTGGCTGGGCCGGCAATGGCAATAGTTTATTTCTTGGTATGTCATTTCAAGATTATTTTTATTTATAACAAATACAAGAACATTCTTTTGTTATGTACAGGTGATCCAATGGTTTTGATAAAAGCTATCAGTTTGGCTGAGTACGAGGGATCTCAAGGAAAACTGCTGCCCTTCTGTGAAGAGACTGGTTTAAGACACAAAGCTGTGGTTGAGATTAGAAAACTAAGACAGCAACTCACCAATGAAATCAATTTAATTATACCGGATTTAAACCTAATTATTGAGCCAAAGTATGTATATCATATATAAAATTTTTCTATTCTGGAGTTTTTGTATATTTTTTTGAAATTTTTTTATTCTATATCAATTTTTGTTAGATTAAGTTTCTCTTTTTTCTCTGCTTTCCTATTATCTATATTTATTTCCTATACAGAATGTCGCCACCAACTAATATGGAAGCTAAATTACTCCGTCAGATAATTCTCTCAGGCATGGCGGATCAAATTGCAAAAAAGGTTTCACCTGACGAAATAATAGATGAAGACAAGATGAAGTGGAAGCACGCTTATAGGTATGTTGTTAACTATTATCAATGATTTAATTAATTGAAAGCAATTTCTAATTTGTTTTGATATATTTCTTAGGACACCAGAAATGGAAGAGCCAGTATTCATGCATTCCTCAAGTGTCTTGCGAAAGACTAGTCCAGAATGGGTGGTTTACCAAGAGCTTTATGAAACAACTAAGGTGTACATGCGAAATATCACAGCAATACAGCCTGAATGGTTACCAATATTCGCACCTACATTGTGCAATCTCAGCGAACCATTGAAAGATCCACCACCAAGGTATTCTTATAACACAATTGTTATTTTATTTTTCTCTCTTTCATCTTTCTCTCAACTAGACATAAAAATTTATTAATTTATCTTATTGTCAAGTATTATATATGTTTTACTTAATTTCTTTATTTATTTTTATTATGTGATTTTTATAATAGAATCCTTCTATTTTAAACTCGTTCAGACGTTTATTCTAGAATTTGGTTTACTTATTCTATTTTAAATAATATAATATTATGTGTGCATGTGTATATGTGTACATGTATATGCATGTGTTAAAAATAAAACCATGCTTTGCTTCTGTCGTATTTTAATTGTAAACATATAGCAAATCTATTATAAGAAAGTGCAAGAATGGAATTTTAATTCTTTACACTCGAGATTTTTTAATATGAGCAACTAGCAACTTTAAGACATTTTTATTGTACCGTTTTTAAAAACTAAAAATGTTTTTTTTAACAAAAATTATAATTAAAATGCTTATAATTAAAATTTATTTTGTTAATTTAATTCTTTGTGCAATATTTTTTAGGGATGTGCCGGATATCTGATAAATATCCGGTATCCGGCCTATCCGGCTCTATTTTTACTATCCGGCCGGATAGCTGGATATCATTACTATCCGGCAATTTATCCGGCCAAAATTTTATATTAAGTATTAACTGTTTAAATTTTAAATTATAACTATTAAATTTTAACATTTTAAAATTTTAACTGTCTAATAAGCAAATATATAATAATAAATAAATATTTAAATTTAAATATGTTTGATTCTTATGTTCCTAAATATTTTCTAGAAATTATTGCCAGATATCCGGCCGGATAATTAGAAAACCGGATATTCGGTATCCGGCAAATTTAACATCCGGCACATTCCTAATATTTTTTATGTCATGTGCAGATATGAACGAGGAACTGGAAAAATAATCTGCCGCGTATGCGGCACATTCGGAAGAAGCGGATTGAAACTTCCGCCGATGGATATAGAGCATCCGTTGACGTTAGACGGTATCAAGTGGTTCGCATGCTTCTTCTTACAGGGTGAAATATGTCCTAAATTGAAACAATTTGTGCCATCATTACTGTCGACACCAGAAAGCATCATAAAATCCTGGGCCAAGTAATTTATTGTTTTCTGTCTTGATTTTATTTGTTAAATAGATTATGTTAATTTTATGATTTCTCCAGGTTAATACCACGTACTCAAGTGGTATTACAAGCACTACTATCGCACGAAATCATGTCTAAGGATAAACTATTGGAAATATGGAGTTCAGATAAGACATGTGAGATTAATTCACAATATAGTATAATTCATTTATATATAGTAATATTGGTTCTAGTATATATATATATATATATATATATATATAATAAAATTTTAAATGTATAATCTTATAATTGTATTTACATAACAAATTTGCATACATAATATGTATTTGATTAAGTGTGAAATTTTTTAATTTTAGTTTTACTATCACAATATCAAAAATGGCTACCGGAAAACAGACACTCGGAAGTAGCTCTTTTATGGCCACCTGTATAATACGATTTATAACGTTATTACGGAAGAAAAAACATTGAATTAATATACACATTTAACATATATAGTGTATGTGTATAGTGCATATATATAGTGTGTATATATACTGTATAAAATCTTTCATTTTTAATTTTTTATTATTTCCAAAATTACTAATTATTTTTAAAAAATATTTTTAATTGAAAAATGTTTTGAAGGCGAAAATTGTTTTAAGATGACATTATTTAGTCAATATGATTTTGTTCTAAGTGAAGATACACTTTCAAAATTTTAAGATTATTTTTATTTTTTATGTAACGAGAGAGAAGAGATTATATATTTTTTCTTAAAGTTTTTTATTCTCTTTATCATTTTACATATAAAAATATTGAAATATGTTCGAGAAAATATATATCCGTTTATTTCAGTTTCTCGAATATTTTCATATATATATATATATATGTGTGTGTGTGTGTGTGTATGTATGTATATATATATATATATATATAAACAAAGATTATTTGCTTCTTTTATAAATACAAAATACCATATATTAAGAATCTATCGTTTATATGGATAGAGTGTACATAGAATAATGTATATACTCAATATTTATATCTACTCTAGTCAATCTATCTCACCTAGGATTCTAGGGAGATGTTTTTTCTTTTTTTAATGTTTTGAGAAAAAATAAAATAGTCGCACTTCTCTCTTTATCACAACATTTTTTTAATTTTCATCTTCATTAGTAGCATATGATTACAGACAATTAATGTTTAAAGAGTGAATTTACTTGTCATAAAGTTCATATTCATTAGTTTAATAGCCATTATGGAATTTTTGTGTAACTTCATAAGAAATGCAATCTCGTAAAACGATATGCTTGTACAAAAAGCGATCAATTCCGAAGAAAAATATATCGTACGGTATCTCGTACATTTACGGATAAAGTACCGCTAGTCGCACATGTATATATATTTGCGCCTGTATGTGTACGCGGGTTTATGTATATCGGTATACACATGTATTCATCGGTTCGTGCACAGGAAGAGGATGGAACGATGGAAGGGCTAGAGAAAGAAGACAAAAAAAGGATGGAGAAGAGCGTAAATCTGGAGGAAAATAAGGAAAAAGTGAGAGAGATTCGAGCAAGAAGATGAAGAGGAATCGGAAAAAGCAATGAACTATAAATTGAAACTATGTCATGTATAAGTATAAGAACAGCGCTTCAAGAAAAGTATTTACAATTAGATGATCAGTTATCAAGGAAGGAATGAAGAATGCATATCGAAGAGACAGAGAGGGAGAAAGAAAGAAAGAGAGAAGAGAGAGAGAGAGAGAGAAAAGAGATAGATAGACCTGTACACCTCAAACACCGCTATCATGCGAAGGTGGGGATCCGCATACCCTGACCCACAAGTGGCTTTGATCTCTACCCAGTCAGTCCCCTGTCAAACAAGATGAGGAAAGCAATGTGGGTCCGCGCGACGCAACATTGTGAGCATCGCTAAACTCTCTCGGTAAAGAGAGGCCGTTTGACCCGAAACCGCGCGAAAAAAAATAGTGCTTTATCGATCTTGGTGTCTTGCAAATAATTTCTCTCTCTCTCTATCTCTTTCTCTTTTTTTGTTACTTTTTTTAATTGAAGAAATAGGAGTGAAAACAACTGGAGGCAGATTAAAAATGATACTAAGAACCGCTTCTGGAGGCATCTTTCTTTTAGTCGTGCTCGTCGGATCAGTCGTAGGGCAGGATGAGGATTCCTTGGCTAATACCTTCCTATCAGGTAACAAAATAATTCTGCAATTAATTATTGAAAATTATATTATATGGAGAGAAGACAAGAATGTTTTTTCATTAAAATTTATAAGCTAGGTGATTTAAAATTTTATAAGAAGATGATAGAGTTTAATACAAATTTTTGAACAATCTAATTTTTACAAATCAATATTTTTTAAATGTATTGCATTCAAAAATGTTATAATGAGATATTTTGGATATACGTTAAATATTACTGGTTTTATATATAATATACTATATGTGTTTTAATATAATAAAAGTAATATTCAAAATATTGAAACATAATACTAACCAATTAAAAGGATAACATTATTGATAAAGAAAGTTTTTTTTTTATATTACGAAAGTTTTTTCATATAAAGAGAGAAAGAGAAAAAGTTTATAATTGCATGCAAAATTTACAATCATATACTTTGAGTTATTAAAAAGATTATATTTATAAAAATGATAGTGATAATTAAAATAAAATGCAACATGTTATCTGACAAAAAGTAAAATGTTATAATAGCTCAATTTTTTTATAAATCACTATGTTTCTATAACGTAATATCTTCATTATTACACTTACATAAAAGTATTTATTTATTATTATTATGTAATTTATATAATAACTCAAGTAGCAAACATATTATTTTGACATCGAATGATGTCATTAGACGTTAAAATGACGTCAGTTTGCTACTTGAATTATATATATATATATATATATATATATATAATTTAAATAAGTTTTAATTACATAATAATTTCATTAAAATGTCACATACTTAAAATAATCTAGATATGTGCACAGTTGATTAAAACTAATGTTACTACACACACAGACACACACATGTACATACAGATAATTAAAAAAGATTTAATAAAGATGAGGTATACGTAGAAAGAGCAAAAGTATTCGTGAAATTGTATGAAACTGATTTTGTTTCTCAGTATATTCTCTAGAAGAAAACTTTGGCATGCAATTCACATGCTGAAAACTGAAAAAAAGTCGTCTGATGATAGTAACTATTTCAAGAAATAGAAATTCGCAAGCGCGGAGATATGCGGCACACACTTTTACAGGTATAGAATCTGTAAGGATGCGACTGTTCCACTTTTAAGAGTTGTTGCGCTATGCGGATGATGGTCGATTTACTGGCGGTAACACGATGGTCAATTCACCATTGCTATATACTTAGGAAGTATAACCCACTCGTACTTAGTCCGTGTAATGAGCTAATTTTATTTTTATTTAATTTATTTAATATTTTATTTAAGTATTTTATTTAATTTATTTTTTGCTTACAATATCAATATCAGAGATTTTATAATATGACGATTCTAATATTGAAATTCAGATTTTTAAGTGTAATTGAATTGCATATTGACTTAAATGAAAATTGTCTGATGAAAAACTGGATACATTACATTGGGAAAGTCTTTAAATGATATAATTTCAAATATTTATTGCTTTCTAGAAATTATGAAATTAAAAAATTGTGATTATACTTAATGTGAACTTTTTCAACCATATATAAACTTAATTATATATATGTATATATATATATAGGATGTTAAAAAAGGATCAAGTATTTTGAAAGAAGGTAATATTTATCAAAACAAGAAAAAGGTCTAATTTTGGGTTCTATATAATTAATATCTTCAAGATGCAGACTACCCAAGTAACAAACATACGTCACTTTGACGTTTAATGACGTCAATTTGCTATTTGGATATCTTTCTATTTGAGTTTTTTGTCTTTTTCTTATTGTATCAGTTAAATAAAAAAATAGTTTGTATCTTTAAAGACATTAATTGGTGTAGAATTCATGTTAATTAGACTTTTCTTCTTGGTTTGATCAATATTGCCTGCTCTCAAAATATGTGGCTCCTTTTTTAACACTCTGTATATATTATGTATGTATATGTGTAAATATATACAATCGTACACAAATTTTGCATATCATTTGTACGTAATATTTACATTTTTGCACATTATACAGTGAGCGCCAAAAGTTTCTGTACCCCATAAATGATTCAGTTGGATTTACAAATTATTTGCGTATGTGAGAGAGAAAGACAAGGTAGAAATCAACATCCTGTAATTCGTCATTCTTTATATAGTATTCAAACCCTTTATTTGGGTGTATGAATGTGACGGAGAAGTCCATAAAGATTTTAAACACTGCTAATTATTTCATCAGATGTTCAAATTGGTGTCCCGCTATTTTTTTAAATATCCTGCTATAGTGCTAAGTGACTGTAAAAAGTATTTAATTTGTTTTCAAAAATTTCCGATTGAATTTGAAATCTTAGATATTCCTGTCTTTCATATCATCGATGTTTGCAGGTTTCGCCTTATAGATCTTACACTCTTCAAATATTCCCAATAAAAGATGTCTAGAGGGTTCATGTCAGGAGGCCATTCGATCCCGCTTCTTCTATCAGTCCATTGAACCATTATGGAACATTTTATTTAAGAAATTACGAACATTTAAATTGAAGTGAGTTGGAGCCCCGTACTGAAATCAAACATTTTCATAAGCATCTTCGAGCACATTTCGAATAGCTGGTACTACTCTGTTTCTTAATAGATGTAAGTAATTTTCCGCAGTCAAATTTATCCTCACTTTATCCATTTAAAACTTGAAAATTGATCTTGACAATCAGCTTTTCAAGATCACTTTAGGATCATACGACCTTAATTTGCCAATACATTTGTTAAATTTTGAAATTTGTTTAAAATATTTTTACTATCACGTATTTTTCAAGATATTTGACCGGAACTTCTGGTGCTAACTGTATATATTCGTAGATACATTAAAATTTCTAAATACATACACAATTTACATCTTTTGTATGCACACATACACATACAATATATAATTATATATAAATTTATATATGGTTATATATAAAACCACTTCTTTACGTTAGGAAAATAGGAAATTATTTTTTATTATATATTATATTAAATTATTTTTTTATTATCCTTATATAGATTATCAAGAAAAAAAACGTATAAAATATATTTATATATATAATTATATATATTTTTGTATTTTATATGTAATTATATATTTTTGTGTTTTATATGTAATTATATATATACATATTTATATTTAATTATACATTTATAGATTTTTTCCCCGGATGTGTTTATATGTGTTTAATTAGCGGAGTATAATTATCAGTTACAATTTTACACACACATATTTACAGATAATATATATATATATATAAACGAGAATAGCTTTACATAATTGCTCGTCATCGAAATTGAATCACTAGTTAGTCGAAATATATATGACTCCAAAGACGGTTATATATACGCAGTTCGAGTCGAGGCATTCATTAACTATACCGTTATGTTTGTTTGGTCCCCGTTATAACTGCCAAACCAGCCGGGTATTACCTGCGCGAATTTCTTCTTCGAGCCTATATTATATATGACGAACCGTGATAGCATTTATCATTTTTGCGCTTAACTTTCATTTAAAAGTGACATTGATTTTATTACCGTGTTTAAGTTTCATTCAGAGGTGACGTCTCTTATTAACATGTTGCGGTGCGCAGACGTTCACACACGATTCAATCGCCACATATTCACTTTTACTTGATAAATAAATGTTCAGCAATTACAGATGTCATTTCGAAAATGGATTTAATATTATAAAATTATATAAAAATTAAAATAAGTCGATAAATTATGTAATAGAAATTTATATTCACACAAGACATATACGTACATATTTAAACAATCTAAAGATCAAAGAATGAAAAAAAATCTAATTTTTAAAAATCTAATCTTTAAAAATAAATAGGAAAAAATATAATGTAAAAATCAATCTATTTTTCAATTGCATTAATGCAAATTTTTAAATCTTAGGGGAGAAATATTTAAGTTTTAAATATTGAAATAAAAACATTTTAACGTTATCTCTTTCTCTTTGTTAATATTTGTTATATAAACAGATTAATATTATATTTAATTTTTATATATTAATAAATATATTTATATATATATATATATATATATATATATATATATATAAAGTTGATAAAATTAGGAATTTTGTAATATATATATTTTTCTAACTATAATCAAAATTTAGGAATGTTAAGAGAAATAAGGAACTTTCGAATACTTCTATTCTCCTTACTTTGATAAAGCATCTTTGTAAGAAATAAATAATAATATAATGTATTTAAATATTTTGTATGTGCGCAGGATTTTTAAATTCTTTAACAAGCACGGCGAAAATCGCCGAGTGTCCGGGAGTATGTGTACACGCATTGGCAACTTTAATGTGCGACGATGTTCTCGAAGACGTCCAATGTCCCACGAGCAGTATGCGATGCTGCCTTCAGGATCCGATAAATGGCACAGAATCGTCTTCCGAAAATGTCATCGATTACGAAGGGCCGATCTCGGCCGTATCCACGACAATCAAGAACACTATGATTCCTTCTACGACGACACCCACGACGACCACCACGATGCTCGACACGTCGACCTCGTCTACTTCAGTAAAAACTATGATGGTATAGTCAACAGATTTGATGTTTGAAAATAATTGGGTTGACATGCTGAAAACTCTGCTGTAGAAAGTTATTGCTAAAAAGTAAGATATATTGTTGCTAATATAAAAACAAGGATAATTTCATTATTTCACTCTTTTATCAAATTAAAGCTTTTAATACGCTTTATTAATAACGATATATTTTCTGTGTTCAAAATTGCTATGTGTTATATAATTTATATTTATACATTTTTGTCGGTTTACAGGAAAATCATAATGGGACGAATGAGAAGTCATCAGGTACGGAAATGTTTTGTAAATTATATCTCTTTATTGTGAGATAATTTTTATATCTCTCTTCTAGAGTTGTATAGCATCTAACTTATTTTATTGTAATTTAATTTAGTAGTCTTTGCGTTAATATTTAATTTAAATGTCTTTGATTTTTCTCTATTTTTCTTGTCAATGAAAATTACAAGTTTGCCAAACAAAATATTTGAAAAGTAAATATTTTATTGGACAAACTAATGTAAAATCAATTAAATTAATAATTAAAGAAAAATTTATTGATAGATAGTAATTATTTCTTTTAATAAACACAGCTTGGATGATTTTTATTTTATCTTAATATTGATTTTGATCTTTAGAAAGATCAATGATTTTTAAGCGCTCTTTTAAGAAATTATGAAATCATAAAAATATCAAGTCAAATAGACAATTATCTTTTAATAAATTCTGCAAGTTTTAAAATAATATTTTATAAGTTTATCATTAGTTTTCAAAAGTATGCAGTATACTATATACTAATTTTCCTTAAAAAATTAAATTATATTTTTAATTATATTTTATTTTGAAAATTTTGATTTATATTGAAATATAGTTTCAGCAATTATTTTTATTTAAATTTTTAATTAAAACAAATATAATTGCATATTTTTATACAATATATAAACATAAGAAAAAGAATGTTTCTTTCTGTTATTATCTATATGTATTAACTTATAATTATAAAAGATATATATTTATCATTATTTAATATTATATTTAATTTTTATATTTATTAATATATTTAATATTACATTAAATATTAATTATTTATATCAATATATTTGATATTATATTTATATAATATATTTATCATTATTTAATATTATATTTTATAAAAAAAGTTATACATTGACAATCATTAATTCATTTTCAGTGAAAACTTGTTCGGGTATCTGTATGGCAGAGAGAATCGCGGATTATTGTGACGCTGTCTTGATAATAGAGACCCTTTGCAAGCCGGGCTACAAGTGCTGCGTGTCGAGGGATGCCTTCGGGGATTCTCCACCGCCCGAACTACTGGTGATCGATCGCACAAATTCCTCTCGTTACAACGAGAAAAACGGTAGCGGAGTTTACAGCGAAATTTCATCTCCATCGACGACGATGCGATCAAACGTCTCGACTGATGTCTCTGCAACCGTTAGCATCACAACGATGACACCGATGATGACGACAGCGACGACGATGATGACTACCAAACAGCCGTCGACAACAACGAGGCCGAAACCGGTGCTGCTGAAACCGTGCAAAGGAAAGTGCACGAGTGGTTTGTCCGCGCTCTTTTGCGATAACATTGATGGAGATGCTGATTGTCCTGCTGATGGATCCGTCTTGACAGTTTGTTGCATCGAATTGCCACAACAAAAAATAGTAATAACATTTAATATTTAACGAAACTTCACTCGTTCTAATGGCCGCTAAATTATCGCGGGTGCCCACAGGGAGGATCCCTTGGAATCAGTAAAAAGAATTAAGCATTTGCTCTCCTTGTGAAGAAACACTGGAATTTATTTGCAATCTTATTTAATATAATAATATTAAAACAATAAGATAAAAAAATTAAGAAGGAATAACAATAGGAAACAAAAAAAATTTAATTATGCCTCTCCCTGGAAAAAATCTTGCGGACACCCATGGTCCGAGGAGAGAAAACACACGCTAAAAATTCTTAGATGTTATTTTGAAATAAAGAGTTATTTTGATGAAGCAGTACTTCAGGTAGCTTTAGCACACTCTTAAAATACCTCGAAAACTAGTCTTTTCCCTTTATAATCAAACAACAACTGTAAAATGACCATAATATGAGTCCAATCTGTCTAGTATATCATGATCATTTAACGGTTGTTTGATTAACTGTCAAGGAAAAAGTAATTTTCGAGTTATTTAAAAGTGTATTAAAGTCACCTGAAGTAGTGTTTCATCGAAATATCTTTTTATTTAAATATGGCATATATGTATATCTAAGAATTTGCAGAGTGCTCTCTCGTCTCTGACATCACAATCTAACATGAACGCAGGAGTCTTAATAACTTGCATTAAATAATCAATATTAGTTTTAAAAACACTTTATGAAATTATTTTAGAACATATTAATTAATATAGCTTAGTTATTTTAAACTCGTAGCAGTATAATATATGAAATATACTATTTTCTTTAGGAAACAACAACGACAATTCGACCGTCTACAAAGAGTCCTCAACCGAAGTTACCGCCATGCCCTGGCTTTTGCCTGATGATAATTATGGCAGCTTTTTGCGAGCGGCCAAATGTGATCATAGCTAAAACATCGACCTGTCAGTCTGGTTCCATCTGTTGCGATAATACAAAAAGTCCACCACAGGTGATTCACTTTCTGCAGATTAAAATCATCCATATGAGTGATTATACAATTCAATAAAAAGCTCAACAAAACATAGTTCAACAACACACAAGACGAAGAATAATCACTTTCTGCAGTGAATTTTCTCAAGTTCTAATGCAGTTGAATTTTTATTTTTGACGAACGAACCATCCACAAAAGGTTCTTAATTGTCCATTTTTTTATATATACAAGATGTTTATTTAAAATTTTGACCCTATTTTGACAAGTGATTAATCTTATTCTCGTATTAAAATAAATATCAAAATAATATAAAAATAATACAAAAATAAAAATATAAAAATAATAATAAAAATAAATAATATAAAAATAATAGGAACATGTTATATAAATAATATAATGAAATATATTGGTTTTTTCATTATTTAGACGTCGAAACCAAAGCCGAGACCTGTTTCGCGACCACCGACAACTATATCGTTACCACCAGATCCACGCTCGGAATGTCCTGGTTCCTGTATTGTATCTTATTTATCATTCACTTGCTTCAGTGAGTAGTAATCACACGTGAATAAAATGTGAATTTTGTATTTTTCATAAAATATACATCTTATATATATTTACAGGAAATGCCGAGCTAACAAGTTTATTTAAGTGCAAAAAACAGGGATATCAGTGCTGTGCGCCGAAATCTTTAATAAAGGAATTACACGATGGAAATTCCACGGAACCGATTCTGACTAATAGGAATGATACATCCTACGTAACTTCCCGACCGTACACCACTCCGTTTACTACGTCAATCTGTAAGTAATTCTTTTGATCTAGTTTTCTAGTTTATAATTATTTTAAGACTCCTGGCTCCTTGCCGATTATGTTGGAATTGTGACGTCAGAGACCGAAGAATCACACGAAAATTCTTAGATATTATTTCGAAATAAAAAGATATTCTGTACTTCAAATGGTTTTAGCACATTCTTAAAATACCTCGTAAACTACTCCATTTTCCTTTATAATCAATCAGCTGTAAAATGACTGTAATACGAGGCCCAGTTTATCTGGTCTTTGCACATGTGCAGTTATTCCGCATGACAAAGTCTGACATCACATCATTTATGGTTGTTGATTGATTGTCAAGAGAAAAGAATAGTTTTCGAGGTATTTTAAAAGTGTGCTAAAGCCATCGACATGTCTTTTCATTTAAAAATAGTATCTAAGAATTTTTAGCGTGTGTTTTCTCGCCTCTGACGTCACAATTTAACATCGCGGCGAAACTCAAGGAGTCTTAAAAAATGATAAAATGATAAAACTTAAAAATTATAAGGGAATATGATTAGTTTTTAAAAATTAACTATTACCTAATCATGATGAATTAAAATCTAAATATATTAAAAAATCATCAATTTTGTAGATGAAACAACAACGATTACCACTACTACCAAAAATCCAGTGTACAGTAAATATGTTTGCGGCGTGAAGGGAACCTCTCGTGGCCCGATTCAAGCACGAAGTTCCGAAAGAGTCGCGCGTGTTGTAGGCGGTGAAGACGCGGACGCTAATGAATGGTGCTGGCAGGTTGCATTGATAAATTCTCTCAACCAATATTTATGCGGAGGAGCACTGATAGGGACGCAGTGGGTCCTCACTGCAGCGCATTGCGTCACGAAGTAAGTAGCTACACCCTACACAGCATATAATATTGCAATAATATTACAATATTTCAGTAATATTAAAATGAGAATAAAATATTACTAAAATATTACATTGTGATATATGATTTTAAATATGCAGTGTAACATATGATTTTTAAATATTAATACAATATTTTACAAATATTAACTTGTGATATATTATTTTTAATATTACTATTAATTATACATATGTCTATCGCATATATAATGTTTATACAATATCTTTCACACGCGAAAGACGAATTAACAATTGAGAAAAGTATGAAAAAGTGTTCGTTTTCAGTATCGTGAGATCCGGCGATGCGATTTATGTGAGGGTAGGTGATCATGATCTAACTCGCAAATACGGAAGCCCAGGCGCTCAAACTTTGCGCGTCGCAACGACCTATATTCATCACAATCATAATAGTCAAACGCTCGACAACGATATTGCTCTACTGAAACTTCACGGTCAGACAGAATTGAAGGATGGAGTTTGCTTGGTTTGTTTGCCGGCACGAGGTGTTAGTCACACAGCTGGCAAAAGATGTACAGTTACTGGTTACGGATATATGGGAGAAGGTAAATTATGCATATGCAGGGTGTCCCATAGAAAATTGCTGAAACAATCAGCTGTCATTTTTTAATGCATGCAGTTATTGAGAAAACAGAAATTGTCTTGGAAAGAGGAAAGTCTGCAGTTTTTAATGGATATAAATAAAATGTTTGTATACCAGTTTATTTTATTGAAAAAAAGTAACGGAAAAAGTGCTAATAATCACATATGTAAACTAATGTCAAATATTTTCGAAATGCGCACCATTTGAATTTGTACAAAATTCTATTCTTTTACAAAAATTCGTAAAAACTTTTTCTAACATGCCATTTTTAATGTTATTGACGAACCTTTTAATAGCTGCTATTAAATCTGGCACTGTTGAAAATATTTATATTTAGTTTATGTGATTATTAGTATTTTTTCATTACTTTTTATCAATAAAATAAACTGGTATATAAACATTTTATTTATATCCATTAAAAACTGCAGATTTTCCTCTTTCCAGGACAATTTTTATTTTCTTAATAACTGCATGCATTAAAAAATAACAGCTGATTAGTTTCAGTAATTTCCTATGAGACACCCTGTATGTATGTGATAATGTATTTTTTCTAAAGAATGAATATCATCTGTATGTTACTGTTGTGCAACATATACATTGATTTTATAGCTGGTCCTATACCTCTTCGAGTTCGCGAGGCGGAGATACCTATTGTAAGTGATGCTGAATGCATAAGAAAAGTAAACGCCGTAACCGAGAAGATCTTTATTTTACCGGCCAGCAGTTTTTGCGCTGGTGGCGAGCAGGGAAATGATGCATGTCAGGTATATGATCATCATAATTTTATAATATCGAAAAGAGAGAATATTCAATATACAGGCTGTTGAAGAAAAAGAAAATATTTTAAGAGGATTTAGTACATCTCAAAATAAGTTAAAGTCTTAATAAATATGAGTAAATGAGCCATTTTTTAGATATTTGCACATTTACCCATATTCACATGAATAAAATAATAAAAAATAAAAAAAAATATATAAAAATAAAAATTTTCTAAACAAAATAAAAATTATACAATAAAAAAGAATCTAAAAAATAACATATTAAATCTCCTTAAAATATTTTACCCTTTTTTAAAACACCCTGTATATACTATATATATATATATATATATATATATATATATATATATATATATATATATTTATTTATTTATTTATTTATTTATTTTTTTATTTTAATATTATTAAATTATTATTTTAATTAATATGAGATTAATATGATGATTATATGAAATTAATGTGAAAATATACTTGCAATTATAAATATTGTTTTGACGCAAGAATGTTTTGCAAAAACTACTCTTTGAGATAAAGAATTAATTATACTTGTCAATATTCAGGGCGATGGTGGTGGTCCTTTGGTATGTCAAGATGATGGCTTCTACGAGCTTGTTGGACTGGTGTCTTGGGGATTCGGTTGTGGTCGCCAAAATGTACCTGGCGTGTATGTAAAGGTCTCCTCGTACATCGGTTGGATAAATCAGATTATATCAGTGAATAATCTGTAACTATATTTTGTAAGACGATCGCATCGAATACATTTGATTTACATATTTTTATTTATTGATGGAAGATTTACCTTCAACACTATGCACGTATATGCACGATAAAAACATAGCAAGACAATAATCCGTAGACATTTAGAGATAGACCCAGCATTAGCTGTATATATCTCTATCTGGCATTACAAACATAATATATACTTGTTGATATATTATTTTGTCCATTGACAAAATTTATTTTTGTATTGCTATATATTCCAAAGAGAGATATATTTTGACAGACGAGGAAAGAGAGAAAGAAATAAAACAAGAGAAAGAAAATTAGATTATTTTATTTTTTTTATCTGCGCAAATCGAATATATACAAGTTATCAATTGATATTTATAATATTTCCTATCCATATAAGTTTGACTTTTGTTTCAATTGTAAAAATCATATATTTATTTGATATATAATATGTATTATAAATATATAATATATATTTTTTATATTATAATATAAATATATGATACTCGCGTATATATTTTATATCATAAATATATATTACATTATAATATAATATTATATATATATATATATATATATATATATATATATATAAAATTTTATTTTGCACAATTTTTATATATTTTTTCGCGCTTCTAGATTTGAAAATATTACTAATTAAAATCACTAGAAAACAAGCTCTGCTATTGGATATCGAATGTGCAATGTGAATCCTGCATCAGGTCATTAGACGCGAATTGAAGACTTTGATGGAAACTGGACCATAGATACTACATTTGGATGTATAAGCGCGAAAAAGAGAGTTTATGTCTATTATCAGGTTAGAATGTGAGAAATTATATACACGAAAAAACTGAAAAGGAATGAAGTGTGAATGTACATGACTTTTCAGAACTATTTTGGATTGGATGATTATTTCCAAGCCTTAATTTGAAGTGCAATACAAATTGAATATAGAAACTACTATTGATATTTTGCACATGAATATTGAAAATGGAAAGGATGATGTTATTCTGTAATTGACAGAGAGATATTATTTTCATTCTCCTTGGACTGATAAATATATATTTTCACGAAATTTTACTGAGTACACTATGATAATTTGCAAAATATGACATGTAGTACTCTGTCAATATTAATGATAGTATGAAGCTGCATATATGTTTACTCCCTTTGTTATTATTATTTCATATATTGTGTGTATCAAGTCATTTAAACAGCAACTTTATAAAATATGATAACGTTACCGCCAAATCTCCACTGTATGATGTACCTATATCTTCAAGCACTTCTTGTTGCAATGAGCAAGAAGTGAAAGTCACATTTTCTTCTAGCATAGTTGAGAATGAGTATATAGTTAAATTTAAGGATTATTACAAGGCAGATGTACGGGAGAATTACATAAGAACTGTGCTAAGCTCATTTGGCATTAAAAACTGGAAAATTATACCTCGTAACAATGCAGCATCTAAATATCCCAGTGACTTTGATATCGTGCTTTTGAAAGAAATAGATCAAGACCAAGCATTAAAAGTACTAATCGATCATCCACTTATTAAAACTGTGACACCTCAAAGACTTATACAAAGAACATTAAAGTTTGTTAATACAAATGATTCTTATGTCTTAGAACATAAAAACTTCAAAAGAAGAATCAATGATCATTCTTTTTCTCATGTAAGTTGTGTATTATAAATGTTTTGAAGTACTATGTCTAATTGAGAACTTTTGTATATATAAATTTCAATATTAAATATTGAAAAAATTTCAGAAAATTCAATCTAGACAATCAACGAATCGACATACAGCTAGAAGATTGTTAAGAGTTATACCGAGACAAATTACAACTATACTTGAAGCTGATAAATTATGGAAGAAGGGCATTACTGGAAAAAACGTAAAAGTAGCAATATTTGACACTGGACTTGCTGCTAGTCATTCACATTTTAAAAACATTAAAGAAAGAATAAATTGGACAAATGAAAATACTCAGGAGGATGGTCTGGGTCATGGCACATTTGTAGCAGGTGTTATTGCATCGTCTTCCGATGATTGTCCAGGTTTTGCTCCAGATGCAGAGCTTTACATTTTTCGTGTTTTTACAAATACTCAGGTATTTCTTTCTTTTATACATTTTGTTAATACTTTTTTCATTGACAGGATTATTTAAAGTATATAAGCACATAATATATGACAATATAATAATATGACATACAAAGAATGATTATCATAACGCTGTTATAATATATGTATATTAATATTATCTACAAATATGGCAGGTATCTTATACTTCGTGGTTCTTGGATGCATTTAATCATGCTATATTTCGTAAAGTAACAGTGTTAAATCTAAGCATTGGTGGTCCAGACTTTATGGACCAACCATTTGTTGATAAAGTATGGGAAGTTACAGCTAATGGTATCATTATGGTATCAGCAATTGGCAATGATGGACCTCTATATGGGTAAATAAATTAATATTACAGTTTTTATATATATCAAAATATTAAAAAAAAAATAATTTAAAAATTAGACGTTTATATCAAAAGAGGAAAATTGCTTTTGTCTCCAAAGTAACTTCGACTTTATTAACTAAACATTTTTTAAATTCAGTTTAGTGAATATTATATATATATATATATTTTCTAAAGCTCTGATGAATATGCCCTCTTTTTTTATTGCTCTATATATTTAAAAATATATCATGCTATTTTCTTTATGTAGCACCTTAAATAACCCTGCCGATCAAATGGATGTTATTGGCATTGGAGGCATTAATTGGGATGATCAATTAGCAAGATTTTCTTCGCGCGGTATGACTACATGGGAATTGCCATATGGATATGGTAGAGTTAAACCTGATCTTGTCACATATGGGTCTGGGGTAAGAGGATCCGCTTTACAGAATGGATGTAGACTCCTTTCTGGTACTTCTGTTGCTAGTCCTGTTGTTGCTGGTGCGGTTGCTCTATTAGCTAGTGCATTTGTACAAACAAATGAATCTGGATTCATTAAGAAGGTAATTAAGAAGGAGATGCAATAGTTTTTCATATTTATAATTGAACATACAGGGTGTTCCATAGAAAATTGTTGAAATTAATCAGCTGTCATTTTTTAATGCATACAGTTATTGGGGAAACAAAAAGCAGCTTTTGTGTTGAAAAGAGGAAAATCTGCAGTTTTTAATGGATATAAATAAAATGTTTGTATACCAGTTTGTTTTATTGAAAAAAAGTAATGAAAAAAGTGCTAATAATCACATATGTAAGCTAATATTAAAGATTTTCGAAGTGCATACCATTTGAATTTGTACAAAATTCTATTCTTTTATGAAAACTCGTAAAACCTTTTTTAACGTGTCGTTTTTAATGTTATTGACGATGCTTTTAATAACTGCTATTAAATCTGGTACTGTTGGAAATATTTATCATTAGTTTATGTTATTTTATGTGATTATTAGCACTTTTTTCATTACTTTTTATCAATAAAATAATGACAACTGATTGGTTTCAGCAATTTCCTATGGAACACCATGTATAATTATAAAATAAAACTATTGTGTGCCCTATGCTTATATGTAATTATGAATGTTTCTAAGATAACACCAGCGAGTATGAAGCAAACCTTGATAAATTCAGCTTTCCGCTTACCTGGAATTAGTATGTTCGAGCAAGGCGCGGGAAAATTAGATCTCCTGCGAGCATATAATTATTTGCAATCATCCGTATCTCCTGTTGTTACACTCTATCCAAGGTAAACTTTTTTTAAATATAGAAAATATAGAAATATTTTATCTTCTTAATTATTTGATTTACTCTAAATGTTAATTTTCTCTTTAAAATCAAGTATTTTTATTTAAAACTTTTGATAAGATCTATATAAAATAAATATAATAGTTAATAATATAATAATTAATTAAAATAAATAATATTAAGCAACTTTTCGTTAAATATAGAAAATATGTATTTCGTCTTGTTAATTACTTGATTTACTCTAAATGTTGAATCTCTTTAAAATCAGTAGTTTTTATTTAAAACTTCTTGATAAGATCTATATAAAATAAATATAATAATTAAGTAAAATAAGTAATATTAAGCAATAATGTAAAACCATGATTATATCAACAATGCAATAATTAATTTCTTGTTTTCTATTAAATGACTAGTTACATAGATTTGACGGAGTGTCAATATATGTGGCCGTACTGTACTCAAGCTATGTACTATACTGGTATGCCAACGATAATCAATGTGACTATAATAAACAGTTTGGGTGTAGCTGGAAATGTGGTAAATCTTACGTGGCATCCGTATGCCGGCAACGGCAATGGTGAACGTATTGATGTAGCGATAACGTATAGTGATGTTTTATGGCCATGGACAGGCTGGTTAGCAGTTGCTATAACAGTTCCATCGACGTCTCACGACTGGCAGGGCATCGTAAAAGGTTTATAATCTGATTGTAATTTTCTAGCAATTCAATGTTTGTATATTACAGCAGATTGTTTTTACAGGCCATATTTCACTCACTGTTGAGAGCGATGGAGCAGGTAAACCACAACAATCGACGGTAGAGCTTCCATTACAAGCAAAAATTATACCTACCCCTCCTAGATAGTAAGTACATATAATATGTATGATATATATATATATATATATATATATATATATATATATATATATATAATTGAATTATATTGCTACTTTTGAACATATTTCATAACATGTTCTATATGTTTAATTAATTATTCATACTTTTTTCTCTCTCTGCCTTTTTTTCAGTAAACGCATTTTATGGGATCAGTATCATAATTTGCGGTATCCAGCTGGATATTTCCCCAGAGATGATTTACGTGTAAAGAATGATCCGCTTGACTGGAATGCAGATCATATACATACAAATTTTAAGGATATGTATCAACATTTGCGTAACGCCGGATATTATCTCGAAGTGCTAGGCCATCCATTTACTTGTTTTGATGCAAAGAATTATGGTACTCTACTTATTGTAGATACAGAAGAAGAATTTTTCCTGAAGAAGTATACATTATTACCATAAAATATCATATATATTTTTGTGCTGTTTACATATATACATATTAGCATAATAAACTGTTTTCAATTGCAGGTGGCTAAATTAAAGCGAGACGTGGAAGATGATGGTCTGTCGGTAATCATTTTTGCAGACTGGTATAATACAGCAGTCATGCAAAAGATCAAGTTTTACGATGAAAATACTCATCGGTGGTGGATACCTGAAACGGGAGGTGCTAATATTCCAGCGTTAAATGATCTTCTTTATCCTAATTGGGGTGTGGCATTTGGCGATCAAGTACGAAGTGGTCAGTTCACTCTTGGTCAACATACGCCAGTTATATTCGCGTCAGGGACTACAATAACTAGGTAAAGAATATAATTTTGAAACAAAAAACAACCAGGGTTGGGTAAGTTAATGATTTTTTAAAACTAAGTTAAGTTAAAGTTATATGTATAGTTGCTTATAAAATTAATTTAGTTAAATTAAAAGTTACATGAACAAAAAATTAGCTCAGTTAATGTTAAGATTAAATTAACTGAAGTTCAATCAAAAGTTAATTTTTAAAAACATTTATATTAAATTAGAATTTTGTATATTAATTCTTTTAAAATTTATAATAACATAACAAAGAAATTTTGATTTTTATATAGAAATATATTTTTTAATCATTACAATTGATGACGACATACAATTGAACATAAAAATTAATAATACTTTAATTTAAAAATAATACACTTATAACTTATAAAAAACAATAATACGGTATTCAGAGATTTAAAAAATTTAACTTAGGAAAAAAATTAATAAGTTTAAGGGCAAAAATAACTAGTTGAAGTTAAAAATTAATAGATTTTAAATTAACTAAGCTAAGTTAAAAGTTATTAATTTTTTAACTTTTTTTGAAACTTTTAACTAGTTATTATCCAACCCTGAAAACAGCTTTCAAAAATGTCTATACAGCAAGATTTTATATACCCAGATTTCCAAAGGACGGAATCGTTTTATATGCGGAGTTACATGATCAAGGCCAGGAATTCCTGGAGAAAGAATCGGGGACATCTACACTTGTACCAATTCTTGGACTTTTACAAATTATCAATGAAAAATTTACTGCATCATTATATGATATTGAAGAAGTAGACAATGATCAAACTAATAATGAACCAGCTAATAATAATGATAAAGAGAATTACGTCAAAAAACAGACGAATACTATGCCCGGCAGACTTGTCGTTTATGGAGATTCAAATTGCATTGATGACAGTCATTTACAAAAATGTATGTATAAGAACAAAATATTAACACTATAAAAAATCAATATTTAAAAAATATTAATATTAAATAATATTACATTAGAGATAATATCTCGTTTTAATTCTTTTAAATATTTTATAAGTCTTAAGTATTTTTTTGCAATTTTATATATGTATAGTCTGGATATTTCTTACTAAAATATTGTTATCCATATTTAGCTTGTTTTTGGATGCTTGATGCTATCTTAGAATATACAACAACAAGTTACATACCTAATATTTTTATGAACGAAAATCAAAGAAATCACAAGACTGTTAAAATCACTAGTAATATAGAGATTGGAAAGTTACCACTTCGAATGGAAGGAAATCATTTTAGTCATCATAGTAAAGTGTTGATGACCAATAGGCCAGCAGGCACTTTCAACCCTCTTCCGTCATGCCCCATCCCTATTTATGCTGTACCAGTGTTAGTCAATGAATCTGTGCCAATGTAAGTTATTTCATATTTTCACACATATACGTATAATATTCATTTTTTCAATTGTTCTATAGTTATATAATGTAACATAAATAAAATAGTCAGAGTAAAAAAAATGAACTCGTGCAAAGTATTCGAGCAAAGATTATGTATTTATTTTATTAATATTAATCGTCCTAAGGTTTTTGCAGGTTTTGTACATGTTTTTTCTTTATCTTTTTTATAGAGATCGTTACAAGCCTCAGAAAATGTTGTCTGTAGGAGATGCTATAAGTGCAGCAAATTCAGTACTACAAGATACAGAGACCTTGTGGCTTAAAAGAAGAGTCGGCGGTGCTAGTATTCCTACATTACAACATCTTGACATTGACATTATGGCTTATGATGTGACAGAAAATGATGGAGATGATCAAACGGTTGAATATCAATGGAATTATATAGTAATAATTATTATTATAGTGATATTTATTGTATATTTATTAAATCGATGGAAATGTTTGGGGACAAAGAGACATTCGTGCAGAAAACGTACAATTGTCAGAATACGTAGAGCCATTCAAACTATTGCTATGCCTAGAATACCTGCACAAATGTAATTTCATATAATTTTACAAGATCTATCACTATGTTATAATATACAATACAATTGATACTAAACACATAATATAAATTTTTTAGACATTTATATGAATATTAAAAACTATGCAGTTATTAAAATTTATATTATGTGCCTTTAAAATGTACAATATTCAATGTAAATTTGTAAATAATATCAATTATTTTGACAGAGATCGTACATTTACTTTGCCTTCATTAACCTCTACAAAAATAATATAATCTATATTAATTATAATTTTTAAACTTATAAATCTTGAAGCTATTGTTTTCACAAATATGCTTTTTTTTTATTAAAATTTTAAACTACAATAAATAACTTTAGATATATATATATATATATATATATATATATATATATATATAATCAGTTATAAAATGGATTATAAGTAACCCAATGTGCTCTGTCTTGTTTTGCAGCAGATGTATGAGAGGTAAAGATGCTTTTGAAAACTTCTGATGCCTTAGGATCTTTCGCAATGCTGTAATCGCCTTTAGCTTTTCTATAAGCAGGATCATTAGCTTCAGCTTGATCAGTACTGAGCTTAGGAATTACTTTGCCTTCCTTCTTTATCTTCTTTTTAACTACTTCGTCCACTTTCTTCTCTTCTGTTGGTTCCTCATTGCTTAATTTCCTCTTCTCTTTCTTCTGATTAACTTTCCTAGTTGCTGCACGCTCCTTCATGAGTTCCAGATCATCATTTTCAGCATTTAATATAACTATGTCTGCTTCTTTAAAGGGTTGTTGACATTTGTGACACGACTGCAAGAAATTTAATATCTCGTAAATCTTGTTACACTTTGAACTCACATTTAATTAATGTTTCTCTATTTGATTTTTTACTTACCATACTTTTGATTTCTTTGAGAGCACGTTCGCTCATCACGCAACCGCATGACCATAAGAAACAAAATTTGTATTTTCCATTCATTTCCAAACCAATAACGGGACAAATGTATGGACTTTTGCCTCCATCTGTATAACCATCTCCTTTCTCAGCTTTATTACTCTCAAATGCTGGGTTTGGGGTCAAATTCAAGTTCCTTACATCTTTCAAATTTTTAATATGTACAGCTGATTCTGGAAGGGTATTGCGATCCAAAAGACCCTCTAATACAGACTCTTTACTATATAAACGACCCAAAGTGCAACCCACAATTGGTGGTTGCAGTGGCAATTGTCGTATCGTGCAATGGTTCCATTTGAAAGCCAGCTCCGCTTGTTTGTCTTTCTGAAATAATTATATACACATCAATTCAATATTACTTTCTTGTAGATGTAGATCATAATAATACACTATGCAATATGTAAATATATACATATATATATATATAAATAAACAAAAAGAGAGACATCAGGAAAATATGTTTAAATAAGTGATATTAATTTTTATTAATTCACAATTTTTAAATATCCAAAATGTCAACAATTTCATAAAATTCGATATTAACTTTAAATTACATAAAATTCAAAGCTTTTTGTATAAGTGAAATTATACCAATTCTTTTTATTCTTACCTGTTCAGGTTTCTTTTTTATTCTAACGAGCTCGTCTCTGCGAGGAATAGTACCACCATCGCAACCCATGACAGTTTCTATAATTTAGATGAATATATATATATTTACAATATATTTTATATTGTGTAAATATTGCAAAAATCAACACACAACCAATATTATAAAAATATTGCAAAAATTGACAATATTCATACAATGATTTTTCCTCCTAATTTCTCCGAACTCTGACAATAAATTACTGCGAGCCACAGACTACATAAATACTAGATTGCTAATGCGGGATTTACAATAGAGTCCCAAAATTGTAAGTCATAAGAAATTGACCAATCACAGTCGAGTTTGAGGAGAATAATTGATTCTGGTGGTTCATTCCTTATAACTTTTTATATTTATATTTTATTATATTATTTATTTATATTTTATACATTTTATTATTTTTTACTATTATATTTTCTTACATTATATATTATTATTATTTTTATATTACATTTAACATTTTTTATTTTATTTTTATCATTATATTTAACTTTTTTTACAGACATTTTTGCCAATTATTACTTCAAATTTTCACGACTCTCCACGAGAGGGCCTCACTATATTATTATTTATATATATTATTATTATTATTATTATTATATTATTATATATTTATATTTATTATATTATTATTATTATATTATATATTTATTATATTATATTATTATTATTATTATATATTATTTGTATTATTATTATTATTATTACATTTAACATTATTTTATTTTATTTTGTTATTTTATTTAGTATTATTACATTTTTTTATTTTTTTATACAGACATTTTTGCCAATTATTACTTCAAAATTGCACGACTCTCCGCGAGAGGGCCTCTCCGTCGAAAACTCAATCCGTCAATGAACTGTCATTTCTATATACACTTTATGCAACACGCCGCTGGCGTAGTTCGCGAGTCAGCTGACAGCGTTATTTAGTTCCACGGTTTCGTTATCGAATGAGGCGCAACAGCAGCACATAATTGTCATCACGTGAGAGGTCACAATGTTTTCTGCTGATTTTCTCGTCGGGGAGCAGTTTCGTCCAGCCAGCGAGATTTTTTAAAAATCCTCCGCGGCCAGCATCGAGATCCTGGCGATTCGATCCGCTTCTTTTCACGATCGACGACGTCAACCAAGGACTCTCCAACTTCCATTTTCGTACGTTACACTTTTACGTCCATCCTCGCGTAATATATGTAATATTATACACTGTTGTACGTCGCTCGTTATATATTTTTTTCTCGCCGACATGTGTCTTATTATTGATTTCGAAAGCGAGGCCCTTCGACGCCATTGAATTGACATGAGAAAAAGGGCTGGTTTTCCTTCTGATGCGACGTTTCCTGCCCGCCGAATTCGCATGTCAGTCAGAAAAAAATTCAGTCAAGGACATTGACCACTTGCCGCCCGTTGCACCGTGGATTATGGATTGTTTTTTGGTTTTTCTTTCTTCTTTTAAACGCTTATTGGCGCCAGATCGTTCAGCCCGCCATTCGTCGTGCATATAGTCACGTGGAAAATTTGTATTCTAATTATATAACATTTATAGGCAGATGATGTTCGTCGTGCCACACCCCCTTTTGCCGTATATTCGCCCCACGTTCAATAATTCGCGTAAATTTATAATTACAACTTGTATTTTTTTATTTAATAATTATTATGCATGTCATTTCTTCAAACCAAAATTGCGCAACTGTATGCTTGCGCATTTGATGCCTTGATAGATGACAAACGTGATATTAGCAGGTGGTTGGGAAAGTTAATTTTGCATTTATTGAGACTAATTATATGTATTTATAATGATTTTTTTGTTTAATGTACTATCGTAGTCTACGAAATGGTTTTTAAGGTCCGCAGTTGCAAACACACATAGATAATTTTAAATCTTAAAATATACTTATATGAAATTAACATATATGTTTATAAATATCTGAGAATTATATTAAATACCATAAAGTATTACGACAATTAAAAGTAATTAACAGTTACATGTAAATAATATTGTTACACTTATTTCTTCTGTCGTGTGTAATATTTAAATAATTTAATATTACACTTTTACACACAGATATTTCAATTATTTTTTCAAAGAAATATTGTTTTTATTAAATTTTTTAAAAATATTTATAAGCAAAAAAAATTATGCATAATTGATAAAATTTATTTTTTTATAATTATTCTTTGATGTAGTTTATATTATTTATAGATAAGAATCACTGATACTATAATATTGTTTTAGGTAGTAAAAAGTTATTTACAAAGGAGATAAAATGACAGAATACTGGTTGATATCAGCACCAGGAGACAAAACCTGTCAGCAAACATGGGAAACTATGAACAACCTGACATCCAAGCAACATTCTTTATCAGTAAATTATAAATTTCACATTCCGGATCTAAAAGTTGGAACATTGGATCAATTGGTCGGGTTGTCGGATGACCTTGGCAAACTTGATGCATATGTGGAGCAAGTAACACGTAAAGTGGCAACTTATCTAGGGGAGGTTTTGGAAGATCAGAGGGATAAGTTGCATGAAAACTTGTTGGCTAATAACAGTAAGTGAAAATTATTTCTTGCTTTGTTACCTTTTGGACCTTTGTATTTTTTCAACAACAGTGAAAAAGGAATCAGTTATTATCTAAAGTAAAAATAATTTGTTATATACATTATGGTGTTTCACAATTATCAGTATAATACTTTAATGTTTATTTTAAAAGTAAAATAAAATAAAACTAATAATGAGAGAGATTCCATATAATTCAAAACAAGAAAAGAGACAGGCAATAGGAAGTAGCAGAAAGTAGAAATAGGATAGCATCTTTGATTAGTAAATCAAAGAGCTCATTTCTAAAGTCCCATTCTAAAATTTCTCTACTCCTGAATAGAGAAATCAGTACAATTGCAATTAACAGATATTAAATAAAGAGTTATTCACTATGTAATATAAAAGGTACTTACAACTAACAAACAGCAAATATGTATTAAGATTATATTGAGAGAATGACTTATCACAATCAAGTCTCATGAAGTATAGAACAATAATATTTGTTGTTTGTTGCATGTACCCTAAAAAGAAAGGATGATGAAGCACGTTTTTAAACCTTAAATAGTCTATTGATTACATCTAAATATTTCTGTGGAAGAATATCAGTATTAGTTTGCATATTTAAACTGTTATGTTGTCTTTTTATAAAAGGTTCTCTATCAAGTATTTGTACTTCATCCTAATTAAAATCATGATTATAACTAATTCTATCATCTGTAATTACCGAACGAGTTGTACTATTCCATCTGATATGATTCTGATGTTCATTAATTTTTGTACCAAGTATGCGACTTGTTTGGCCAACATAAGAAGAATTACAATCATTGCAATTGATCTTATATATAACATTATTTGTACAAGATAACGGTAAAACGTCTTTATGGACTCTAATCAATCTGTTAAGCTTATTCATGCTTGCATATAATATTTTCACGTCAAGGTCTCTAACTAATGGTCTAAATCTTTCTGATATCGACGAGACATATAGAACAGTAAAATATTTGTTATTATTATTCTCAGGATTTAAACAGTCGTTGTGTGTTATACTATAATTTTTTGATTTATAAATGATCATTTTAATTCTTTCATTCATAATTTTAAAAATAAACTCAATAGGGTAACCATTATCCAATAAAATATTTATTGCCAAGTCAAAGCTTTTCTTGTGAAACTTAGGATGTGACAATTGTAAGATCCTGTCAACCAATCCAATTATAGTATCTCTTTTTGCATCAAGGGAAGTTGAGAGTAAAAATTCAAAATATTAAATTCAACAATAATTAAAGTATCAAGAAAATTCAATCGATTATTATTACCAATATCTAAAGTGAATTGTAAACGTGGGTGTATAGAGTTAAAAACTTTTAAAATGTGGTCAATTAAATGCAATGGAGACACTAAGACGATATCATCTACATATCTAATATTATATTAGATATGTGGATGACATCGCCTTAGTGTCTCCATTGCATTTAATTGACCGCACTTTAAAAGTTTTTAACTCTATACACCTACGTGTACAATTCACTTCAGAAATTAGTAATAATAATCGATTGAATTTTCTTGATACTTTGAATATTATAGTAGATACGTGGATGACATCGCCTTAGTGTCTCCATTGCATTTAATTGACTACACTTTAAAAGTTTTTAACTCTATACACCCACGTTTACAATTCACTTTAAAAATTAGTAATAATAATCGATTGATTTTTCTTGATACCTCGATTATTATTGACAATGGAAGATGTATTTTCGATTGGTTTCATAAGCCGACTTTTTCTGACTTTACTTTGACTTGGCAATACATATGTATTTTATTGGATAATGGTTACCCTATTGAGTTTATTTTTAAAGTCATGAACGAAAGAATTAAAACGATCATGTCTCTTTTCTTGTTTTAAAAATAAAATAAAATTAATTTAATACAAAAATGTCGAAAAATATAGTTTTGAATTACGAATTTTTAAAATTGATTAATTATATAATATAGCAATTTTAAGCTTAGTAATTATGTTTACATGCAATACAGTATTCATTATTAATTTTTACATCAATTAGTACTATTAATAATTAACTTAATTAATATCAATTGTTACAGTTCTACATAATATTCTGAATTAATTCTGAAACTTTACAATGACATATCATCATTGCTTACCTAAAACAAAAATGGATTAATGTGAATTCAAAAATTTACTAGGTGATCTACCATCATATATAACTCGATTCCAGTGGGATATGGCTAAATATCCCATCAAACAATCTTTGAGAAACATAGCGGATATTATTAGTAAACAAGTGGGACAGATTGATGCTGATCTGAAAACTAAGTCTACAATATACAATAATTTGAAAGGCAGCTTACAAAATCTTGAAAAAAAACAGACGTAAGTTTGATTTTTCATGTTTTGAAGAATTTAATTAACAAATTATGAAGTAAAAGGATATAATTATATATATTTTTAATAGGGGAAGCTTATTAACACGTAATTTAGCAGATTTAGTGAAAAAGGAACATTTTATCTTGGACAGCGAATATTTAACTACTTTGCTTGTGATTGTACCAAGGTGAGTAAATACATCCACAGCACAAATCAAGGCTGCCATATAAGAATTAATATTAATTATTATATAAGATAATTATTCATAACAAAAAATAAATATTTATATTAATAAGAATATTTGTAAGTCAGCTCTCCGTTTTCAGTTTTTAAAATATTTATATCTTATATGTTTAGATCCAATTTCCAGGATTGGTACGGTTGTTATGAAAAACTGACAGATATGATTGTACCACGTAGTACCCAACTTATTACTCAAGACTCAGAATATGGATTATTTACAATCACTTTATTTAAGAAAGTAATTGACGAATTTAAGTTGCATGCTCGTGAGAAGAAGTTTATTGTACGAGATTTTATATACAATGAAGAAGAACTAGCAGCAGGTTTGTTTAAACATTAAATCTCTTTCAATAAATTAAGATGAATATATCTATATTGTGTAAAGAGTGAGATTTTTATTTATATTATAGGAAAGAATGAAATTACAAAGCTGGTTACTGATAAAAAGAAACAATTCGGACCACTCGTTCGCTGGCTAAAAGTGAATTTCAGTGAATGTTTCTGTGCTTGGATCCATGTCAAAGCTTTACGTGTATTTGTTGAATCTGTTCTTAGGTACTATTAAACTCTATAAAAATATAGTAATAAGGTATAGTTAATAGAGTGGTATTGTAACATATTGTAATATAATTTGTAGATATGGCTTACCTGTCAATTTCCAAGCAATATTATTGCATCCACATAAGAAATGCGCAAGGAGATTACGTGATGTCTTGAATCAGCTTTATGCTCACTTAGATTCATCTGCTACATCTTCAACAGTGCATAATCAAGATGTAAGTTAATGCAAAATATGTTATATTATTTATTAAAATTAAATAAATTTAATTATAATTTTAAAACATTTCTTAAGCTTTTTATCATTAATATTATAAGTAAATGTTTATTTCGAAAACAAATTTTTGATATAAATTTTTTGTGAAACAAATTTATACTTACAAAGATATTTTAATTTTAACAGAATGTGGATATACCAGGATTAGGTTTTGGCCAAAGCGATTATTTCCCGTATGTTTATTATAAGATCAATGTGGATATGGTTGATAGCAAGGTCTAATTACTAGAATTTACTTTCCTTCTTCCGCATATATTTCCTTTTACTTGCGAAGACACGTCTATTACATCAATCTATGGCGGTGAGGTCAAATTTCTCGTCCGTATTAATAAATAAAAAGATATAATGCATTTTCAAAAATTTCTTTGAATTTTTAAAAAATTCATGTATCTAAGATTATAAATGATTTATTACAAAATTAGAGAAAATCATCGCATAGCCTTTCTGAGAAAGGAATCTTTTTTTTTAATTAATAAAATATTGGGAGTACTACATTGCGCATTTCCCGATATATATTTCCGTTCAAGTGTCAAAATATAAAGAAAATTATTATATGAAATTATATAAATATATAACATAATGATTAAATTCTCAAATAATTTTTATCAAAATTACATCTGAATTATATTTACAAATTTCATGTATCTATAATAATATAAATTGTTTCTGATAATTCACTTGATTTTATTAATTAACTTAGTTTTTATAATACTTGGAGCGCAATTTTACACATTTTACACGCGACAAAGGAAATTCATACCACTTTTAAATAGTATTGCTACAATGTATAATTATGTGCATCGATCTGTCATATACAGAGTTAAAAATGTTGATCTTTTCATATGTAAGGAATATCAAGACTTACAGAAATATAGGCCTTGTTATATAGCTATAAAGAACATTCATAAGTGTATCATATGAATATATTTAATGAAAATGAATGTTATCTGCAATTTAGAAAATAAATATCTTATTGTTGAATATATTAAAACAAGTTTTATGTGTCATGTGTATTCTTAGTATTTTATTGTTTTAAATATATTTAATAATTATGAATAAATAATTTTCATATATACATATATACAAATTAGTTACATATGACATAGAAAAGTGATCACATTATTGTTAAAGTCTATAAATTTCAATATATTATATATTGTTTAATTGAAATATATATTACAATTGCCGATTATAGCGGCCAAATATCTTAACAGATTGAAGGTATCTAATGATGATAGCAAATTTATGAAATAACAATTATATTAACGTTTTTCAAAGTTTTTTTATTTTATAAAATTAATTAATTTTCAGGAACAATATTATTTTATATAATATAAAGTGTGAAAAAATTATAATTTGTTGATTGTAATTACTCATAAGTCAATAGTAATTTTTTTGCCAATTATTCTACATTTATAAATTTGTAATTTATATATTCCTAAATTGGCACTGTTACACTTTGCACAAAATAAATATTTTTAAAATATATTACATTATAATATAAACTTATGTATTTCCTGAAAACATTTTGTTAAAGAAATCCAATTTCCTATATTAATTACAATGTAAATTACATAAAAAACAGTGTAAAATACATAAAAAGTTTATGTATAGTATGGTTTCATGTTATAAAGTTGAGTATTATGTCACTGAATTGCACGATTGTGTAACATGCAAACCAATGTACAATGCTTTAATTGTATTAGAGTAGAAATCAATGACAATATCAATAAAACTTTGTCCTTTAAGCCTATGTGAAGAAGTGAAATCAGGTGTAATAAGTAAAAAAAAAAAAAAAAAAAAAAAAAAAAAAAAAAAAAACAGAACTCAATTATGTAAATATGATTATAATATAATATCATATAGTCAATTAATTGTTGTGCGTTATGTACAAATAAATGTAACTGTACAAATAATAAATACTTTAACTTTAATTGATGATATCTTTTAACTAAATTTTTTATATTTTGCTCCTGTGATTTCTTGAATTTAATTATATTGTATAAGCACAGTTATGTTAATCACATGCATGAGCACGCAATAAAATATGCTTACAATCAGACAAAGTAATTCTTTAATATGCTTGCATTTGTTTCAGATGTTTATGTATATATATAAACTCATATACAATAATACAATATATATGTACAAACTTATGTCATCATATAATTACATATATGATAAACTGGTTTTTACAATTTCTCTACTATGTTATTATGTTTATGCCATATTATCCTGATATGGTTCACAATGAGCTAAATGTTTAATAACAGGAGGATGTTGCTTAACTCTTCATTATTTATAAAAATATGTTCTCATAAATTAACATTTTCTCATGTAGATTTATTTTTCCTATTTAGAAAAATTTTGTAAAATTTAAGAAATATTTTTAAATTAATTATAAAGAAGCTCAAATAATAAAATAAAGAATAAGAATAAATTTGAGGAGTAAAAGATCGGTTAGATGTATTAATGTTTAACACTAGTAAATTTACATATTACGATTCGCTTGTGACAAGAATTAATATATCGCATAATTAAAAATCCTTTATTACGTATTTCATTTTTTAACGTAAAAATACGAGTATAAATATTTCGATTCTCAATTGAACTATTTTTAGTAATATAAAAATGTAGAAATTGTCAAATATCTTCAGTCAACAAACTAAATTAAAAAAGTATAATTCTGCTAGTAGATATTTCCATAAATTCACGGAGATTGCTCACAAATTATCATCAATCACAAAGTTTTTTCCATAATATTATGGGAGGGCACGATAAATCAGACAAAAAATCGTCTAAAAATTCAATACTGATGGAAGATAAGCAGAATAAAAATATCGAAATGTAAACTATCCATAACTGACCAGCGAAGAATCTATGACAGGAATTTAATATTACTTGAGACAACAGAGATATAATTCACATTAAAATTTTAAATTGTATATTATATAAACAATAACGATAAACACAAAAATAAATGAGATGCCATAAACAAATAAGAATACAAAATTCAACATTAAATGCGATCAATACAGATAATAACGATGAACATGAAAACAAATAGAAGCAACAAGAATGTCAGAAACAAATATAAAATTATAAATATAATATAAAATTCAAAACAAAATGCAGCCAATTTAAATCTTATTAAACTTATCAATAATCAGCAAATAAGGATAAATAATTTCCTGCTAGATTAAGACTAGATTTTTGTTTTTAAATGTATAGTTATAATCTTCTCTAGATGAAGAACTCTTTTCTTGCATTGAAATAAATAATTCTTCAGCTAGAATTCGTATACTATTTCAATGGAATTTGTGATTTAATTGTAGTTTGTATCATAAAACTCTCTGACAACATTCTAATGTATTAATATCCTAAGGTAAAAATTTTTAATCTATTAAAATTGGCCTGTATCACAGTTACAATTAATTTTATAAACAATTTGTTACTGTGATATGATTAAGAAAATGAATTTTCATAAACTTTAATAAGACTAGTGGTTCTTTACCAACATTATACTAAATTATGACAAAAGGGAAAAATCATAAGCTTTCTGTTGCAAAATACTTTGAAATAAATAAGTTTTTTAAATGAATTATTTATGTTTAATAATATAAATTAGTCAAATACATAAAAACTTTTTTGATTCGTAAATTAATAAATAATTGTAAATTGTAGTCAATCATTGAAACGTCCATTTTCGTGAAAATATTGGACAAATGCAAATAAGTTATACAATCAGTTATTAATGCAGAATAAAAAAGAAAATTTTTAGTGCATTTTACTACTTTATAATATTGAAAACAAGTGATCACAAAAAACTTATTTATTTCTATGTCTTTTGCAAGAAAAAATTCATAAGTTTTTGATTCTAATGTCATAATTCAATATATGGCTGCACAGGAATCTTAATAAAACGTTTTAATATGTCGTTATATATACACACATACTATTAAAAACAATGTTTACATTTACTTAATTCAATATTCCAAAAATAATCTGTAAAAGATAAATGCAATAATAAATATTTATACTGAAATAGAATAAAATCATAACAAATAAAATCATAATATTGAAAAATATATAGATTAAAATCAAAATATAATAGATTGATTCGAACAAAACTGCAAAAAATAAAGAAAAATTTTGATTTGATATTGCATAATTTTAGAACACATCTTGGAATGGGAAATGAGCTTTGTCCGGTTCGATAAGGTCAGAGAGAAAACAGGCAGTTCCGGCGATACCTTCGTAAAGTGAATACGGTGAATCAGGTGTGCGTGCATCAGACTGAAATTGTGGTGAGTTCATAAAATCTGCAAATTTGGCAGCTCGATAAAGGTGAAGTTCATTGCCAGTGAGTCTATATAGAAGAAGGAAGACATAGCCATTGCCAGCCACACCGTGACAAATCCCAGGCCCTTTCTTCAGAAGGCCTTTGCGCCAGACAAGGTCACCAGCGAGTACGCATGAGTTTAGATAACGCTGATCCTTCCAACGCAGATACGCTGCTGCCATCAGGTAAATGGCACCAGGAGCACCGTGACACCAGTGCACTAATTCACTGTTGCTATCTCTGACACTTCGTCCAGAATAATCTATTTCATCCGTAGCGCATGGAAAATTACCAGAGGTCATTTGTAAGCTCAAGAAATAATCTACACAAGTTCGCGTAGTGTTATTAATATCTTCATTGTCGTCTAAGAATGATGGCACCTAGACATAAAGGAAAATACAATTAAATATATATTATATAATAATAATATTAATTAAAAATTACAATACTGAAGCAAGTATAGATAAAAATATATTAAATTTAACAATAAAAGAATAAATAAATTCTTATTATTATGCTTAATTATAATTAATTTTTCTTTAGAGTTTTCGTATAGTCTCTTTAATTATTTTAGATTATGCATGTTTATCATAATCACCTGTATAAGGATTTGCAAGATTGCACAGAGTCCATGCGCTGCGCCTAGATATTCTGTGCCATAGTAGGCATACATTAATGGACACGGACTGTTATGTACTCGCGCATACATCTGGCCCGAGGCAACGATCGTTCGTGCGATTTCGTGCATCATGTCGAGTGGCACCACGGTATTTTTCATCATGCGATTCAGCCACAACGCGCCGTACAAGAAGCCAGCGCGGCCGACAAAAAACTCGTCCGATCCGCATTTGAGAAAATTTACTTCCTTGCAACGTGCTCCCGTCGTTACATAGCGTTTCACGAGCTCACTGGCGGTTTTTTCGTCACCCTGGACGGTTGCGAGGACTGCGCCCACTGCCAGAATACCCCAATCCCCTAAAATACATAATCGAATCAATTATTTCATTAGATCACTTTCACATTTCAATCTAGCTTAGCTTCTATTGAGAAATATAAAATTATAATAATATAATATAAAATATAATGTAAAAATATAGGAAAAAATTGTTATTATTTTATTTCATTATATTATTTCTATACTTAATGTATTGGTCACTATATATCACAGATATTTAGCAATAAAAATGCAAGAGCGGTACACAGCTTCCAAAAAATGTTCACCAATGAATTTCAAATATTGATTCATCAATAAAAAATTTTCTGGGAGCTGTGTACTGCTGTAGCATTTCTATTGCTAAATATATATATATATATATAAATGTTAAATGATTTTTCTTTCAATTCATAAAGAATAAATATGAAGTCAATATTTTTGACTTGTGATATTAGAACAGCATCAATCTCAATCAGTGAATCCCTAACAAATAAGGATCCACTCAGCATTTACATATTCTTTTCCACAACTTATCATTCTTCTACTCCTTGAAAAAGCTTATACCAGTATATTATAGTTCCCCATTTTTATCACTACTTTGCTCATATGCTATCCTATAATAAAATTGGATCAAAATTAGAAAGATACATATTTTTTTAAATGAAAAACCTCTATGTTTCTTTTTATATTAATTATGTGAACTAAAAACATTTACCATCATATACTTACAATAAAAAAGCAGTACACAACTTTCAGAAAATATTTATGAATTTGAAATTGAAAATAACTGTAAATTATTTTTCTTTTATACCGTAAGTATATTTCTTTCAATTTGTAAAGAGTATATATGAAGTCAATATTTTTGACCTATTATAATATTCAAATAGCATCAAGCTCAACGACACCCTGAGCCATAACAATCCTCCAGAATTTATATATATATATATATTTTTTTTTTCTAATTGTTATTCTCCCACTTTTGAAAGAGAGCTCGTCCTAATATATTAAAAAGCTCGTCCTAATATATTCAAATATTATGTAATATTATATAGTTAATATATATTAAATATTATAGAGCTCGTTGTAGTATATTATAGAGCTTGCGCTAGTACATTAAAGAGCTCGTACTAATAAATTATATAGAGCTCCATGACAAATACAAACCCAAGAGAAAGCCGGTGCCGGATCGTCCCTCGTGACGTTGCACTGTCGTCAGGGACGAGCGCAAATAACGTTCAGCTAATGACAGGTGCTTGTCAGCATCATCTTTCAACAGAGGATGCTCAGCTAGTCGCAGAAACGTGTAGGAGATGCCGGATGCACCGACATACAGACCACCATCCGTCTCCGCGCGCTCGGGCGGCTCCTTGTCAACGATACGTTGCAGAATCTTACGTAGATTGGTTTTAGCGGCAGATTGACTGTCGTGGATGTCACGTTGTAGCGACGTCGCGGAACCGGCGATCTTCTCCTCCTGCGCGCAGTATTCGTTCACAAAGTACCTGGATCGCTGCGACATCGTGTCTGAAAAATTTCTTATATTTACTTTCCAACGCAATAAATATTGATACACGCAGCGAACTGCGTTTAACATTTATATATATATAGCTACTCTGTATTCAAAACATAAATACGATTAGACATCGAGCTTGTATATTTATATAGAGAAGCACTCTATGACTAAAATCGAGCAACCAACCACAAATAGATATTGTAAAGATTCGGCCAATCATGTTGCTTGATTTGTCTATCCGTCACTCAAATCAAGCAACGCAATTGGTTACAGAAAATATGGCGGATTTACAATTTTAGTCAAAATTTTGATAATTTAACACATTTTAAGTTTCAGAAAAAAATAAACTTTATTACATTAAAATTTTTTTATATTACAAATATTATAATACATTAATATTAATATAAGTTATAATTATTATATTATATAATTATAATGTTATATATTATATTATATAATAAATTATAATTATTAATTGATCATTATATCTTCTGTACTTAGCAAATAGTTTTTAATTAAAATTTTATTGCATACAACTATATAAAATACAATTTAAGTTTATTTTGCACATAATGAAACTTTTATTGTAAAATCATCTTTAAATAAAAAAAATCTATTCAATCAACCTTTTACTTTACTGCTTCAACCAAATGCAAATTTTGTTATATCTTGTATATATATATATATATATATATATTTGTATATTAGTAAATTTTATCACATTGAAATGAATAATAAAATTTTGCTAAAGTAACTACAAAAATAAAAATCAATAAAACAATATTTTAGGTATACTTAAAAAATTTACATAACACAACAATCTTGTTGGGAGTCCATTCCAGGTAATGGAAGAATGGGATTTCCTTCAGAATCAAATTGAAAAAATGAACATTGTTCACCAACAAGATCTTCTGGTGCTTGACCATAAGATTGCATTTGTGTCATAAGCTTCAATATAGATTCAAAGCGACGCTTTTTAATTTCTTCCGTATCATCTTTGTTCTCCTTTTCCAATTCAGTACACACCTTATATCAGATATAAATATGTTAATCGTAAATAAATTCAGAATGTATTGTTTTATTATTAAAACATACCTTTTGCATCAACTCCGCTTGTTTTGTATACCTTTCCAGATCAGAAGGATTCATAGTTGCTTTGTGTTCCTCTAAGTATGCTGGATACTTATCCGATAATTCTTTCAATGATGGATAAAGAATTTCTTTTGATAAAAGGTGTTCCATCATTCCTTGCATAAATGGTAATATATCACCACTGTCGCCATCAAGAGAGGTTCGCCCTAGCATAGCAGCTAAGTCTGTATCATTCTAAAAAAATTTTTAATTACTTTATCATTTAATTCTATTAAAAAATAAACTAAAAATAATATATCACAAGCTATCATACACACATTTTTTATTGTTATTACTACATATTATTACTACTATGATGTAAAATAAAAATAATATAAATGAATCAATGCTATTACTTTTTAGAATTAAAACAATTTAATTAAAAGTCATTATTTATATATTATAGCATTACTATAAGAATTAAAATACCTGTAAATTTTCAGAATTTGTAGTCAAGTCCTTTAAGACTTGTGAAATAGTTGACTGAAAATCTGCACTAATATTGTCTTTAGCTTCATCTGTTATATCACTGGCCGATGCTTCTCCAAGCTTTTGCAAAGCAGCTTCTAGTTCATTGTTACCTAAACAATTCATTTTAGTAGTATAATATATACATAGTATAATATATACGTATATTTTTTATACATTTTATTTAAACTTACCATTTTGTAATAAGTTTTGCAAATTTTTTTCAAACTGATCAGCTGTTTGTTTAAGAAAATCTTCTGTCCATTTGTCTGCAAACGTTTCAGACGTTTCAGATGTTTCACATTTATCACTTTGCTTCTGCGAATCTGATGTACTTGTCGTATTGTCCTTTTCAGTATTTGACACAGCCACTTTGTCAAAATCTTGTAAAGCACCTGAGAAACAAAATTTATATCTTAGAATATGCAATATATTGTCAAATTTCAAAATTTGATAGCTTAAATGATATAAAATGCAACTAAATGTCAAATTTTTTTAATATGAAAAATATTTTCGTGAAATCTCTAAATTACAATTTATTATATAATTATTTACAATTTATTATATAATTATTCTAATTTTGTTATTGGTTACAGAAATACGAATCTGTGTGTGGCAGGTAATTTGCATGTAAAAGGTTAGTTCAATCTATTTTTTTTTAAATAAAATATAATAATTGTATTTACTATCAAGCAAAACATTTAATTCTTGATCTTCCTCCTGAGCTTCATCTTTTGATTGTTTGGTATTGTCAGTCATATTTGTATACGATTATAATATTTAGATCACTTCAATCTTCTTTTGGATCGATAGGAATGATAAGCAAATAAACTTCGTGTTGCAATTTGCAATCCTAGGAATTTCATTCCAATATTTTTCTCATTAAGACACGTCCGCATGTATCGATTAGAAATCAGAATCGACCAATCAAATGGTACCAATGATTGACCAATCAGAGAGTTCTATTGTTCAATGACCAATAAACAATTTGAATTTCGTAAAAATATTAGAAATTATTTTAAAATAATAAAAAATTTGATTATACAAATTCAGGTATAAAAGGCTTTTATTAATTTATTAGTTCTAATTAATCTTTTATATCCGAATTTGTATTTTTATATCAGTCTTTCCCAGGTAGCAAGCTGACGTCACGACGTCAAAATGACGTCATTTTGACGTCTGACGTCAGTTTGCAACCTGGGAAAGACTGAATGACGTTATTTTGACGTTTAATGACGTCAGCTGGTTACCTGGGTTTTGATTTTAATATTTTAGAATATTTTTACTCCTATTATATTTAATATTAATAATATTATATATTATAGTATATATTAAATATTATAATATATTGAATATTATGTTATATTTATATATATATATTTATATATATTTTATATTATATTTTATATTATATTTTATATTATATATTTTATATTATATTTTATATTATTTTATATATTTATATTATTATATTATATAGTATATATTTATATCATTAATTTTTATATTATATTATTTTATGTATTATATATTATTATTATTATTATATTAATATATTATATATTTATTATTTTCTCTATTGTACGTGGGATTTAATATTTGTCATTATTGTGCGTAGGGTTTTAGCTTCATGAATTCAACGCGTGCAGGAACATCTTGCTGACATTCGCGTAGTTTGCGATGACCTTCGTTTGAACCTGACCTGACCGTGGAACAGTGTTCTCTGGCCGGCAATTATATAGTTAATATTAAAGTTCACCAGTTCCATCCGTTTTCTTTAGTGGAAGAGATCATAAACGGTAAGTCGAATAATATATCAGTTGTATTTCTCTCTGATTCACTTATGAAACTACTTGTTCAACATCACCGCATATGGTCAATGAAATGCTTCTCGTTGACCTTCGAATATATGGTTTGTTCGCGACATTTGTTTTATAGTACTCGCGATTATAATTCGTGAGTTATATAATTTCATTCGAAATAGATAAAGATTGATTATGCCAAGGAGACTTGCATTTTCATGAAATTTATGTAATAATAATTATAACTACCATATAAAAATTTGCGATATCAATAATCTGTGTTTTTGAATGAACACCAAATCAAAAAAATTATATATAAATAAATAAATACAATTAAATTGTTCAATAGAAAGCACTAAAGTTTTCTTTTTGTTACTTCTTTATTAATTAAAATATTGAATCCAACACTTGAAGAAATACAAGTTGTTTTCTCTCTCTCTCTCTCTCTCTCTCTGTTTCAATGATTGAGAGAGAGAGAAAGAATATTTATTATTTTAATGTACAATGATGTTATTTTTTACTTAATTTATTAATATTTTAAGCTATATTTTAAGAAGTATTTTTCCATTTAAAGATTTTAATTAAATAAAAAATACTTAAAAATTATATTTTATGAAATTTTAATATTATATATATACTTTAAATAGATAATTATTCTTATTACATATATATTATATTTTTAAATTTAAACATAGTAAAATTAATAGACTATATAATGTAATATAACTTTATTAAGTACAAATTTAATAGATATATATTTTAAATTTTATTAAATATATTTAAATTGAATAAATATATGTGTATTACAGTTGACAGAATAAAGAACAATCAACAAAATGTCGAGAGAACGAGCTTCCAGAAGGTTTTATCGTGTAGAAAGTACCAATGATTTGTTCGAATTCATGGATCGTGGCTACTCAGCCCAACATGAAAATCGATGGAATTTTGAAGTTGCTTGGGAAGCTGCCAACAAAGGTATGATATCATATGTCTTATTTATCAATCATTAAATCAATTTTGTATTGCAAAACAGTGAAAATCACAAAAATTAGATTTTATTTATAATTAAGTAAGTTTTATAGTGTAATTAAATTGAGATATTCCTCTCACACAAAATTGACTAAGCAATTCAATATGTTGAATTGTGATAAAGTTTTTATTTAAAGCCATCATACACCAAAATTCTAGGATAATTAAAAAATGTACAAAACATTAATAATGAATAATGGAATACAATATATTTTCTTAATGAAAAAAATGAGTGGTGGCATTAAAAGAAGGATCAGCAAAGAAGTTTTAATATATTAAAGAAGTTGATTAAAATTAGGATTATGTTTTGAAGAAAGTAAAGTTTTTTAAATTACATTTATTATTATTTTTAGAATTTAATTTTTTTATTTAATTTGCATTTTTTTTCTACATTTACCATTAAAATTTAGCCAAATTTATATTATTTGAGTGTTATTTATTTATCCAAGAATTCTTTCCTCTCTTTTATAATTTAATTTATATCTTCATCACATTATATATATATATATATATATATATATATATATATATATATATATATATGTATGTATATCTTTTTTGTAACTATATTTGTTTATCTCACAAATTCTGTGAATTCTATAAATTCTTCTTTTAGTGGGTGGCATTTACACTGTAATAAGATCTAAAGCTTATGTTTCAACTGAAGAAATGGGTGATCAATATTGTCTTATTGGTCCATATAAGGAATACTCAGCACGTACTGAAATTGAAGAGGCTGACTTTCCTCCTCACAATCCTTTACAACAAGCAGTACAAGTTCTACGTGATCAAGGGTATAAAGTAAGTTTTAATTATAAATTTCTTAAATTATACACTTAAATGTACGCATGCGCGAATACATACACATAAATTATTGCCAATTCTGAACCAGTCATTTAAGAGGCTGTAAATGTTCATCACTAATATTTTCAATAGATTATATTATTTGTCATGTACATACTAAGAATAAAAAGAGTTCGTTATACTTGTCTTATATAATAGATCTAACAAATATGATTCAGCAATATACATGTATAATATTTTCTCTCAAATGACAGTTATATCATCATTTCATACTTATCTTCTATTATTCAGAAATAAAGATTACCCTATATATCACTTTAAAGATTATGTAATAGCACTAGATTATACTATATCACAGAAAAAGTACATCATTGTATTTTCAAATATATATTATTTATTTTTTATATACTTACATAGCATAATTATTAAAAATTAATATTTTTATTAATTATTTTTCTTTGACTTAAATAAAAATTCAATTTTCTATCAATCTGTTAAACTTGTTGGTGTCTTATATATTACTTACTTTTATCATTTTAATGCATAATAATTAGTGTTGCAATTTAGAATATTTTTTAAAATATAAATTATTATTGAGATTGTAACAGGAACATGGTTGGTGGATGGAAATCCTCAAATAATTTTATTTGATATCGGAAGTGCCGCCTGGAAATTAGACGAATATAAACAAGAATTATGGAGTACTTGTAATCTTGGAATACCTCATCTCGATATTGAAGCTAATGATGCCGTGATTCTCGGATATTTAGTTTGTCAATTTATTACTGAATTTAGGTAAAATACTATTACTTTTACAATTATATATAGCTTTACAATTATATAGGTCTTTTTCTATTTTTGAATCGACAAAAAATAAATTAATTGGTTATTGCATGGTTTTTTATTTTTATAATTGTTACATGCTTGTAATGTATACTTTCTAAAACATAAAAATTATTGTAAAAATATTGCCCCAATTTTGAAAAAGTTAAAAATCTTGCCAAAAGGATTTCACAAATAACTCAAACTTTGTATTAATCTAATATATACTAAAAGTACTATGTATACTAATTTTTTAGATTAAATTTAATCTCACAAAATAAAAATTTTTAATTTTAAAGTTGGTAAATTTTATAATTTTTTCAAAGTTTATGCATTTTGTTCATTATAAAGGGGATTTTAAAAAAATTCACATTTTTTCACAAAAAGCATTTATGTTAAGATATTAATATAAAATTAATTAGGTTTATTTTTGTTTTTTATAATGAAAAATATAATCCTACCTAATTTTGACAAAAAATTGTAATTACGACTTTGAGAGTTATGCACTTACTTTAAGAAACTACTACACATTAAAAAATTATATGAGACTATGCATAGCTTTTTCTCTCTTTTTCGCCTTATTATGTAATAAGCTATATAGTTTTAAAAAGTATGAAAAATTTATATTTTACTGTGCTGTGATGCATAAAATTATCAATAACAAAGAGAAAAAAAATTTTTATGTTTTAGGAAGTGTATGCTACAAGCAAAAGTTATTAAAATTAAAAATCATGCAGTAGCTCTCCTTTCTTAATTTAAAATGGAATGGCCATTATGTGTTATATTGTATATATAAGTTATTAATTACTATATATAATGTTATAACAATGATATAATAGAAAAGCAGCTGAAAACTATTCAAGTGTTTCACCAAAAGTAGTCGTACATTGCCATGAATGGCAAGCAGGTGTAGGATTGATTGCTCTGAGAACAAGACATGTGGATGTAGCCACGGTGTTCACCACTCATGCTACACTTTTGGGTAGATATCTTTGTGCAGGAAAGACAGATTTTTATAACAACTTAGATAAGGTAAAGAATTGAAACATACACACATATACACATACAGATAATACGTCATTTTATATATGCTTTTTATAGTTCAGTGTTGATGAAGAGGCAGGCAAGCGTCAGATATATCATAGATATTGTATGGAACGTGCAGCTTCACATCTAGCCCATGTATTTACAACTGTTTCGGACATCACTGGTTTCGAAGCCGAACATTTGCTTAAACGCAAACCTGATATTATCACGCCAAATGGATTAAATGTCAAGAAATTTGCAGCACTGCACGAATTTCAGAATTTACATGCTATTAGTAAAGAAAAAATACATGAATTTGTGCGAGGTCATTTTTATGGGTCTGTACTTTATATATATATATATCTTCTCTAAGATACTATATTTACATTATATTTGATTTATGTATGTTTTTTTACAGACATTACGATTTTGATTTAGACAAAACGTTATATTTCTTCACCGCTGGTCGATACGAATTCGGAAACAAAGGCGCCGATATTTTCATAGAAGCTCTAGCAAGATTGAATCATTACTTAAAATCATCCAGACCTGATTTAACAGTGGTCGCTTTCCTCATCTTTCCTGCGAGAACCAATAACTTCAATGTTGAATCTCTTCGTGGTCATGCTGTTAGTTTGATATTATCTTTTTTTAAATAATATTATATATATATATATATATATATATATATATATATATAATTGACAAGCTAATTTATTAATATCGTCTTAAATTACTATCATCAGGTAACTAAATCTTTACGAGACACTATCAGTGATATACAGCAGAAAATAGGAAAACGGATGTACGAATTATGCCTCTCCGGTCGTATGCCCGATGCTCAAGACTTATTGCAAAAAGAGGATACTATTAAAATAAAACGGTTCGTTAATTATCAAAACAATATTTGCACTGTGGTCATGTTAGATTGTGACTTCAAAGGCAAGAAAGCACACACTGAAAATTCTTAGATACTATTTTTAAATGAAAAGATATGTTGAAATGGGTTTAGTACACTTTTAAGAATTTTCAGCATCTGACGTCATAATTCCAATATGGTCAGCGAGGAGCTTTAATTCACTGATTTACTTTGCAGGTGTCTGTATGCTCTTCAAAGGAATGGACTACCACCCGTTACGACACATAATGTCGTCGATGATTGGAATGATCCAGTGCTAAATGCTGTCAGAAGATGTAATCTTTTCAATACCGTCCATGATCGCGTTAAGGTATATACAATATACAGGAATACAAGAACATTTTTTGTTTTATAGTTCAGAAACATGCTGTGTGCAACTTTGTATTTTATTCTTCATATACATTTCTACGAGACTTGAAAAAGAGAATCAAGCGAGATCAACATGCGTGTCATTTATTTGATAAATAATATATATCATTTACAGATGGTGTTTCATCCAGAATTTCTGTCCTCGACAAATCCGCTATTCGGTCTCGATTATGAAGAGTTTGTCAGAGGATGTCACTTGGGCGTTTTCCCCTCATATTATGAACCCTGGGGATATACCCCGGCTGAATGCACAGTTATGGGTATTCCTAGTATTACTACCAATTTATCGGGATTCGGATGCTTTATGGAGGAACATATAGCAGACCCAATGAGTTACGGTATTTACATCGTCGATAGACGTTACATCAGCTTAGAAGGGAGCGTGCAGCAGCTTGCTCAGTACATGTTCGACTTTGCGCGACTTAGTCGTCGTCAACGTATCATTCAGAGAAATCGTACAGAACGTCTCAGCGATCTCCTCGATTGGCGAAATCTTGGCATTGTAAGGATCAGAATACATAGAGATTTCCATATTCATTTTTAATTTGTTCTTTCTCTTACAGGATATTCTATAGGAAATTGCTGAAACTAATCAGCTGTCATTTTTTAATGCATGCAGTTATTGATATCAGTTTATTTTATTGAAAAAAAGACTTGTAAAAGCTTTTTCTAACATGTCATTTTTAATGTAATTAAATTATTGACGATCCTTTTAATAGCTGCTATTATATCTGACACTGTTGAAAATATTGATTATTAGTTTGTGACTATTAGCATTCTTTCCTTACTTTTTATCAATAAAATAAACTGGTATACAAACATTTTATTTATATTCATTAAAAACTGCAAACTTTCCTCTTTTCAATACAATTTTTGTTTTCTCAATAACTGCATTCATTAAAAAATGACAGCTGGATTAGTTTCAGCAATTTCCTATGGGACACCCTGTAAATTGTCTTTTATGTACTTTTCCAGTATTATCGTCAAGCGAGAATAAAAGCGTTGACTACTGTGTATCCGGAATTGGCATCGGAATATGCAGAGGGTGGAATTGGTCGATTTAATTATCCTAGGCCAATTAGCGAACCACCTTCTCCATCATCCTCACGGCATACGACACCGGCTGCTTCTATACATGGTTCAGATGACGAGGATGAGGTCGATGATGAAAAAGAGGTAAGTATAACATTATAAAATTAATAAATATAAAATGTGGATTGAAATTTTGACCTAACTGCAAAACTTGACCCTTCGAAGGGTCGAAATGTAGTGTTTCTAATTAAATTGTACTGGCCAGTTAGGTCTAAATTTCAATAAAATTTGTATTGTTTTACTCATCACTGACGACTTCATTTATTATAGTTAGAAGAATTGAGGCAATCAAACGGAAGATAAATATATGAAAATGGATAACATAAAGCGACAAGGATCTAAACTAAAAAATAACGTACGATAAGATTCAAGATAATATGAAGTGGAATACATAGTGCTAAAACAATTGATTCCTCCATAAAATGTATATATCTATATATACTTAAATTTCAAATGATTGTTATTGCTGTCTGCCACTGCCATGCAAAAGAAAAATAGTTAAGAATGTGAAACTACATGCAGCAATAATGGTAAAGTTCTGGTTCATAATTATGATCATTATGCAATAATATTATTACTTTTTATTAAAGCTTTATATTTCGTTATGGCATGATTTATCTATTTGATTGATCAAATGTTCTTGATCATATAGTTATTAGTATATTCAAATAATTAATATATCGATAATTTTAATATATACTAATATATAATCAAAGATTTGAATAAAAGAGAAAATTATCGCGCATCGCATCATATTTTAGATGTGCGTTTATATGTTGTGTTTATATTTATAGGAGTTATACAAGTTAATGTGAATCTGATATATATATATATATATATATATATATATATATATATATATATATCAGACACACACACACACATAATTACACAATGAATAGAATATATTTCTGTTATGTAGATTATACTTTTATTAGAATTGGTACTTGAATAAAAAGTTTTTATCTATAAAGTTGGAGTTATTTCTTATGATATTACTCGCCCGGTTATTCATATAAGAAATAGTATTATAATAGCATGTTACCATATTGTAAAAATATAATTGATAACAGAAATTATATTAAATAAACAGAAACTATAATAAATAAAAGTTATTTGAATAATAATTAGAAATTTTACTTTATATCAATTATTAACATAATATACAAAATATATATATATATATATAATGGCCAAACTACTTCCTGTATGACAAAATTATAGAATACATTTGCATTTATCAGACCAAATTTATCTATATGTAAATTTTAAATAAATATTTACACATTACAAAACAAGTAATACATTACATAACTTTATACCTTATTACAATAAATGCAATAATATACAAAATATACCATAAAATTCTGTATAATTTGAAAATATGCGTATTTAATTATAACAATAATCATAACAATAAGAGTGATAATTTGGAATGACTTTCTCATTGAGCTAGCTATCATATTAGTAATGAGATTCTATATTAATCTGTATATTATTTAACTCATCCATTGAATATTTTCCTATACTAATAAACTATGTTAAAAATGTTGACATTAAGTACAAAATGTTGTAATTTCTAATATGTTAATTATATACGTAGTATATTAATCAGGAATTAAGTAATTCTATACTAAGACTTTTGTTTCGTAAATTGAGTTATATTACATATGAATAAGAAAAAAATTATGGAAACTGGCATCCACATACTAGAAAAGCGATTGATCTCATTCAATATATAGTCTAGTTTTATAACTTATAATTGATTAAAAATATTCATGAACATTGTCTTAGAAATACAATTCAGATGAGTGAAAATTAATATTTCTGTAAGAAATAAATTAATATACAAGCATATAAATACTACTGCATGTGACATTGTTTTAATCTAAATGGCGCTCTTATGTATGTAAATACTAAAATTTTACAAAGAACATTAAGCAAGAATAAATAGGACATTAAAATAAAAGCTATAAAACGCGAAAAACTGTATAATGTTATGTATAGTTAAAATGTATTTTTATAACTTTGATATATTTGTTAATTGAGCATAAAATAGTTGAATTAAAATCGATAAGTTTATAAAAACTGCAGAAGCCTGTCTTTTTTTAAAATATGTTTATATGAAAAATATGCAAAGGTAGTTTAATTTCTATGATATAATATGTAATTACTACATGCATAATTTATGAAGACTTAAATATCAATTATGATTTTCTCATTCTATGCTTTATTTTTTAAGAAGTTTAATATTATCACATGAAAGTTATATATATAATTAACTTATAAAGGACATATGTATGTATCACAATTATCTTGAATCGGTTTGATGCTCCTTGAAATATGTTTTTAGAAACAATCTAATTGCAAATTTAATCACCTGCACTTATCCTGAATTCTAAAATGTATATAGTGTCTCACAAGGAAGGACATAAAAAGTCTCAAAAAATTATCATTCCGAAACTTAACACATGAGATAGCATCTCGAAAGATCATAAGATTGAAGAATACAATATTTAATATAATAATAATAATAATGATAATAATAATACAATATTTTTGTTTCTAAAGGAACATTTATGAATAATAGTATCGATTTAACTTTCCTTGAATTTTTTTTATAAGATGCTTTGAAAATATGTTATACTGAATAATACTGATTATACAAACATAACATATATACGCAAACATATGTATATAAATTCAATATTATATATAACTAAAAACTGTGATATACTTTTAAAAAATTTCTTTTCTTTTAAATTAAAAAAAAGCCATGTCCATATGTCTATCTGTTGTACAAAAATTTTTTAAATAAGGATTTTGTTTTTCCAAAAATAGTTGTACAAAGAAGCGTTGCTGTATACATTATTGTGCTTAAATCTGTCTAAAATAATAATTTAAAAAACCGACAATTAAGAATAAAAATAATATACACTAAAATCTTATATTGTATTAAAACTGTTTTATCTAAAACCGTATAATAAGATTGTATACTTCACAGTAAGATATATATATATATATATATATATTTCATGCTTAAACATGTATATAACTCACATAAACTCACTTAAGATTTTAGCAAGGCTCTCAATGTAAAATACATATTTAAATTTCATCGACTAATAAGAATCAGATGCAGATGGTAGTTCAAGAAATTAATTTTCGCGAAACTGATTCGTTGTGCACAGGGCACTAATTTTTCTTGATCCGATACCAAGAAATTACATTTTATTCAAGCTTTTTAAAAAGTGTATAATAAACTTCTGTCCCCCTAAAAAAAGCTTAGATATAAATCACATAAATACATAACAAGATATTTTCAGATAAAGAATTTCTCGAAGTATAAAGATAACACAAACTAATTAAAAAACAAAACAAAAATATAATATACACAAAACGGCGCTGTTATAGATATATACAGAATGTCCAGTAATAATCACTTTATTAATCACTTCTCGTGTGCAAGTAAAGCAAGTTAAACTAAAGGAAGTCCTTCATATCATATTCGTAATAATTAATGAGAAGCTAATTAAAAAAGATCGGTATAAAAATTATATACCTGTATAATCTTCACGTTATATTAAATAATTACGATATAATAAAGTACTTCTTTGTACAATTATTTTTGATGGAATAAAATGTACATATAAAAACCTTTTTGTATACAAATTTTCTAGACAGTTATATGGACTTGGCTCCTCTTTTATATATTATTTAAAATAATATTTTAAACAATATGTACGTAAAGTCATTTAAATATAAAGAGATAAACATTTTAAAGAATTAAGTAATAATATATTATTAGTATTATTTAACGAAATATACATAAATTCTTTCATCATCAAATATTTACATATTATACCATTGCATTTAGATATTTCATATATATATATATATATATATATATATATATATATATATATATATATGTAAAATCTTTTAGTATCCACTAATGTGATGTAAGATCGAATTTGCTCATCATATTTTAAATAAATGCTCATTTGAATATTTAAGAGGCAACAACTCTTCAAAGCTAACGTTTATATTTGATTCTAAGCAACATCGAAATGATGAGATAAATAAATAAAAAGTTTTTAGACAAAACTTGTTTTTTATAATTGTGTTTTGATTTTTCCAAAAATTTAATATTTTTAAAATATATATCCTTATATCCATTATTTATGTGAAATTTAGATTTTTAAGAATACAAATTGATACAAGTATCTTATCCATATATGACAAAAGTTTAAATTTCAGAAAAATAATATGTATAAAAATAATGGACTATTGTTTTGAAAAATATTAAATATTAATTTTGGAAAACAATTAAATACACAATTATATATTACCTACAGAATTATAAAAATTGGTCTAAAACATTTTTTATATTTCTTATCTAATCGATAATTGCTCAGAATCAAATATAAGCGTTCTCAAGGGATTATTTTACCTCTTAAATCTCAAAAAGAGTACGTAACAAAAGTACGTTTCTCTAAGATTTTTCTGCTTAACAATAGATTTCAAGGAAAATCAGATCGTTTTCAGAACAATTGTGATATGTCCCTTGTTAGTCAATAAATGTAATAATTTAAAAAAAAATAATTCCACAATTTATGCGTTTAAAAATGTTAAATCCTATTAAAGTATACTTCAGTAATTCTGAAATAGTCACTTATCGAGGTAATTTTTTATCGTCGACTTGAGAAGCTTCGTTAATGCAATGATTTATTTTATAATTAGATGCTTTTATTTTATTTACTGGCAAGTTTATGCTGCGTACTTTTTATTACGATTTTTTTGCAAAGCTTTAATCCATGAAGAAAGGATAGTATTTCCTCCTTTCAACTGATATTACATTATTAATTAATACATACAACCTTTGGTTACATAAGAACATTAATATTAATTATGATGTTATCATACAAACCTGATCGACACACACACATACAAGTATGCCCATGCGCAGCGCGCACGCGCATAAACACATACATGTATTTAAAACCTATTCTATTAGTCTTTAGTTAATTGGCATTTCATGGCATATGACCTCAAGATACTATGAATGAGTCATGATCAGTTCTATATTTAACAGTGAAATATAATCCAGTTATTGTTTATATTTACTCAATTTTTTATGTTATGACTTTGCTAAGCAAATATAGATTAGACTAATTGCAATATCGATACTAGTTGAAAATAATTGATTTATATTCTCAATATCATATATAAAAACGATGACAACAAATTTTGCGCTATTGCATACATCGAATATTAATTATATTTATGCAATAGCGTACATCGAATATTAATATTTTATGGATTTAAGACTGCTGGATCCATATTGGATTGTGACGTCACAAAGAGAAAATACAAGTTGAAAATGTTTACGTGCCATTTTTAGATAAAAAGATATTTTGATGGAACACAACTTCAGATGACTTTAGCACACTTTTAAAATAGTCTGGAAACTATTTTTTTCCTTCTGAAAGTCAATCAATAGTAAAATAATTGAAATCAGAATTTATCTTGTGCAAAGTGCAAAGACCAGACAAACTGGGCCTCATATTATCAATTTCACAAATAATTGTTGATCGCCAGTGACAATTTTAAAACACTAATGAGATACAAATTAATTCGACCAAAAACTGGCTAATTCATTTATTATATTTAAAAATAAGTAAACATTACGTTTCGACCAATATTGTGGTCCTTATCAAGTTTTGTTCTTATTCAGCAATTACATTAATTAAAAATAGAAACACGAAAGTTCTCCCGTCATATCGACAATCTGTTAGCTACTGATATTATCATTTTACAGCTGTTAATTGATTATAAAGGCAAAAGGATAGTGTTTGCGATATTCATCGAAATATCTTTTTATTTCGAAATGGCATCTAAGAATTTTTAGCGTTTGTTTTCTCGCCTCTGATGTCACAATTCCAGAAGCCTTAAAGAACGAATTAATCGCAAAAGCGCGAACCAGCAATAAAATTTTCATGCGATTATGATAAGCATATGATAAGTTTTTTTTTGCGAGATCGTATTTCTTTTTTCACTTTTAAAACATATTTAAATTTTTGAATCAAAAAATTGGAGAATTCTCAAGAATACAATGTTCAAAAGGAGATTGCCACGAGACACATTCTTTGCATTCTTCATCTCTGATATGCCAATACAATTAAATATGAAAATGATTCGTATTCCTCTCATATCAATGGACGGATTTTATGTATGACCCGGTTGAGTCTCTCCCATCCGCTGCTGCATCATGGTCAAAAGTATTTCGGAATACTGCTGCATCATATTAACTATCTTGCCCTGATCCTGACCCGCGAGCAGTTCTTGAAACTTCGCGGTCGCCTCGTTGGTGATGATACTCTTGCTGTTTTCGTCGTGACTCTCGTTACCGGTAATGACCAATCTCAGGGTACGCATGGTCTCGTTCACGGACGATTCTAATCCTCGTAGCATCGTATCCTTGTCGATCGCTTCCGCGGAGGGGTCATCGTCGTTGTTTATCGTCAGACGTTTGTACAGCTGCACAACATTGTCCGCGGTTCGCATGAGCTCGTCCGCGATCGTGTTGCATAATTGTGTGGACACTGTGAAAATGATCATTAATATTAGATATACATATATAGTATAAATTTTACAGGACAAAGAATGTATATACATGATATGAGTAAATGATTATATCATGCAAGCGGGCAGATTAACTTTGCTTCTAAAATCCGTATGAGATCATGCTATATTATAATTAATATAGATATATATATATATCATATAATCTTCTAATAAGAAATTTTTTAAAAGGTCTATTGATGATTCGAAGAAATATTGTCGTGGATTTTTCAATGATCTACCTATGATTTCCTATGGTGTGTAATAATCGAAACTATACAAGTATAATACAAATTTATATACAGATGGGGAATATTTGAAATTGTCATCTTAATTTATATCGATGTTATTATTTAAAGAAAAGAAAAATTAGTTGAATTAAAATTGCATGGTTTTAAGAGAAATATATAAAATGGAAGAAATAAAAATTTTTCGGATTTAAAGTAATTTGAGGTTTTAAATGAAAAAATTGTTATAGCAGAATTGTATTACATATTTTTTATCATGGATTATTATCGTCAGACTCTGATTGCTTACCAAGAAAAAGAAACTCTTTTACTAATGTTAATTTCATTTAAAGAAAATGATTCAATAACATTACATTTTATATAAATACAACAGAGAATTAAATATTACTAATAGATTATATATATATATTGTATGTATTTCTAAATAAACAAGAGTATATATGTAATAAGAATTTCAAGACTTTAGCAATCATCTATCTGTGACGGAGGCATTTAATTGTATAAATTAAATTAAATTAAATTATCTATGCACACATTTTTCAATTCAGTATTAATCCCCAGAACATGATAATTATGTAAACTATCGATTAGTTGTAAGTTCCTACTCATAAATGTAACATATGTATTGTCATTATGTTGAAAGCAAGATCCGATGACTTACATTGCCAATTAAATTTTGTGTAGCATATTATGACTCTGGAATTATTCGTTTTCTGCATTTCTGCTGATACTAGCTGAAATGGCAGTTGGTGTTCGACTGCTGCCAACATAATACCCATGTAATGTTATGTAACGCAAATTATGTCATTTACAATACGTGATCTTCGCAGATTTAGTAATCTGGGCTATTATGAACTTGACAATTTTCCTATCATAGCATGATCACTTACAAATTTTCGATACAGTGAAATTATATTCGCGGCACATCATTTTTAATAGACATCTTTAGATTACCTAATGCTTTATCCATGCCTACTGCAAGAATAAAAGTAATATTAGATATCGGTATATGGCCTATTAATTAAAGGAGAACCAAATACCAATTATTCGTCAAGCCATATAAAATCAAATTGTGGAAAGAGAAAAACTAATTTCTAGTATTATGGTTCCTGCAATCTTGCATGTTTTTACACTTTTGCATGGCGATGAAAGGATGATTACTGTATGCTTATAATGATGAATTTTAGATACTCACATTCGGCACTAGCTACATCAATAGTACGATCCGTATCTTTGACTGGTAACTCATGTGGACTAGGTTCCAGCTGATTTCTATTTGTCGCAGATATCTTGCTTCCATTTTGCTCGATAATATTAGCACCACTTCGACCATTTATAATTGTCGAGCCAGACCTTCTCATTGTTGTGCTGGGTAAACTTAAACTAATATAAAGATAGAGAATATTTTATAATTGTTCGTATATTGTTATTATAGTTTAATGTGTTTAATATTTTATTTTTTATTAAAATTGTTATTATCGATTGATAGTAGAAATTGAATAGGATTTGTAATGTGATCATAATATTAAAAAATCACGATATAAGATAAAATTAAAAAAAGCATAAGATAAAATTTAAAAATTGTAGTAATTTTTATCAATTTAATAATGTTTCATTATATCTGATTCAAGCTCAAGTTTAACAGGAGATACAATGATTAGAATAAATTTGGTAGAATAAATTCTGTTTACTTATATTTAAAGTATAAAGTAGGAGTTTAATTCTAATATCAATTAGATTTGAATTTTATAAATTTTAAAAATTAAATTATTTCCATCATTTTATTAAATTTATATAAAACATTAATAAAAAGTTTCACAAAATTGAATCAAATAATAAGAACTTAAAATACCGAATTATTGTAGGCATATTTGCTTATTAAATGTATGTTTAATGACAGTAATATTTTATATTTTTGTTGAAACTTCGTGATATTAAAAATTAAGAATTATTTAAATCTTTACCTAGCAGAAGAATGATCAATACTAATACTTCTAGGTCTTGGTGGCAATGCTGGTTTTCCTCCATGTCCATTCGAAGAAGTATCTTCTGAACTCGAGTCTTCTTGATTTCCTACTTGACTTAGATTAACTGCAAAACAATTGTACATGTTAAATAAACAGCAATATCTATGTTTTTTTTTACAAAAAATAAAAATTTAAATACTGGTTGAGAAAGCTCCTTGCATTCCCCGTCTTCTTAAAATTGACGAAGCATTGCTGCCAGAGGAGCTTGATTTATTTTGATGATTGATTTTGTTCTGAGAACTGATTGTTGGCCTCATTAAACCGCTGATTCTGCTGCTGCTGGACTGACTATTCCATCCTCTATTATTTCCCCCTGATATACCAGCGTCTGATTCTGAATCGCTCTGTAGAAATGATTACAATTTTTATTTAGTGCACATTTAATTTTTCTTTGTATTTTTTTTCTTGCGGTTGTGAAACTTACTTGGTTTAAAACACCAACGCTGCTACTTCTTATTATATATGATTTTCCTGAAACATGTTTGGATTGACTGCTAAGATTGGCACTTCCAGAACCTGTTCTTGATGTTGCACTTATGTTTTTACTCCCTAATTTTCCTGAAACTATTATCACTAATTAGAAAAAAAATCTCGGACATGATTTATACATATATTCTTTTAATAAAATGCACATAAGATGTTTATTACCAAACTCAATATCTTTGTTGTTTAGTTCTTTCATTATTATTGTTATTTTAATAAAAAGTGCTTATAATTCAAGAGGACTGGTATAATTTCATTCAAGCGTTGAATTTATGTCAACTCTTAATTCGTTTAATAATTTTTAATCTTTCAGAGACTTTTAATCCTATGCAAATAAGTTCACCAACTTTCAAAAAGGCATACAAAGAGTTTTAGGACCCTTGTTATAAACTTTGAGGGTTAGTAAGATGCATCGGAGGGGTTGCTTAATGAAAATCTATGCTTTCGATGAGTCCTACTGTTCTCTAAATTCGTAACAAGGGTTCTGGAACATTCTGTATAGGATAAAGTCTAGAAATGATCCCACCGATTACAAATAATCAATTGGTCTTACGCATTAAAAATATATGTGCATGCAAAGCAATAAATGATATAAAAATAACAATAAACTTATTAATAAAGATAGATTACTAATAAAGAAAGTTAGATTATAATCTGAAAATCAAGCATTAGTTGCATCTATCAAGCAAAAAATCTAGAATTTTAAAAAGACAGTCAAGCCATGATGCAAAGAGACAGGAAAGCATAATATATTGTTATAAGAGAATTTAAAGAAGCATTTCTAAAATTAATGACTAATTAAGCACAAGTTTTTTAATAATTAAGTTATCTAATTTATTAGAAGAAATTTTCCTAACTCAAAAGAAGTCATGTGATATCAACATAATGGATGTTTTAGTTGACATATATATAAGGTATTTATAGTACGTAAAATATTAAATTTTCACATTACAAAGAATCTTTTATAATAATATTTTTACAAAACTGAAAAATATGAAAAAATATATTAGAATTGCATGTGTTAATATTAATCAGAAAATTATAAGTAAGACTTATAATTAAGTAGAGAATCATTCATTCATTGTCTACGAAAATGTACCGAAGTTAATGGACCAGCCATTTTTGAATATTTAATAAAATAAATTTTTTTCATTAATCTCTCTCTATTATATATTTCATCATTTAAGTTTAATTATATTTCATATTTATTCATATAAATTTCAAGATTTTTTGTATTTAAAGTTATATAAAAATATATTATCATAGGTGATTGGATTGACTTTTGATCTCAGCTATTATAATAAAACGATAAAAACATGTAATCTGGTTTAAAAAAATATCTTGTTGAAAAAAATGACTTTAAGAAAAATTGTTTGCTTATAAAATATTTGTCTGTTTTAAATAAATATTGTTTTTCTTCTGACAATTTTTATCAGTAAAAACCAGATATTTAAGATGCTCAAATTAAATAGGACACTCTGTATAATGATAAAAAATGGAAATTTATAAGAAAAATCTTCCTCAAGATTTTTATTGAGGAAAAATCTTCCAATTGACCAGAAAATCTATTATAAAATAAAGATAGTTTTGAGACACCTTCAATACATATAGAATATATAATATTTTAAGTAATTGTGTAATTTTTAATTCTGTTTTCTGTTTAGTTTTAGATATTATTAAAATTGTCTCCATTTGAGAAACATGTCATTTAAATCAAATCCTAGCATTTTTAAATACCCTGTATATAATTATATATGACAGAATATTTCGCATTTAATTTTAATATCTAAATTTGCTAATAGCAATATACTTACAACTTATTGAACTTACAATAATACTAGTATAGAAGCACATAAAAAATCAAAATACGTTATCTAAACGTTATCTATACAAAATGATAAAAGATACCTTGCACAGGACCATGCAGTAACTTATTTGAAGGGTTGATGGAAAGATCACTCAGCGAGCAGGTACGTCTCATGCCACCCCCTTCTTCTTCGCTATCAATAACTTTTGGTGAAATTCCTGTCCCTTTACTGGCAACTGTTAACAACGTGCATAATACACATGCACTAATAGCCACTACAATATTTGTATAATGTGCCCTGCTTAAAAGGTTGAAATAATAGAAACAGATTCAAATTTTCTTCAAATTTTACATGACAAACTACAGATGTCCCATAGGAAATTGTTAAAACTAATCAGCTATCATTTTTTAATACACGCAGTTATTGAGAAAACAAAAATTGTGTTGGAAAGAGGAAAGTCTGCAGTTTTTAACAAATATAAATAAAATGTTTGTATACCAGTTTATTTTATTGAAAAAAAGTAATGAAAAAGTGTTAATAATCACATATGTAAACTAATGAAACTAATGATAAATATTTTCGAAGTGCACCATTTGAATTTGTACAAAACTCTATTCTTTTACGAAAACTCGTAAAAACTTTTTCTAGCATGTCATTTTTAATGTTATCGACGATCCTTTTAATAGCTGTTATTAAATCTGGCACTGTTGAAAATATTTATCATTAGTTTATGTGATTTTATGTGATTATTAGCACTTTTTTCATTATATTACTTTTTATCAATAAAATAAACTGGTAGACAAACATTTTATCCATATCTATTAAAAACTGCTTTCCACTTTTCAACACAATTTTTGTTTTCTCAATAACTGCATGCATTAAATAATGACAGCTGATTAGTTTCAGCAATTTCCTGTGGGACACTCTGTATATTATTTCAATCTGTGTTTCTGCTGATATAGAAAAGCTATCTATTTATTCCTTAGATAACAAAAGTATCTGGATCAATTTTATATAATCGTATCTTATTTAAAATTATTAAACACTCAATCAGCCAAGTCTGTTCAAAACAGATCTTGTTAAATTTGTAGCACGAATTTCTTTTTTCATTGAGTATTTCAATATCACTCTGAAATATCATATATTATATTCTAAGATGCCAAATTGAGTGCGCAAGTCAAATCTGATAGAATAAATAAAATATTCTCTCTGTGTAAGCGATTAAATACACAATATTCCTACTTTTAGACATTTTTCCGAGTATCCCAAACCTACATTTGAAGATTTATCTGGGATAGAAACTTCCTAGAATATTCAAAAAAGCTGTGGAAAGAATAAAGTTAAGGCAATTATTTTTTGTGAGATGGAAACTTCAGACTAATTAATCAAATGTTACAGTTAAAAATGAAATCTACATAAAAGTTAGATAATTCGAATCTCAAAAATAGAAAATACAAGTCTGTATAATACAAGAAAAATCAAACATATAAGAAATCTGATATTTAAGAAACACATTCGACAATTTAACAGAAACACAATTCAAATATACAGATATTTTATCTGATTCTATTGGATTTTTTAAGCAGGGCATTTTTTAAAAGAAAATATTAAGCTCACCTTTTAAGTTCTCAAACAAATGCGATATAAAAATCACTTGCTTTCATTGATAGTCAAATATATAGTAACGTAACAATAAATTATAATATAAATAGCATTTGTGCTTGTATTATTAATATAATATATAAAAATGTAAAAACAAATAAGATTGTTAAGATATATTTTCTATTAAAACGCTGAAGTTTAAAGCATAATTCTAGTTTTGCAAATTTTCTTGAATTAATGCAAGATATTGCTATTTTGATTAACATCGATTTTCTTGCACAAATGTGAAACATAAAATAAAAATTATGATAGTAAATAAATAGAGGATAGGAATAATGACAAAGGAAGAAGAGAAGGATAATGTTATATTTAATGAAAAAAGCATGCGGTTGCATTTTCGTGCCAAATGAAAATAATAATAATAATACGAATAAAACTATATCATGATGACTAAAAGCATTTAAACTGAAAAGTAAGTTGCTGTCGCCTTGAAATAAAATTGGATATAACTGCTTGTAAGCATTGAGAAAATAAATTTTAGGTCGCATCAGCGTCATTACTATATATATATATATACATATATCATTACAGAAATCAAGAGAGAAATATCTGTCATATGTGTATATAATACAGGATGTTTCATTCTATAAATGTATATTAATATAGTCGAATATATCTGAAACTATGACTTTTTTTTAAAGAAAATTTGTTATACAAAAGTTAAAAGATTTCAAGAGAGAAAAAATTGATAATATTAAATTGTAACTAATGTCAATTTTCAAAGTTAATTGAAAATTAATTTAATTTTTCCACATAAATCGATTCTTCGCAATATTCGGCATAAAAAAATTATAAAGTGAATAATAAACGAGATATTTCTTACTTAAAAATTTTACATAAAACAACAAAAATTTTATTATAAAATATCTCGTAAAATATTAATTTTTTGATTAGTTTACCTTAATAATTTTATACACAAAATAATGAGAGCAATCAGTTGGTGTAAAAGAGACATATAATTGTTTTAAGAAAAATATGCAGCTACTAGTTGCAAATTACATAATTTTTCTTAAAAATAATTATATGTTTACATATATAACAGCTTTAACTCTTTTGTAATGATATAATATAATAAATACTGATGCGAATTACTTGTGCATTCGTAATTGCGACATTGATTGTTGACCAGGTGGCAAGCGTACGTCATTTAGACGTCGAATAACGTCATGTTGACGTTTAATGACGTCAAATTTTAGAGATGTATATCAACCGTAACATCGAGTAACATGTAAAAATATACGCAAGCATTCTTTTTATTCGCTCAATACCTGCGTAAGGATGTTTCATAGGGAGAATCGCTTGATTGATCGTCGGCAGAGTTTTCGTCCACCTCATGTGACTCTGGCATCGCGACGCGGGCGGCCACATTCTCTTCGGTGAATTGGTGCAACTCGAGGCGGACGTGGAGGAGCCGCTTTCCATCAGCGATCTGTCCATCGTCGACAAGACGTCGACGCAGTCGCACTCATCGCCGCACGAATGCACATTCGCGTCGCGTTTGTGAAAGCAAAACTTGCTCTCCCGTTCGGCCTTCAATTTAGCGAAGTTCTCGCTTCTGGTCTGACGTTGCGCCGACGACCTCGAGCACTTCTCCTTTACGAAGTACTGCTTCTGCCTCACCAAGTTCTCGAACTCCTTCGAGAGCAGCTTCACGGTGCCCTCGATGGCGCGAGTTATTCTGACGTCCATGCTCGCGCCAAGGTCGCCGACTCGTTTGTCGGACTGTAAATTCAAGCCTTTAGCTTTCGAGTCGCAGAAGGCTCCGCCGGACTCCAAAGAGTCGTAGGTCTCCGTGTCTTTCGTCGGGATTTCATTCTCGAAGCAGCTTCGCTCCTTGTCGGAAGAAGACCCGCCCGGCTTCTCCATCGTGTCGTGATGAATCTTTCCCAGATAATGGCTCTTCATCAAACGCGAAGGGTCGGCGCAATGAGCCTGCAAGCTGTAAAACTTGTGTCTGCCGTCCTTGTCCGAGTCCTGCGCGGGCTGCAAAGCTTGCTCCATCGCTTCCGCGTTGATCGGATCTCGTTTAATGTCCGAATTGCTTCGCGCGAGTCGGTACTCCGAGTAGGACGAGGTCATGATGGAAGAGGCCGCGTAATTCTCGGGGTCCGCCGAGCTTTTCGCTGAAGATGACAAGGGCTGCGTCACGTCGACGCACTTCCAGTTCGGTTTCATTCTGTTGCGCATGCTCTGAGTGCGGGGTAAATTTCTCTTGGGTTTCGGCGGTTTGTGGGCGACGAAATTGTTCATCGTCGCTTCCGGCTTCGTCCCTTCCAGCACCTTCGAGCCGCTGTTGCACGAGATCGCGTCCAACGCGCCGTATATCGCCGGCTCGACGTTCCTCTGTCGTTCGTCGTCGAAGTTAAATTCGTAGAAAATTCGAGTCTCCGGCGACGCTTTGCTTTCTAGGAAACTCATGTCGTTCCTCGTTGCTCTGTTGATTCTGGTGTCCTGCAAGGACTTGGATCTGAACACCGTTCGATGCGATGCGTCCTCGTCGACGGAGCCTTGAGCATTGTCTTTTGTAACAGCTCTCGCAGCGTAATTTTCGGGGTTCTCGCTGTAGGTCTCCGAGTTCTGCCTCTTCCGTTTGTAATGCGAGTCGAACAACATCTCCAGAGGCGCGGATTTCACCTGAGAATCCGAGTCATCGGTTAGTACGCTCTCGGTGCTTTGGTGAACGGCGTTGTTTTCGCGTAACGGGAACATCTGGTAGTCCGATTCGTCGGTGAGAATGCTCTCCTGGCTTCTGCCAGCCTGCATCTTCCGCTGAGACAAGAAGAAGCTCGCGCTCGAGTGTCTGTCGTGATCGTAATGATTGTAATCGATTTCGGCGCTTTCCTTGGAGAACGACTCGATGGAGGCGTCTGAAAGAATGCTCTCCTGAGAACCCGTGGAGATTCTTCTTTGGAAGTTCTGATAATTCGAATAATTTCTATAGTCGTTCATGTGAACGTTTATTTGGTAGTCGCTGACGCAGCGGCGAGGTGGATTCTTGAAGTCACCCTCCAAGGAGTCGTCACTGAAATTCCCGTTTTCTTCAGCATCGTTCTCCAGCGTCTCCTTGAGACTCTCCACGTTATTACGCTCGTTCATGGCCGGTAAACTTTCGACGGACTTCGCGACGTTCTCCATATCCTCGTTCAGGCCGATGAAGTAGCTGCAGGATCTTCTCTTCTGGGCGAATCGCGCGAACCGAGACATGGTGTTCTTGCATTGCTCCTTCAGCAATTTCAGTTCCTCGCATACGGGAGACTCGGGCAAGGATTGATTAGCCTTGTTCAAGGACAACTTGTACTTTTCAGTTTTCTTTAACGTCAAGGTCAACGGACGGCTAAAACTTGGTTTCGCTTTCTCATTGATATACAACATAGTCTGACTTCTCGACAAGTAGTTTTCATTTGGTACCTCTAATTTAGATAATGCATTCCCCATACCTTGAACCTTGTTAGTAAGTTGTTGGGGTTTAAGTGTGGATTTTGGAGTTAGTATGGGTTTGCAGGAGTTAGTCGGTTTTGAATACTGATTCTTTTGACCGAATTTGTTACCTGTGCTGAGCCGCGAACGATGATGCTTCGTTTGGATATGGCTGGTCAGATCGGATATGCTTTGGCTGGATTTCAAGGACGATCTGTAGCCGACCTGTGCGAATAATAATCGAGTTTTATCTCTCGTGCTATATTCTTCTTTCTTTTACGCAACAGAAGTTGTTACTTACGCTCTGCAATTTTTTTCTAGTTTCTTCTATCCTCCTTTGCAACTCTTCTCGTTTCTTTACCACGTCGACATCGCCTCGTTTGGTCGCGTTAACTATCGTTGCATTACGCATCGTAGTGCTGCCTTCACCGCCACTAAGTCTGCAATAATTTGGTTCAATCGATAATTAGTAAATACACGATTTAATAATTTTTTAATAGGGTTGGCTAAGTTAATTATTTTTTTAGACTAAGTTAAAGTAAAGTTAATGGCTCATAAAATTATTTTAGTTACGTTAAAAGTTATAAACAAAAAATTAACTCAGTTAAAAGTTGAATGTCATAATTAAAAAAATTTTTTATTTAATATTTTATTTGTTAATTTTTTAATTATATAAAATAACAAATAAGAAAATAACAAAAATTTTATTTTTATATAGAAATGTATTTTTTTTCCTTGTAATTAGAATTATGAAGAAAAAAATTAGTATTTTTAAGATATAAAAAAATAGAATAGAAAGAAAAATAGTATTTTTTATTTATTTCATAATTCTTGTAAGAATATATATTATAAAATGATAATCTCTTATTAAAATTTATTAAAGATTTAATTGCCCACTTGGAAAAAAGTTAATAACTAGTTTAAGTTAAAAATTAACTCATTTTAAATTAATTAAGCTAAGTTCTTAACTTTTTATATATATATTTCACTTTTAACTAATTAACTAGTTATTACTCAACTTTGCTTTTTAATAAATAACGAGCGACGTTTAAAATTGTTTGAAAAATATTCAGGACAGAGTGACCTTGACAACATATGTATGTAAGTCATTGAAAGGCTCCGTTTTTCTACAGTTTCACCTTTCATTTTTTATCGATAGTTAAAACCAAATTTATTTTACCTTCCGTGAAATTGGGAACTGATGCTCGTGGTTTTTACACGATTTAGAGGCTCCTCCGCTCCGCTAAGCGACTCAAAGGCGTTCTTCAGATATTTTTCCCTATGATTCTGCTTAGCGAGCTGATCGAAACCTTCCGAGCTGGCCTCGGACAATATGGATAGAGGATTTCTCTCGGCGCTGGGAGTCGATGCACCACCTTCCGAGTCAGACTCATCCTGACTTCCGGACGCGGTCAATTCGCTCGTCCTATTTTCCGCGTTCTTTAATCTTTTCTGTCGCCTTTGCGATCTGCGCATTCAAAATGCACTTATTATTTATAAGATACTTACAATATTATTCTACGAATATATATTTAATGAACGAAAGAACAACCTTCGAAGTTCCTCAACATCTATTGCGTTAACGGTGAATTGATTTGATATAATATCTTCCGATGGAGGATAATATATTAATCTGTGATGCGATTTCTCAGAACCAGTCGTTCCATTTTCCCCTTCGGAGTAATCTTCAACATCTCCATCATGTTCAGTGCTCTCATGATCCTGAACAACATATTTTTTTTATGATATTGAATAATATACGAATTAAGAACGAGCCGTTATTAATGACAGACAATAATTAAAAACTAACAATTAAAAATAACAGATAACGCACAAGCTATAAGCATAAAATAATAATGCCAATTAAAATCATATCAGTGGAAATGTTATTTACACAATATATGGTGCATTTTATTATGTTAAAAAAGCCGTTTTATCAATCATTTTGTATAAAAAGCTTTTTTTTTGAATAATGATTTCTAGGAATGCTTTACTTTTCAGACGTTATACCTCAAATTTAAAGCTGCCAAGACTGCTATCGTCGGTGTGATGACGACTCCTTGACTGACGTGTTAATTCCGTCATACTGTTTCTTATTGTTACCTTATCATCGATTATCTATACCAGCGATCGAAATAAAATACATTTAGCAAAATATAAATATGATGATGAAATTAAAGAGCAACATAAATTTAAAAAAAGAAAGTGATTAAAAAAGGGACAAGAGCAAAGAAAAATAATTAACAAGATCACTGCAATCAATGCAAATTAAGAAAACAAGAACGCATGCAAAAACAAAGTCTAAAACATGAAATATCTAACTAATTTGGAAACGTGGGCTATTAAAAGCCAAACGCAGTTAGTGAATATTGAAATGTACAGAATTAATCAATAAACTTTCATTAGAAAAATCTAATGCGCTTCGCTAACTGCACCTAGCCTTCAGCAGCCTATTTCCTATTAATTATATAATTCAGAAATTAATACCTGTTTTGTTTCATTTTCTATCTCTTTATAACTTTCAGGACAAGGCTGAAATACGTTTCTTTCCTCTCCCTAAAATCACAATCAAAAGTGTTAATATCCTATTGTTAAATTAAAAACCCAGCAATATTATCTATTTTATTAACATCTATATTATTATTTTCGAATAAACACAATAGTTATAGAGAATATGATTAATAGAACAAATCACGTAAAAAATCAAATATTTAAGGTTTTTGGATCCTCACGCGACCATGTTAGATTGTGACGTCAGAGGCGAGAAAGCAGACGCTGAAAATTCTTAGATGCCATTTTTAAATAAAAAGATATTTCGATGAAACACTATTTTAGATAACTAAAACACACTTCTCTTCCTTTGTCAGTCAAACAACTGTAAAATCATCACAATATCAGACTTTGACAAGACAAACTGAGCCTCAGTAGTTTTTGAGGTATTTTCAGAGTGTGCCATCTAAAGATATCTTTTTATTTCGAATAATCTAAGAATTTTTAGCGTGTTTTCTCGTTTCTGACGTTACAATTCTAACATGGTCGGCGAGGAGTTTTAATTTGCACGTTTAATTAAATTGTATATTTGATAACAGTGACCTTTTTAGCTGCTATTTCTTGGCGATATTCGCTGCTGTATTTTGTCTCGGTGCCGCTGTCGATGGAGCTGTCTTTCGAATCAACGCCACCGCCACCGCCATCCGAATCAATTGCACGTGACGGAGGAAATGGTATAACTTCATCGCTGTCGTAGACGGACTTTACCGTGATACCGTCCGTCTGTTGGACTCTCTGCGCCCATCTCCCTTTAGGCAAATCGACATTGAGGGACCTGACATTCAGGTCGTGCGCCGCACCTTGCTCATCGGCGCTTGTATTTATTTGTTTCTTCGCCCATAGCGGCAGCTGACCCACGCTAAATCTGTAATCCAAGCCGATCCCTTGAGGCGTCGGATTCGCATTGGGGTCGAGAAAGTCCGGTGAAGGTGATCCGAAAGTATCATTGTCCAACTGCACGTCGATATTGGCAACGTTGACCTGAGGCGGTCTCCTAAGATGAATACAACACCAAATAATAATACAGTTTTTAATCAAATTCAGGAACTGGCTGCACCAGTTCAGAGTTTCTTTTTTATTTCATATTGGAAAGAAATAGATAAACTCTGAACTAGTGCAGCCAGTTCAGCTAAAAAGAACGGACCTAATACAGGATGATCCATAGGAAATTGCTGAAACTAATTAGCTGTCATTTTTTAATGCATGCAGTTATTAAGAAAACAAAAATTATGTTGGAAAGAGAAAAGTCTGCAGTTTTTAATGGATATAAATAAAATGTTTGTACACCAGTTTATTTTGTTGAAAAAAGTGCAAATAATCACATAAAATCACGTAAACTAATGAGAAATATTGTCAATAGTGCCAGATTTAATAGCAGCTATTAAAAGGATCGTCAATAACATTAAAAATGACATGCTAGAAAAAGTTTTTACGAGTTTTTGTAAAAGAACATAATTTTTATATAATTATTTGCACTTTTCCCATTACTTTTTTAAATAAAATTAACTAGTAGACATTTTATTTATATCTGTTAAAAACTTTCCTCTTTCCAACACAATTGTTGTTTTCTCAATAACTGCATGCATTAAAAAACGACAGCTGATTAGTTTCAGCAATTTCCTATGGAATACCCTGCAAGAGTGTTAAACTTTTATTAAGTAGGGACAGAAGAAAACTACTCACTTGCCGGCACGCATCGCCTGTTGAGCCAGACGAGCTTGCATGGTCACAACCATATCGTGTGGAACGCGCCATACGAACACGCAACCATCGCCACTCGCAGATACGAGGTGTCGACAGTCAGGACTGAATCGCAAACCTGTCACCAGCTCCGAATGACCCACCATAGTGGCCATACACTCGCCGCTGTAATAATCGTATACACAAAGTGTCTTATCTGTACATGAGGTAGCCACGTAAATACCGGACGCATCTGAAAATAAACGATTAAATAAAATATTTGCACATCATGATCATTTCAGCAATTCAAGATGTGAATATTGCTATTCTAATTCAATACAAATAAAATATCTTTAACCCATTTTTTGCGAAATTAATTTTTCATCGTTACAATAATTAATCATTTTTATATTAATAATTATAAATATCATTTTTATAATAATAATAATTATATAATATAAATTTAAGAGTTATTTATATCACTTTAATAAAAATTATAAATTTATTTCTTTAATATAAAAATAATTTAAAAAGGAAATCTTACCTAGAACGACTTTGATCAGTGAACCATCGTCGCTGACGGAGCCTTTGAAAGTTTTATTGTGTTTACCCGTAGCAACATTGTAAACCCTAATATTTCTATCTTGACACGCGGTTAAGACATGCTTCTGTCCGGAATCAACTTCCATGTCGTACAGAGTAGTTTTTCCCTGAGCGTTGTGATCTCTCGCGAATTGTGGATTTCCACCTGTCTGTAAAAAAAAGAGGAAAATTAAATTAATATATATTCTTCTGACGAATACAATCTCAATTTATCATTGATTAATGAATTAGATTGTTTTTTCTTACCGATTGCAGCTGTCTGAAAATAATACTCTTATCTGCGCCGCAGGATACCATCTGGATTTGATTATCCTGATTTGATTGATTGAAGAATCTGACTGCGGTGATGGACGAACTGTGATCGTCGAGCGTTTGTAAGAAATTGTATCCCTGATCCACGCTAAAAACGTGAATTAACCGATCTCGCGACGCACTTGCCAATAATCTGGAAGCATTCACCGAGTGTTGCGAAAATTTCGAATACTCTAAGCACAGCACCTCGGCATCATGCGCCTCTATTAAACACTGTTCTTCTAACGAAGGTACATCATGAATTCTGATGTTGCCGGATCTGTAAGAATAATACGTGAATGTTACATTTCTTATCTTTAATACTTTACATAAACGATCCTGTATGTACATATTATGTACACAAAATGATGGAAAAGTAAGGAATTGCTCTGATATTTCGAAAACTAGATTTTAGAAAATACAATACTTAAGACAAAAGTTATAGAACACAATGTTTTATGCAGCAGTTATGTCCCAAATAGCAAAATTAATCATTTTGATGTCATTTTAGCATCAACTAATTTTGCTATCTGGGGTCATTTTGAGCTTGGATCATGTTCATGTTTTGATGATATAATATTAATAAATATATATAAATATTGACAGTATGAGTTAAAAAATTCTTACTAAAAAAGAATTTATAATCATATATTTTGGAAACGCCTCGATATTAATTAAAAAAATATATAATAAAAATAGGAGTTCTTATTTAAACAGTTCAAGATGATTTACACAAAGATCCAACGTCAAAATGACGCAATTTATATATGTATATACATCATATTTGTAACTTTTGTCTAATAGTCTAATTATAAAGCAAGTTTTCCAAAATTCATAGTTATAGAAATCTTAAGATGTTGTTTTCCTTCTATATTAACAAAATTTAAAAAATTCCTTACCTATCTCCGGAGGCAAGATGTTTACCGTCAGGACTGACTCTTATAGATCTTACTCCATTACGACCATCATAAGACGCGTCACTTTTTTCGGTGGATCCTGCGGCAGCTAAATCCAGATCCTTCAGATAAGTCAATTCTGGATCCACATACAAGACTTTGAGTAATTCCTGTTGATAAGAAGAAAAATTGTGAAATAAGATATAGATTTCATACGATTGCGTTTCATTTTGTTATATTTTAAGGAAAAAAAATAAAGCGTATGCCTATATATACTAACGTTGCTGTAAATGTTTCGCTTATACAATGTATCGTTTGGCGAGATATCTTTCTCCAGATTCCAAATTCTTATTGTGTCATCGCTGGAGCAAGTGATGAAACTCCCAAGAGGCATCGCGCCGACAGATTCTGGGCCGATTGGATACATTTCGACACCCCAAATGCAGGCCGAATGGTATAAAAATGAATGTGACTTGCCGACCCGCCTAATGTCTCTCACGTCCCAAACGTAGATACTATGGTCGTTGTAGATGCAGGTCAGCTTGTTGTTTCGTTCGTCGAATGCCAGCGCAATTGTATCCGGATACCTCGCGTTCGGTGGATGTTGGGACATATGACTGGAAAAATGAATAAAAACGTATTTATAGGTCTTGTGCATTATGAGATACCCAGGTAACAAGCTGATGTCATTAAACGTCAAAATGACGTAATTTACTCGGCAAAGAATTAAAGCAATATTGCTATAAACCTGATGGATAATCCTTGCGCGACATCGACCCCCAAATAATGCGTCCGCGGTAGTGTAGTGATAAATTGAAGAGTGCTAGGACTGAAACACCTTACAATTCCTTCAGCGCATCCGATAAAAATATATTTATCTCCGACGGTCATGCAATTGGCACTGCTTGTCTGGAAAAATAGTAAAAAACTCTTCTCATTCACATGGATATGCCTAAAGTAGATTGATTACATTCCATTCTTTTCTTTTTGCTTTGTTGTGATCAGCATATAATTGTGTATAGAAAGAATCTTGACTAGAATAACTTACTCGGAGTTCGACCCATTTATCCAAAAGTCTCCTATTATTAAATTCGCACAACAGGCCTGTTTTGGTAATCACATATGTGGAATCAGCCATTTCCCCCTTGCCGCAAGCTACATCGACGAAGTCGTTGTTTCTTTGTTCCCCTAATATGGCAGATCGGCCCATCAAAGGCACAGGTTCCTTATACTGCGCAAGAAAATACCATATACATATATGTTAGAAAGTTAAGCTCTCTGTCGCGCGAAGAGAAGAGAGAAAAAGATTGATCTAATCGATTAAATGAAAGAAGTTATTGTACCTTGGCACTGCGAGAATATTCCAAGTACCAAAACTTGACGTGTCTGTTACCCACGGTAACAAAATAGTTGCCGTTTTCCGCGAAGCAGACAGCCTTGACCTTGCTCGAAACTTTGTTAGAGGCCACTTTAATATTGTTCCTCCAATCCCAGACGTTGACGATCATGTCGTGCTGCGAGCCGACCGATACAACATACTTGTTGCTCGGCGAAAATGCCTTAAAACAGATACAAATATTTTTTTGTACATGTATTTACTGCAATTCACTTTCGAGACATCCTGTGCATCTACAGAATATTGCATTTTAATCTTAAGACTCCTTGGCGCTCGCTGTGGCCATGTCAGATTGTGACGTCAGCAGCGAGAAAATACACGTTGAAAATTCTTAGATGCCATATTTAAATGAAAATATTTTCTTATCTAAAAATGGCACGCCGAAATTTTGAACGTGTATTTTTCTCTCGCCTCTGACGTCATAATCTAACATAGCAAGTACCAAAAGGAGCCTTGATAGAAAAACATACAAAAAAAAAGAATATTGATGTAAAATAATCTTGGCTTAAAAATGAGGCTTGAAGATAAGAAGTAAAAAATATCCCAGATTTTGCAACTATATACATTTGAGATGAAAAATCATTTAAGTAGCACTCACCACGCAATTGATGCCATATTTGTGTCCGGGAAATTCCGCGATCTGCACGGCATTATGCGGATCGGAGATGTCCCAGACACGAACGTTTGGCATGTGACCACATTCTCCCGTGGCCAGAAGCTTGCCATCGCCGGCGAGGGCCAGAGAAGTTACGGTTTTGCGACAAGCGTTCAACACGTGTGCCTGAGTGTTCCTCCGTGGATTGAATAGCACGACGGTGCAGCTGCAATATGCAATGGAAATATTGTTAATTGTTACTACGTATTTATAAAATGCAACCAATCGAAACAATTTTATTCTCGTCGTTAAGAAAGTGCGATTACAAATTTTTAATACAAATTATAATACACAAGGTGTTCCAAAATTCGCGAATATCGATAATTTCCAAGTTATAAGCGATTGAAAATAAAGGATTTTTCGCAAACTAAGTCTTGTGGAAATAAAATATTAACAAAATTATATTCTTCAATTAATTTCAAGTAGAGTTTACTTTAGTAAAATTTTAATTTAAGATTTAGTTATAAAGATACATGATGGTAAAAACTGAGGATGAAAACATGCAATAAATGATGACTTCTCTCGACATTTTCGCTCATTCACGAATTTTGGGACACCCTGTATACAATCTATAATATATACAAATGTTATAATTATAAAGCACAATTTTAAATTAATTTACAATATCATTATTGTTTGCTGTTACATCAAATTTATATCTAAGAATTAAAAATTAAAATTGTATTATATTTTATACAGTTCAATATGATAAATGACATTCCATATTGCTGATTAATTCCCCATAATTTTTAAAATTTTATATGATAAGATAGTATTTTCATTAGAGATTAGAGATATAGTGGTTGAGAGTGCGATAAAAAAATTAAAAAATAAAAAATATATTTATTTACAGTAAATCAAAAAGTTTTAAGTGTTTTAAAAGCAGGGTTGATAAGTTAATGATTTTTTTAAATTAAGTTAAGTTAAAGTTAGTTGCTTATAAAATTAATTTAAATTAAAAGTTGCATGAACAAAAAATTAACTCAGTTAATGTTAATATTAAATTAATTGAAGTTAAATCAAAAGTTAATTTTGAAAAACATTATTTATATTAAATTAGAATTTTTGTTTGTTAATTCTTTAAAAATTTATAATAATAAATAACAAAGAAATTTGATTTTTATATAAAAATATATTTTTTGGTAATTACAATTGCTGACAAATAAACATAAAAATTAAAAATACTTTAATTAAAAATAATACGTTTATAACTTATAAAAAACAATAATCGTATTGAGAGATAAAAAATGTAATTTAGAAAAAAAATTAATAAGTTTAAGGTCAAAAATAACTAGTTGAAATAAAAATAAATACATTTTAAATTAACTGAGCTAAATTAAAAGTTATTAACTTTTAACGTTTTTTAACTTTTAACTAATTAACTAGTTATTACTCTGTTTAAAAGTTTATCTCTTATGTATTGGAATACTTCGTAGAAAAAATGATAGCAATGTAGAAATGACCGTATTCATGGAGTGACGTAACGACATAGTCGAGCACAGCATACATATGCATGATGTGTCGACTTGTGCCGTAGTTAGAAAGCAAATGGATTGTATACTGTGTTACACACTCGTTTGTATATTTTGCTGGAAAACATCCATAGTCTTAATACAAGTATTTCCTTATTTTGTTAGAGATTCAAAAGAAAATTGTGCATTTTTATGTTTTGCTCTTTTTAAACATATCTAAATTGTCTAAAGTGTCTCTATTGTATTTATTTATTATCTACATTTTATTGTTTCAATTCAATGAAAGAGGAATCAAACTTACCCAGCTGGATAAGCGACCAGGTCAAGTGTGACGTCACAATCAAGGGCTGCATTGCTGGATACAGTTACTCCCAGGACTCGTTCTAATTTGATCTAAAATAAATTTTTTTAAAATATTTTCAATACTTACTGTAACAAAGTAAAATTTTTACTCAATAATTATTAATAAGATTCCAAATAAACTGATTAGTGATAAAATTGCAAAATAATGAGATAATTTAATAGTACAATTTTTCGTAATTTAATTTTTTTTTTTTTAAATAAGCACTTCAACAAAGAAATTTCAACGAGATTAATTTTTTTAATGATGTAAGTGATTGTGCATAAAGAACAAATTTTATATATTCGATGCGATATCAAGTGTTTAAATAATTTTCATTTGATGTGTTTTGGATCTTCTATGTATATTATTTTACAATTAGTTACATTTGTATATACATTTCTCATTTTTTAGATGTACATTATATTACATCGAGGATGTATATCTATAAAATATACATATATGAATGTATATATATTGTATAGTAACATATTTTAATGTTTTGTGGGTTAGTATGGCACTTGTGTCACACTTATTGTTAGCCCCAGGCATTCACCATTGAATTCTGCAATATTATGTGGCTTTTTCTTTGTCGAGGAAAACGAGGTACATACATTTCATTATAAAATATATGTGTGTTGTGTGTGAAATATGTCAAATTTAGATTAGCGTGATTAGCGTGAATGATAAAAGATACACATTATAGGTCATGACTTGACAATTTGCTGATATTTATGTGTGTTGAATATAGTTTTAACTATTTTATATTTTACCGAAAAAATTACAAAATTATAAAACTCCACATATCCTTATGATTTTCAAACTGTGTATCCTTATAATATATCCTCATAATTTTCAAAATATATGTGTGTTATGTGACAGATAATATAATTTCTCAACTTGTACTAAATTGTACTAATCCACAAAACAAATAAAAACCATGCAAGACTCAGTCTCTTCAAGGATTAGTTAAAGATCCATTCGAAAAATATAAGATTGAAAAAATTTGATATTTCGAATTTTCTCCAGTTGTACCAAATTGTGCTAATTGAGCACAATAATTTTTCTTAATGTTCAAATGCCAAACTAGACCATTATAATTTCCAATTAAAACAGACAGAATTAAAATGTCAAAATTTTAGATACAAATTTTATATCCTTAGAGCATATTGACAGATAAATGAATTTTAAAATTAATGAAAAATTAACTAATAAATATATATGTAGATGTAGACGTCTAACAAAATCATAACAATTTTATGGATTAATGTTACTGTGTATATGTATATTCAAAAATAATATACATATAAATATAATACATATATATATATATATATATATATATATATATATATATATGTATATATGTATAATATATATATATATAATATATATAAAAATTTATATCATTATCATCACTTACTCTATTCTGTATCCTAACGTTCTCTTGACCTCTCTTTAAATTAGGGGCCCGGAGAACCTTGCTGGTAAGTGGTGGTTCCATCATGGTAATAAATTCCGTTCTCTCAGGATTTCATTTCTGAATGAACGTTCAGATTTTATTTCATTTTCTGTAACAGAAATAATATTTTTATATATTTTGCGCATTAAATATAACTTTTGCGAAGAAATAAACAAGCGATTTTCCATTCGTATAATAAACAGAAGAAATAGATTAGCTTTAAACAAGTAAATTTTTTTCTCTGTATAAGCTTGTGAAAATGATTGATTATTTCATATTATCGAATGCAAAGTAGTTGCATCAATATTTATTTCAATTTTGTTCAAACACAATCTTTTGCACTTTCATGCATCTGCAATCATGTGTTTGCTAGAAATTTATGATTAGATGACAAGATAGAATCTATAATAGTATAAAATTGGCATAATATATCAAAATTTCTGAACTTTCTTGAGCCTTTACGAGGCCTCTCGGTTATCATGATGATACGATGATAGATAGTTAAGTGAAAGTAAGAATAAATACGTCTCGATAATGAAAAATCGAGATTTTATGCAAATTTTTTTATGTCAGATTGTGCAGCTAATATAAAAAAAAATATATATATATAAAGTTAAATAATTTTCCCTCGATTATTTATAATGCTATAAAGAATTATACACTATCGATAAAATAAAGAATGTAAACAAATATGCAGATTTGAAATAAATGCAAATGGAAATACAAAATGTAAAATGTCTATTTTGTATTTTGCATTTAAAGTACATTTTTCTTCATCTCCATTTAAATGACTTTCATTACCCATTTTATATTCTAAATGCATTTTGTTTATAAACTAAATTGAGATATCAATGATATGTGATATGTGTATATGTATATGTACAATGTAATGATGGTATCATGTCCTCATTATTCCAGCACGCTGGATTTTAATTATGATTCTTATAAAAGAAAAACTTCTTCTTTTCCGAAAGCAATCAAAATGTCATTTTAAAAGAATAATTAAATGTGAATAATAATAGGCAAACATTTTTTGTAATCCTACATCTAAAAATTTATATAATTCAATTTTTGTAATTCATAATAAAATATTAACAAAACAGAATTTAAGAAATAATATATATAAAAGTGAAAAAAATTAAAAAATGTAAAAAGAAATATAAATAAAAATGAAATTTAAATTTAAATAAATATAAAAATATGTAAAAATATAAATATTTATAAAGATTTTTATGAAAAAAAAAAAAAAATCATTTTAGAAATGCCTATTTTCTATTTCTTAATTTAAAAAATGGGAGCTTTCCAAAAAAGCATTTTGCATTTTCAAAATTAAAAGAATCAAACTTTTTTTTCTATTTTCAATGAGTTTAAACATTCATTTTGCACATTTCTGGCTATACATATATTGAAAAAATTTGTTAACTTGACTAAATCCTGCAACAAAATAATTTTGTTAATTGAACGTATATTAGTATTAAGTCATACACATTTTGTTATATTTATATTATATTTAATTTAAATATTTTTTCGCGATAGGCTCTCTCAGCGAATTATATATTTCCTTGTTGTTAATATTTTATATTATTTAATATTATATTTAAATGTAATATAAAATATTTAGTCAAAGAGATAGATAAGTTATTAACAAAAATAATTTTTAGTTAAATCATTTAATTATTTACGAATTATACATTCGTTGATAACATTTCATCTTTCTCTTTGCTTAATAAAATAATATTTAGTCAAAAGATTTAGTAAAGTTTACAAAATCTTTTAGTGTACAAATTATTGACTTTCACTCTAGTTGCAAATGCATTATAATTTTGAAGGAAATATATAGGCTAATTATAAAAATATATAAGATCTTAACATTTTTATATATAATTTTAAGAACAAGAAGTAGAAATATAATAGTGATCTCTTGTTAAAATAATAATTTACAGCAAAATATTAAGAGCTAAAAAAATAATTACATTAATATTGTATTATAAAAATATAAAAATACAAAGTAATATTATCAAGGAATATCAATGCACAAAACTTAGGTGTTTCGGAGTTTTTTTTTTACCAAGGACACTGAATTAACACTCGATTTTTAATGCTAAAACTAAAAGTTATAACTGTGTTTTATACTTATTATTGTCCAATTAATTTCGAAACAATATTGTTAGTTCTTTCTCGAACCAACAATCATAATGACAAATAATTAGATATAATAGATCTAGTTATTATTTGACCCGGAAGCAGCTATCTTTAGCTAAGAAAGAATTAATGTTGATTGTAGTTTCAATCAAAGCTCTAATAAATCTCCAATAATAAAAATAAATAAATAAAATAAAAATAAGAAATAAAGCCTGCCAAGTGAATTCTTGCAATAAAAATAAAGCAAATACCATTTGCATTTTAAATAATAAAAAATATTTGTAGAAATGTACACACACGAAATGGAATTAATTTACAAAAAATATGCTGAACAATTTTATTTTAGAAATTTTACAAGAAAAAAAATAACTGTGACATATTAAGTTTTTGCAATTAAGAGCTATTTTTATTAATTATTTAAATAATAATTAATGAATTATTTAAATGTTAAAGAAATTAAAGGTAAAATAAATAAACAAAGTTTTTTTTAAATACACTGAGAAAAAAATTTGTTAATTTGACTAAAACGTTCAACTAATTGTAAATTACTTTTGTTAATTAAATATATATTAGTATTTAATTCAAATACACTTTTGTTAGATTTAATATGTTATATTTAAATATTTTTATATGTTTAATTAACAAATATTATTTAGTTGAACGATTTAGTCAATTTAACTTTTTTTCAGTGTGCTATCTGGTTCAACTTATAATCAGTAATCAATTTCTTCTGCAATAATTTATATATAATTCCTCACATATAAGTATTAAACTCTTGGTTTTTCATTGATCTTAGCATTGTTTTTTAATAGATTTTCAGGATAAAAAGCATTTTCAATCGATTGTATTTTTATGAATTGGATTAAATTACACAGTTCGACAAAAAATACATAAGAACAAGAATAATCATTATCTCTGTAGTTTATTTGATACTAAATACAATTGCAAATTGCTTTATTCTATAAATATTGAGAAATTTGCATTAAAAAGAAAGCCATGACCTTAGAAATTTATGCTCACATTTATAGATTATTAAATCATGAATTTGTCTAGAAAAAAATGTTGAAATTTTGGTTGAGGAATCGATTTTAGACAAAAGACTGTAATCCAAACATAATTAAAAAATAGTTAAATCTTCTAAAGCAATATTAATCACTTGGATCACATGTATATATAGAAAAAAAAGAAGTGTTAAATCAACACTTATATACTTGTATGTATGCAAAAAAATGAATGGAAAAAGAAAAATGTTGGATAGAAAATAACTTATTTCTTCATATAACATATTTTATTATATTCTTCAGAACATAATATAAAATATTGAAATAAGGCCGTAATAATGTTGAAATTTAAGATTTAGCAAATTTTTATAAAGAGATTATGGAATCTTATCAGAAGATTATTTATATTGTTGCATATATACAAATATTAAATACTGATTTGACATTTCTTTCTTTTTCTGCATACATTTGTATCGATTATTCAAATATTATTTATCGAATAATTATCACAGAGAGACTGAACTTGTCAAAACCTTGAAGTCATCGCATTCATCATTTCATTTCCCTATTTCTATTTACATACATCATACATTATGTTTGACATATATTACATATTATACATATCTTTATATATTATTACATATAATTATATGGAACACATATATATAATTATATATGTTCACATGTTCTCTTTTCCATCTTCTAAGTAAGAAAAATAATAAAAATGAGAAGAGCAATAATAAAAAATAATTTAAAAAATACATTCTTTTGAAAAGTAAACTTAAAAAAATGAGAAAAATTGCTCATATTTATCTGTCAAATTTATGATTGTTTCTTTATACAAATAATTCCTGAGAATCAATGATGCATATCCAACCGTATAAAAATATTCTCAATCGACGTGCTGCATCGTCGTACACGATGATCGATGATCACAATTGATGCTCGTTATGTAAATCAAGAAATCGAAACGTAGAACACTAGATAGATGCATATATAGATAAGCAAAGAGTAGCGGTATCAGTCGAACAATAAAAAATAGAGAAAGAAAAAAAAGAGAAGGAAAGAAAGAGAATTACGTGTAAAAAAAAAAATATACATATATGTGTATACATATATGAAAGGATATCGTCCAATGTGGAACATTAACGCGTCGTAAACGTTTAGAGGTTACGTTTAGCAAACGGATAATCGTTAAGTGATAAGCAATACTTACATATATTGATTGTCCGCGGCGGAAACATTGTATGTATACCTCGAATTGGCGAATCCCGGGAGAAAACTCGCGGAAAAAATCGTACGTGAGACAAATTCGACAATGAATACGAAACAAACACAACACACGTTTACACGTCACAAAATAGACGGAACAAACTAAATCATCATCTTTCGCACAGTCTCTCGTTCGTTAGACAATTCGCTGCAAAAATGCACAACTTGCGACATCTGTCGGAGAGATGGAGAAACACGAATCGGGCGCGATTTTTGAACGCGAGAAATTTCAAATTCAAACTTAAATAATCATATATTTTATTTAAATATATTTTTAATATATTTAAATAAATATATTTTTTTAAATATTTATTTAAATATTAATATATATTAAAAAATCCTCAATGTTAAATCGACCAAGATATAATTTATTATAAATATTTATAAAAATTATTGCCAGTCTGGTCGACTTTAAACAGGGAATAATATACTAACCAATTAAAAAAAATAGAAAAACCTACGTATCAATAATGTATACAATTATAATATATAATATACATTTGTAATTAAGGTAAAATAAATAAATAAATATAATAAAAAATATAATGTAAATATAAGAAAAATAAATATAATAAACATAAGAAAATAATAAAATAAATATAATAATATAATAATAAAAAAATAAAATAAATATAATAAATAAAATAAATATAATAAAACATTTAATAAAATAATAAAATAAATATCATATAATAAAATATAATAAATATAAATAAATAAAAATAAATTATAATAGATATAATTATATAATTATAATAATATAATAGTTATATACCTATAAATATATCATATATATTATATATATATTCTATAACATTTTGTATTTTGAAGATGTTCGGAAATCCGTTCATCAAAAATCAGAATTTGACAAACCAATCGGAGACCGGGGATCCCTTTGTTCTGATTGGTCGATCGAGGGCTTCGCCCTCGATGAATATTATTTTCGAACGCAATCTAGAATGCTGCTGCCCTCTGGCACACTTGCGAATGTTCGCGATCAACATCGTATATTCGTCCGTGCCGGTCCGCAAATTAATAAAGTACGATGAGTGTAGCGAACCAATTAGTGTTGTTATTTACGTTATATAATTAATTGCATGAATCAGATCGCATCGCGCAAGATTGACCTCGTCCGCGAAAATCTCACTTGACGTTTGACGTTTTCTCCTTCGAAAACGCGTGACGTCACAGCAACGACTCGACAGAGGACAATCGCGAGAAGTGCAAAGTGTTTCGAAGCTTCTTCGAGGAAGAGGAGGTTCAGAGTGGCATCGGGTAACCGTGAAGCAATTATATATATATAGTATATATGGTGAATATATTTATCATCTTATTATTACTATTATTTATATTTTATATATTTCTTTTAAAAATAAAATTTTTAATATATGTTATTTTATTATTACTATTATATTTTAATATACTATTATTTTGTAATATATATATATTTAATAATTTTATTTTTTGATATATTAATTTTATTTACATTCCGCTATATAATTCCATGTATTTTTATATTTACAGTTTACAACTCTGCTGCTGCACATCATATCAGTGAGTCTTATTAATGTTTACTGAAATTTTGAGTAATAATTTATTTGCAAAAATCCTCTCTATTTTTATCGAAATTTTTTACAATATTTTATGTGTATTTTGTACCTGAAACCTCTTGGCCTCTTCTATTGTACAAAGGGGACCTACTAACTTTTTTTACTTGAAAGCGACAATTTTAATTTTCTTCAATATTATCAAAGATATTAAATATAATATATACAATTTATTTAAAATATACTAAAAATGTTGAGAAAAATACTATTATATACTTAAAAAATATTGATGAGAGGTATATATAGCAATTTATTTAAAACAATTAGATGTTTTATCGTAAGTATATACATATTTATTGCATATGAATGCATTACAATATTAATAATATTACAAACAAAAGAGAAAGATACCAATATCAGATTTCTGTTGATTCTTTCTTATCCATATTTTGTGGTTTATGTAACTTAGTTAGTTCTTCCAATGTATCCTTTCGAATACCAGATTTAACTGATAACTTTTCTATTTTTTGTTGAATTATTTGTTTTTCATCTTTATCTTGAACTATATTTAATGGCACGTTGTCTTCTGTTGATTGGGATATCTCCTGCCTCCATTTCGTCAACCAATTATTAGGAACAGTCTGAGAAAATTAAAACATTTATTATTTTCGACCAGGAATTTTCTGTGGTTGTGTTTATAAAATAGGAACAATTTACTTGACTAAAATTTTTTTTTAAGAATTATTTAATAAATTATTTAACACATTTATTAAGTAAATTATTGAATTAAATAATTTTATATGATAAATGATTAGAATATTTTATTTTAATCAAAATATAGTTAAATATTTTGCTGAAACTATGGGTGCAACAAGAAAATATTTTATGTAGAAGTTAAAAGATTTCCAGGGAAAAAAGAATTGTTAATCTTAAATTTTGATTAAGGTGTTATTTTTTACAATTATTCAAAAACCTATGTTTTTTTTTTTTTGTAAAATAAAGTCACCCTAATTTTTTTGCAACTTTTATTTGGCATAAAATGTTAAGATAGAATGGCAAAAAATTGAATAATTTACAAGATATTTCGTACTTTAATTTGACATAATTTGCAACTAGTAGCTACATATTTTATTTTAAAACAAATATGTTTTCTATTGATTTTTCATTATTTTATGTAAAAAAATAATAAAGTAAAATCAATGTAAAATTATGTCACATTAAAATACAAAATATCTCTAAACTATTCACTTTTTAGCTATCCTATTCTTTTTATGCCAAATACTGCGAAAAATCGAGTTATGTAAATTCTTATTTACATTTTGATTTCTCCCTCTTTCTCTTGTTTATTCTGTATTTGAATCTTTTTAAATGCCGCCTCCATTGCTTTAAGTTTTTCCATTTCCTTTTGGATTCTACGTTCCACTTGATATTTGGCTATTTGTTGTGCTAATGGTCCTAATTCTCCTTTCATCGCGGCATGTAACATTACCTATTTACAAAAAAAGTTATATTTTTAAATTAAATTTATGAGTTATGTGACATACAAAAATTGTAAAAATTTTGACCTCTCTTTTTTTAGCATTGTCAGTTGTACCTATCGGATTTGTTTCACTTTGTGGTCCCAATTCGATAACAATTTGGAAATCCGCATGTTCACCTAATCGAAATCCTAAACCAAGTCTGGAATCGGTTCCTGAAAAATTTAATTTTATATAGCAATTTAAATATAAGTTAACGATTTAAAATATATAAAAATTAAAATTTAACGATATATAAAAAAATATAAATATTTAAAATAGATTTACAAAGTTTAAGTCTTATATGAGATAAAAAGTTTCTTTAATTCAGTAATATATTTATAAAAGATGAATTTTTGTGAGCAGAGAAAAGAAGGAGATACCTTTTTTGATCGGAGGAATATTTGAATAGATCAAACTTAAATTGTTGGCACTTCCTCAGGTATAATCAAACTTGTTGCATCTGTAATTTTTTTTATAAATCGGTTATGTTATATGTAACAAAAAATAGCGAGAAATTCCGTGAAAATCATCTAAATTAGTATATTAATTCGTAAGTAAATGATTTTATTTTAATAAATTATTCGATTTTCATACATTATATGTATAAGAAGTTTTCTTTTTTCATAATACTATTTTTATTTAAATTTTAGTGAATGATGACTTATATAAATCAAATACAAATCACATTTACTTTCAAAGAAAATTAGCAAAAGCAGTAGCCGCACGATTGCACTTTTCATGATTGTCATTATTTTGAAAGGGAAATTCCTGCATATATGCCAATCACTTTCATGTGTTCAATCAATGCGTGACTTAGTTTTCATAGGTATTCTGCAATCGAATATAAGCAAAGATTAATCTTTGGAACATGACATAATTTTTTCATTATAAAGGATAACATCTACTTTACTAGCGTTAACTTTTATTATTATTTATTTATTAATATTTATTACAATTAATTATATTAATATTATATTAATATATATTAATATATATTATATTAATATATATTATAGTGATATATATTATAAATATTAATAGTTAAAATTTTATTAATTTTGTCAATATTTATATTAGTTAAAAATATGTTTTTATCTGCGTAACAGTTTCGTAGACCGATATTATATTTTGTGAACTAAGTAAAGTTCACATACTAAATTATTGTTTTGGGATATTAAATCAGAAATTCGATACAAAATAGATATACACAAATTTTATACGACACATTAAAAGTATTATTATATTTTGATTTAAAATCACACAAATTTGTGTTTCTGTTGAATTAAAACTGCAAATTATCACTATATTCACATTTGCACTCGCATATGTTATCAATTTTGTAATAACTGTACGATCTACTAATTTCAAGTCCGATTAGAATTGCACGAAAGTAAAATTTAAAAACGAAATTGAAACGGATGATCGCGTGCAATGTGCATTTTCCCGAGAAAGCGCAGACGTTTACTTCTTAAACCGCTCGCTGATTTTCTATATTATTCACTAATATCGTACACGTGTTCCGAGAGACGACCGCCTTTTTAATTAATACCGTTCAATGACCGTATTAAATTGAATTAATTATAAGGAAGGAAAAAAATAATTTGCCGCAAAATAAAGGACTGCGCGACTTCGTCCTTCGACTTAAACGAAAGTGAAACCTAGAGAGAGTCGATAATAGATAGCTCACCGATCAACGTTCTAAGATAAACTGAAATATTATTACGAAATGTATATGGCTTTCGGTGCCACGCCAATGCGAGAAAGAGTGCTTATAGACGTACGTTTTAAAGTGAAAGGAGAAGCGACGGAGATCGAGGTCATCCGCGGTTAAATGTCGATATCGGCCCGGTAAACTCTCTCTTTCCTATGCACGTTTTTTTGTGTCCCTATTATATGCAAAAAAAATAATTTTGTACATTTTATTTGAATAGAAACTTGACGCCGTCGTTAAATGGCCTCGCCATCGCTGATCTATGACTGGAGATCGTTACTTTGCGATGTAGGTAGGTGCCTATTGAAGGACTATCACAATCAAATGCGACCCCGAGTGCAGCAAAATTGCTTTCTGCGTGTCAATAGTTTTGCCTATGTACAGGAACAGCATATTCGAGATTTTTAAATTTAATTATTAAATTAATGATAATTAATATTTTTTTGAAAAATTAGTTATTTAAGATGCTGATTTGCTAATTAAATTTTTATATTAATAATATATGTTACAAAAGTAAAGATAATGTTTTAAAATAATATGTTATAATAATTTAAAATGAATTAATATTTTTGACAGTTATCAGCTGATTTTTGTCAAAAAGTATTATTTGTGTGGATAACTTATTATAACATATTATTTACAACATATTACTATTTTAATATATTGTTAACTTATTATTTCAAAATTTAATTAGCAAATTGACACTTTATTCATATTTTTTGCAAAAATCAGTTGATCGAAGCATTAACTTGCTAATTAAATTTTAAAATAATAATATATTATAAAAATTAATATAATAATATGTTTTAAATAATGTGTTATAATACTTTAAAATTTGAATAATAGTAAGATCTATAATAAGATCTATAAAATATTCGTGGATAAGGATTATAACATGTTATTGAGAACGTATTATTATATTAATATTTTTAATATAATTTTAAAATTTAATTTGCAAATTGAGACTTTAATATTTTTGACAGAAATCAGCTGATAACTGTCAAAAATACTACCGAGTTTAAAGTATTGTATTATAACATATTATTTAAAACATTTTAATTCTTATAAAATATTATTTTAAAATTTAATAAACAAATTAACATAAAGCATCAATTTGCTAATTAAATTTCGAAATAATAATATATTAAAAATATTAATACAGTAATATATGTTGTCAATAATACGCTATAATATCGTATTCTCGATTAATATTTGTTGACAGAAATCAGCTGATAACTGTCAAAAATATTAATCGAGTTTAAATATGTTATTTAAAACATATTATTATTTTAATTTTTATAATATATTATTTTTTAAAATTTATTTATCAAATTAACACTTTAATCAATGATGCTTTAATCAAGAAATATTAATAAAGCATTAATTTGCTAATTAAATTTTGAAATAATAATATATTAAAAATATTAATATAATAATATATGTTATCAAAATATGCTATAATACTTTATTTCTCGATTAGTATTTTTTGACAGAAATCAGCTGATAACTGTCAAAAATATTAATCGAGTTTAAAGAGAGTATTATGACATATTATTTAAAACATATTACAATTTTAATTTCTATAACATATTATTTGAAAATTTAATTAGTAAAATTAACGCTTTAAATGGTTGTTTTTTTTCAAAAAATGTTAATAAAACGCGTTAATTTGCTAATTATAAATTTTAAAATATTATGTTAAAAAAATTAAGTAGTAATAAGTTATATGTAAATAACATAATATCTTGACTTTTCGGCTATTTTCAATTTTATTTCATTTTACAAAATACTTAAGCGCAACGACAGAATGAATCGAGTCTTCGAGACTTTCGAGAGGACTTCGATGTATTCGAGAATCAACAATGCCTCAACATGTCTTTTTTATAGAAGAATTGGCTAAATGTAAAAAGTTCGATACAGTATTTTATTTAATTTTCGCCGGCATTGAGACTGCAGAATAACTGCAGATATATGCATAAGTCCCTGATTGAGGCCGCCAATGTATTACTCATCTATTCGCGAACTGCAGGCGAGATAATCAGAAACGTAGAACTTTGCAGGGGGGATGTCGTTGTCATACATACATACATTTGCTGTTTGTTCGCCAGGCCAGAAACGCGCGAACGACCACGTATGAAAATGTGGCTTATTACGAGGAGTAAAGTAAAACGTTCAATCGACTAATCGCGATCATGATATCGCATTTGTGAGTGCAAAAGCAAGCTGAATTTAATTCATCTGTTATTTTGTTACAATGTGATGGAATGAATTTTGCAACCAAGATGCGGAAGAGCAAAATTGATCATTGAATTTGGAATAATTCGTTTTTTTGGATTGGTATTTTTTGTAATCGCGCAAGTGATATCTCGATTGTTGTTTGTTAACGAGAATTTGAACGAATTGTCAAATTTCAATACAAGAAACTCGAATGTACAAGGTGTCTCGCAATCTTTGTACAATACTTTGTACAATAGTGTATCTTAGAGGTAAAATAGAGTAAAAAATTTTAATAAAAATATATCAAGGTTGAATTAACGCTTTAATCAATGCTTTAATCAAGAAATATTAATAAAGTGTCAATTTGCTAATTGAATTTCGACAAAATAATATATTAAAAATATTAGTATAATAATATATGTTATCAATAATATGCTATAATACCTTATTTCTCGATTATATTTTTTGACAGAAATCAGCTGATAACTGTCAAAAATATTAATCGAGTTTAAAGAGAGTATTATGACATATTACATACAGTTTTAAATTCATATGCGCTCAGATCCATAACTACACTTATATATCGATCTATGTTATCTGTTATTGTTTTTAACAAATCAAGTGATATTGATTTTATGACTGTTTTTATCGTGCGTGAATATTAGGTACATTGGTTAGCTAATATTAACAAATTATAAATGTTGTATGCAAAATATTTAATTCTTTCTTAAATGACAACGATTGATTATTGCATTTAAAGAGATAATTAATCTTTCACCCAATTTCATGAATTGTTACTTTTACAGAAAAAATGATAAACCTAGTATTTTAAGAAGCGAGATTTATTTTCGTTTTGATCAAAGAAGTATTTGAAAATCAATTTATTTATAAATTATTCTTACATTTTGCTTCCGTATATAAAAAAATTTATCTATATAATCTTCGTGATTCCTTCTACGCAGTAAAGTGAGGTCAATCTATAATAATGCAAAAAACTAAGATGCTTATTTTCGTATTTATAAAGAAGATGAAAGATTTAAAAAGAAAATTAAGTTTTAGGAATATATAATGTATTTTTGTTTTTCTAAGAAACAAAAATATATTGTCTCTAATTTGTTTCTCGATCAAAGTTGTTCAACGAAATGGAAAAAATGAACAGCTATTCTAATACGTTTTGATGCGGTGTTTCCTTATCGTTGCTCGTTATCATTCGTGGTGCTCACTTTTGTTTGGACGTAACGGAGATTATTGGTGACACAAGTGTTTCCTTCGATGTATGCACGCTAATATGGCTTATTTTTCGCGTTCTTATGTCGGAAGAAACCAATTGGCAGCTATGCGGTGAAGACTCGAGTCTTTTTAAATGTAAGTAACATCGGTGCTTTCATTATAAAACCGAATTAAACATTTTTGCTTCTTATGTAACATCAGCTACTATTTTTCTTTTCAAAAATATGGGAGTAAAAAAACAATAAATATTATTTTATTACATAACATCGTTAAAATAAAAATGCAAGAAGTATATGCATGTTTATGTATGTGTAAATTTTAATTGTTTAAATTTTAATTTCAGCACATTTCAGTGAATGTTATACAAGGATTTTTTGGGCCCATGGGGCCTGCTAATTATAATCCTGATAGGAGTAGGAATTATCCTGATCGCGCTGCTCCTGTTCGTTTGCTTCCTTATTCCTGGTTGTATCGGTTATGAATGTTTCAGGAAACGAAGTAAGAACATTAATTTTTTACTTTTCTTCCTCGTCGTTATAAGCATACGTATAATTTACGAGCAATTTCTGAGCTAATAGCAAAATGGAAATTAAGAATAAAATTAGTGTCATTGATTTTTTTATGCTATCACAAGTCGTATATTAAAGTACTTGACATCGATTTCTGTTCAATCAACGTATCGGTTTCACATTTCGTTTTTCACGCAGCCACGTATACAAATTTTTATACTTCTTCATACTTTATATACAGGGTGTTAAAAAATTAGACCGATACATTTTAAAAGAAAATACAAAATTCGAAAATAAATATTCTTTTGTTAATAAAATTTTTCTCTACGACGTTTTTAGTTTTATACTACATGGTATGAAATAGAAGTTTGCGACTTAAACAATAAACAAACATATAAGTGGAAAAATTAAATTGTATTTTAATCTTGAACAAAACTTCGACGTAGTATTAAAAATAAACGTTGTAAAGAAAATTAGTATTAATAAGAATATTTATTTTGAAGTCTTTTCCTTTTAATTTTTTGAACACTCTGTATATGCAATGTCGCAATATATATGATTCAATTCTTTAGGTATCTCTATACAACAAGCATTTTAAATTGTAGCATTGTTTATTACACTTGTATGTCTAGGAATAAATATTTATTATAATTTTTACAACAATATCGTTTGTTACAAATTTCTATACATGTAATAATTCTACAAATACGCGCAAAATTACGCCTTTGCATAACATATCGTATGCATAACATATATACACTTGAATAAGTGACGCTTCATGACTTTGCTCCTTCTGCAGCGTTATATAATTAAGTATATACGTGAACTAGTCGACACACAATGCACAATAATCTTCCGATAATGCTGCAGGAAACGCCCGTATAACGTTATATCATCATTTCGAACTTCTATATGGATATCTTCCATAAAAATGAAAAAAAACGTATATGTTGTGATGTAAGAAAATGTAAAAATATCTTATATATTTAATTTAGCATATGCAATGTTATAGATGCAATTATCGCATAATGGTTAGATTCTCATAGCCTTCACATCAAGATCGCTGATAATTGCTTAATTAATATTTAAAGTTGATATGTAATGAGAATATTTAGGTAAATTAAGCAAATGTAAAATATATATCATAGTAGGTAATATATTGAAAAAGTACATTGAAAAAAATTTTATTAACTTGACTAGATCTTTAATTAAATATTATTTTGTTAATTGAACATATATAAATATTTAAATTCAATGTAACATATTAAATCTAACAAAACATGTATTTGACTTGAATACTAATATATATGTTCAATTAAATATAGTATATATAGTAAAATATATAAAATATATAGTAATTTAATTGAAATGTTGAGTTAACCATTTTTTTCAGTGCAGAAATCCTACGCAACGAAAGAAAAATGTGAGAACATTTTTTTAGATTGTGCTGCGTGATCTAATAATAATATAATTTAATAATTATAAAAATATTTTTAAAGTGATTTTCTACAGATAAAGAGGACAAAAATGTTCATATACGAGATAAAAATCAAGAGGAAAAAAATTTGAAGTTAAATGATATCAGCTATAGATCTTGGAGATTGGGTAGTTTGTACGAAAATGACAACAATGGTATGTAAACTTAGTTTGCATTTAATTTAAACAATAGAAAGATTCCTAATATTTTGATTCCAAGTTTATCTAGATTATTTAAAAAATTTTTCTCCATATTATTTTTACCATCTTGTAAACTGTTATATCAAAACTTAAAAAAGCGAAAGTGCAAATCATTAACAAATACTATTTGTTATTTTTATTATGTTTATGTTATGATTATTTATGTATTTGTAAATAATATCTATTACGATAAACGCTATTGTGGCATATTGTGAATATTAAAATGCATTTTTAAATTAATATGTTTATATTACTATAATAAATTATTAGTATAAAATAATTCTAAATATGATTTGCACGAAAAATATATTATATTTGATAAAATTTTGTTCAATTTTATTTTATATTTATTTCTATACAACAAAGAAAATTAAAAGACATCTTTACGCCATTTTTAGACATTTTTGAAGATATTTATTGTATGGATTATAAACAAGAGAACAAATATCCATATTTTTATAGAGAGAATTTTTGTTCTCTTACTATCAAATATTATTTTATATTATATAAATAATAATATACTCTCATTTATATTTATATAATTTTTAATTTATTTTTTTAAAATATCTTTCTGATAAAATTTGAGTTGGAGAAAAAATCAAACGCAGCACAAAAATATTAGCTTACAATAAAATGAATCATCTTGATCAACATATCTATCTATTGAGAATTGTAAGAAAATAATAATAAAAAATATTATGTAGGTACGATCAATGAGAATGTGGAATCTCAGAAGGATTCATTAAATTCTGTCAATGCACAATGCGAGAACGTAGAGAGTTCTTCCACGCTGGTAATTACACATTTAATCGAGTTGAAGAAGTTACATTGTAAAAAAAAATATGTAAAGTATTACATAAAAATATGTAAAATTACATGAATAAATAAGTGTAAAATTACACGATAAAAATTGAAAATGAAAATACATTTTCATTATTTTATGTTTATTATTATTTATATAATTTATACAATTTTACTTATTATTTATGTAATTTTACTGATTATTTAAATAATTTTACATATTTTTATGTAATACTTTACATATTTTTTACTGGAGTACATAGTATGTACTCCAAGTAGCAAACTGACGTCATTAAACGTCAAAATGACGTATGCCACTTGGAACATTGAGCTATCGCGTTTGACATTAATTTATCTATGAAAATTGCAGAATTTGATTCAGATAGATAAGCAGAAGAACGACAAGAAAATAAAAGAGTTTCCGATTGAATTGACAATGAGCTTGCAATATCTACCACCCTGTGACAACATTATCACTGGGAAATTTGTAATTGGTATTGAAGTGCGTTCTTAATATCAATCATTTTTCTACATGCAAACACATGAAAAAATTTTAATAAATAATATACTAAATAAAAATAAATATTTAAAATACACTAATAATCTCGTGTATGCTGACGCATCATTGAAATGAAAAGAAAATTCATTATGTACGTGTTTTACAGGCATTGTCCGGTCTTCCTCCAAAGCAGTATAACAGTACATTAGAACCTTATGTAGCATTGAACATTGTGAAACAATCATGGAATCATAGGAAACAGAAATTGCACAGTTTCAGAACAAGGAGCATCAGACATACCGCCAATCCAATTTACAAGGAGACTTTCGTTATTGCGAATGCAAAGGTGCAAGAAGCTAAGGTAAATTATTTATCATAATAATACATATATTATAAGGTGTCCCATAGGAAATTGCTGAAACTGTCACTTTTTAATGCACTTTTTAACGCAGTTATCGAGAAAAAAATTGTGTTGGAAAAAGGAAAGTCTGCAGTATTTAATGGATATAAATAAAATGTTTGTATACTAATTTATTTTATTGATAAAAAGTAATGAAAAACAAAATGCTAATAATCACATCAAATCACATAAATTAATGATAAATATTTTCAATAGTGCCAGATTTAAGTGCAACAATTAAAAGGATCATCAATAACATTAAAAATGACATGTTAGAAAAAGTTTTTACGAGTTTTCGTAAAAGAACAGAATTTTGTACAAATTCAAATGGTGTGCACTTTGAAAATATTTTTCATTAGCTTACATGTGATTATTAGCACTTTTTCATTACTTTTTTTCAATAAAATAAACTAGTATGCAAACATTTTATTTATATCTTTTAAAAACTGTAGACTTTCCTCTTTTCAATTCAATTTTTTTCTCGATAACTGCATGCATTAAAACATGACAGCTGATTAGTTTCAGCAATTTCCTATGGAACACTCTGTGTATAATTTTGTGCTTACATAAAAAAACGTTTTATTTTGGTCTATTAATGTAATTTTTTGACATGTAAATTAATATATTTTGCAAAGAGATAATATAGCGTCTGTGTTACCATATGTATTATTAAATTTGAAATTACATATATTTTAACATATGTAAATGCATATGTAAATAGTACTTTTGTGTTATAAATAGAATTACACTTGCTAGGAATAAAAAGCATTTTGAATCAGTTTTTAAGTTTTTTGATGATTATTTGGTTTAATAGGAATGGATTTTGGATATCACTGCATACGATCATGACAGATATGCAAATCATACGGAATTGTCTTCGCTTAAAGTATTAGTAAAAGATGCGAAGAAGATCTTCTACAGTCCAGAGATTCATTTGTTCAATTATAGAATGAAGCCTTCCTATCAGGTAATATATTATTACATACAGGAAATACAGAAATATTTTAATATATGAATTTATGTAAATTAGTGCTGGTCGCATGTATTTATTATACACATACATGGGCGTCTGCAGGATTTTTCCAGGAGGGAGCATAATAAATTTTATTTTTTGTTCTTTCTTAATTTAAAAATTTGATTTTTTTATTTTATTTTTATTTTTTTATATTTAAATATGCAAATAAATTGTGTTTATTCAAAAGAAGAGCAAATTCTTAATTTTTTTACTGATTCAAATGTCCCCTTTATATTTTTTTATGCATATGTATTTTTTAATTAGTAGTATTCTTGTTCATGCATATTGTGTATAACTATTATATATATATATATTTCTTTTAGGAGTTTGGCAATATTTTATTAGCCATAAGCTATCTGCCCACCGCACAGAGGTTGACTATTAACATTATGAAATTGCGCAATATCAAATTTACACCAGTGGTGCCAAGTTTAAATAAATTTAGTAAGTTTTTAATAAAAGAAAGTTGCCGAAAAAATGGCATCGACTTCTAGATTGCATCATCGCATATAAGTACATTCACTATATTTAAATCTCATTTAATAGATTAATTAATAATCTAGATATTCACATAGATGAAATCGATCTAAATAAAATTTAGATTATGATTTGAATCGCACTTAGGATACTTTAATTATAGTTTCAAATCATTTACTATGGTATATGAGTTTTGAAAATATGTTAGTTATTTTTTCCATATGTTCCTGTAAAAAATAGAAAAGAAGATTTATTATATTTACTCTATTTATTTGGAGTAATACACACATATTTTTAAGAAGTATTTAATAGCAGCTCATTAATTAATTAAAATATTAAAAATTGCGAAATTTCCGAACTTGCACCACCTTTTTGTTGCTTAAATCATATAAATATTTGATATAAATTGTAAAGATTCTATTTTTACAGGATTAAAAATGATAGCAGTATGAAATAAATTAATAAATAATACACAAGAGAAATAAAAATTACTTTTTAAATAAAATAATCTTAAATAAAAAAATTGACATTAATCTAGCAAAAGATGTTTTTAAAATTTATATCTATTTATAGATCCATACGTTAGAATATTAATGTTGAATGGAAAGACTGGTAAAAAGATAAAGAAAAAGAAAACCAAAGTCTTAAGTGCTGTTGCGCAACCTGAATTTAACGAGACTTTGACGTTTGATCTGCCAGTCACTCAACTTGATACTGTCCAGTTTTTAATTGTGCTTTGTAACAAGGTAAAAATTACAATTACAAAAATTTACAATTATTCCAAGATTAAATATAAAAATATATGTATTATTTTGAGTGCATATATGTGTGTTTATATATGTGCGTTGTCTGTCACATGAATTAATCATCAAAACAATTAAGGGATTACTTGGTATTTGCAACATTTGGATTACGAAACTTGCAAATTTGCAGTTGATGTAAAATAAGAATATTTTTAATGAGTATATTATATGAGATTTTTCAAAAATTTTAGATTTTACCAGAAGGATCACACATTAATATTCCCGACCATGCAAGCGACAGCGAGGATTCTGTCAGTTCATACAGAAGCTCTGCTAATATTTCCATTGGTAAAGTGGCACTTGGAAAAGGAGTAAGAGGTTCAACAGAAAGGTTGCATTGGTTCTCGGTACTTCAAAATCCAAGGAAACTTGTCAGTGTGTGGCATACTCTGAAATAATAAAAACCATTGTTTTATATGTTATTATATATGTATGTATATAAAATATTGCCCGGTAAAAATTTTTTTGTATATAATCATAAAACAATATAAAATGTTGTATAGAAATATACAAAATTCTGTGTATAAACTATAATTATACATAATTTTATTTGACTTGTATAATTTATATATAATTTTATATATAAAAAATATATAATAGAGGAGTCAGGTATAATTATACATATATATAGTTTTTACACATAATTTTATATATTTTCATGATTTTATATTGTTATATATGATTATATATAAAAAAATTTTTAGCGAGTGTTGTTTTCCAACGTATAATTGCGCGCATTTTTATAATTGTAAATGCGCGGTTTTATATTTATTATTAATTTTATTTTAAAAGAAAAATGTATACATGTGTAGCGCGCAACCAAAGATGACTTTGTAAATTAAACTTTAAGGCTTTAACTTCAATTAATTAAAAAAAAATAAATTTTTAATATTACTACAATTATTGATATTTTTGTGGTATAACAAAATTTCAATATTATATTATATTTATGTGATATAATTTTTATAAATGTGATTATATATTTATTAATATTGTAATAGTATAATTATTATTATAAATATTTATATTATGTTATAATTTTCAATTATTTGACGATATATATTTATCGTCATTTTTGACGTTTTGAAATTTGGCGCTTTATTCAAATAAAAATATGACGGTATGTCACGTGGTACTACAAAGATGTCGACCATAGATAGAAGAATATATATAGAGGTGCTGCCTGGATAAGAATGAGGAATACCTATTTCAATAAATATTTCAAGTTCATTTGTAACATCAAAAGATATCACGTGATTAAAGAAAACGAACTGGCATCTGTATTTTTAGTCATTTGATATCTTATGACGTTGAAGATGAACATCAGACGCCAGTATGGATGACATGGAAAAGCACCTTGATAGCCTTCGTCTGTATTCTCATTTCGACGTGAAAAATGGCGGACTGCAAGGGTGCGTTTTGTGTTTTCTCTTAATTTAATTGTATTACGCAAAAATGTCGTGAATTAATCGAGTGAATGTTACAAGTATTTTATGTCGCGGAATTTCTACGACGTGGTGTTCAATTAAAAATATACTCTTGCTTTTTTTCCCCGAAATTTCCATGTTTACATAGTCCGCGGACTAACGAACTAACCATTCACGACCATAATTTTAATTCTTTATGCTGTTTTTAGAGACTACAGAGGAAATCGATCGTCCACCGCTTGTCTTAAAAGTTGACCCGCCCGAGGAGTCGCCGAAAGACATCAGCGACAATTCGTCGAATAGTAATTCAGCCATTCCATCTGATAAGGGTATATATGCTTATTTTACAAGTATTCTAAAATATTAAGATATTTTACATATTAACATTATTCAGAAATTCAGGAAGCTAAAAAAAGAGTATCATAAATTATATTTTTTGTTACACTGTTTTTTATTATAATATAATGGAGTAAACTTGTGGATTTGTAGATGAAACACACCACAAAATGGAATCGAATAGTCAAGAATGTACAGTGGCACCTATTAAGTCTTCTAATAAAAAACATAGTGAGTTTATACAATCTAAAAAGACTACAGTATAGTCATATTTATATGTATACATATATATATATATATATATATATATATATATATATATATATATATATATATATATATATATATATATATATATATATAATGTGTGTGCCTATATACCTATGTGCTATATGTAATACACTTACAGGTCCTGTGCTAGTTGCTCCAAATTTGGAAATTTATTTGGTGGCAATGAATTTTCAAATTCTGTAACTAGTCAATTGAAGTCATCTATATTACGACCATCTCAATTAACTGTAGTTACCAATAGTTCTGCAACTACCACCGACAAAACTGTTTTACAACCTGCAAAGTTTCACAATCCATTTACAAAGGTCGCTGATGATTCTATAGAGGATGAGTCTGTAACGAAAAATAATAAAACTGAAGTAAATGCAGAATCTAAAAGTGAAGAAAAATCTGCGGAGGAGATAAAACCAAAATTTTTACCTTTGGGCGTGAATACAAAGGAAAATGAAAATAATGTAAATAATACTGTGACACCCAGTACCGACACTCCTAGTTTTGTGTTTGGTCAGAATTTAAAGGAACGTGTTACTGTTTCAAATGATACAGAAAGTTCAGATAATTCTGAAAAAGAAGAGACAAAAGTTGAAGAGAGTAATGAAAATGGATCTTCTAAATTATTATTTTCAAATGCAGCTGCAAATTGTCGTGCAACTGTAAGGCCAGGTTTAACTTTAACACAAGCGGCACAGGTATTAGAAGAGGCTAATCGTGCAAACAAAAGAAAATATAGTCAAGTGACATTGTTAACTGGCGAAGAGGGAGAAACAAATATTCTTCAAATTAATTGCAAGTTATTTGCATTTGATAAGGTATATATAATGAAAGGGTTTTAGATAATAGATAAATTCAGGATTAGGAAGAATGATGTGTATTTGTAATCATTCATTTTTTTTGTAACTACAATGGTAATGAAATTATAAATTTTGTCTATAACAGAAAAAGTAACTTATACATTTTTTCAGTAACGAGCAATGAATTCAACAATTACTCATTTTATTTTTCGAATCTATATGATATAATTTCCATACAAATACATAAAATGAAACATTAAATTCTGTAAAAAATTAATTAACAATTTAAATTGAATGAATTTTATTTTAATCAGATAAATTTTTATACAGTTTTTATATGAAAAACGAATTTGATTTTTAACTAATTAATTAAGACATCGAATTTTAAGACCAAAATTTTGATCATATTGAAAGTTTGTTAAGAAAAGCTAAGAAAACTTTTTTATTATATTTATTTGTAGAATTTAGAGACCTTTAGTTAAATGTGTATGTATGCTGCTTTTAGTATTCCTGAATTTTCTCAATTTTTAATTTATACCATATTGCAGACCAGTAGCAGTTGGCAAGAGAGGGGAAGAGGTACACTAAGACTTAACGACCGAGATGAAGAATCTCGTTTAGTTGGCCGTACTGCTGGAACGCAAAGATTGATTCTGAATACGAAAGTATGGCCGGGTATGACAGCGGAACGTGCTGGACCTAAATCATTAAGACTAACCGCGATGGATGTTCATGGAGACGTTCGAATCTTTATCGTCCAAGCGGCACCTAAGGAAGTCGATCAACTGCATAATCTTTTGTTGCTGCGACTTAAGCGCGCGCAAGAACGCCATCCTAAAAAAGCAGCAACTGATCATTGACAACCAATTGGTAATTCGGATGGGGCGTTAGCCACATTAGCATCAGCTTAATTCAAGCAAACTACAATAGAAATCACTAATATGTGAGAGGAGCTTCAAAAGTATAAGGCTCTATCTAGCATATGCGCAATAGAATGGCTATGATTTGTGCCTTTCTTCAGAAATTGCAACCCTATTGACACCAGTATTTGCTGCAAGACAAAAAAGATTAAGTCGTGGTTTGCATGTATAAGTTAATATACTTGTACAAATTAACATTTTTTCCTTTTTTTTCATGAACAAAAAATGGCTAATCATTCCCATTTTATATTCTTTTATTTGAAATTTAATATTTCTTAAATAAAAGTGCGTGTGTGAAAAAATAGGGATTTTTAAAGATAGCATAAGATCAATTAAAATTGTTACAAGTTATAAAAAGCAATTTAGTTCTTGAAATAAAGATTTCAATAGATTTATATTTACACTGAACCTTGTGTAATTATTGCAATTAGCAATTTCTTTTTTTAAAAGGTGATGTGCTGTATCAATTTAATATTGATTTAAATGAACAGCTTGAATATACGATTTATAATTAAGGTATGCATGAAAATAGCTAGAAAAAAAAGATTTAAGATATATGTAACTGTAATATTGCCGTTATCTGTATGTTAACTTGTATTTGAGGGATGATTTGTAGAAATGTACAATACAACGGCATTATTATCAATACTATTATTACTCTGCTACTACTATTACTACTATTACACAATTACTACCATTATTATTACTATTACACTTACTATTATTATTACTACTGTTATAAATGTTATTTTAGATGTAAATAAAATCTTCGATTTATAGTGTGTATGTAGTGTGTATATTGTTGGGTAGAAGGGGTTTGGATTTTCCTCTATATTATAAAACTAGTTTTACCCAGATAGCCACAGTAATTATTATGACATCAAAACGATGTCATAATAATTACTGTGGCTATCTGGGTAATTAATCTTTGATTTTTCCTGGCAATATTTATTTTACAAAATTTGTTCTATTTATCAAAAAAATAATTGTGTATGTATACTTTTAATATATATTTCAATTTGTATATGTGGTATATGAAGAATGTATTGCTCATTTTTTATATGAAAATAATGTTCATATATATAGAAACTTTCTTAATATATATACTTTTCTTTAATATATATTATTCTTATAAAATTATTGTTTAAATATAGAAGAGTATGTAGTAAGTACATTCAATAAAGACAATGGTTTTAAATGATCATTATTAACTCTCAGTTCATTTTTGAAGTTGTTTATTTGTAGGATAATTAATATTTTTCCTTTTCTATAATTATTTATAGAATATTATTACACTATATATAATGATTGAAAAGGAAAAATATTAAATATTTTAAGAATAAATATAATTTTAAAAATGAATTAAGTTGATAATTTTTTATTTTAAACTATTAAAACTATATATATATCGAAAAATTTTCTTAACTAAACTTTTCGACTAAATTACACTATTTTTGTTAACTGAATATATATTAAAATATTTAAGTCAAATATACGTTTTATTAGGTTTAATATATGTTATATTTAATTTAAATATTTTTATATGTTAAATTAACAAAATATTATTTAGTTGGAAGGTTTAGTCAAAAGTTAAACTCTTCAGTATATATATATATATATATATATATATATATATATATATATATATATATTCTGGAAGAATAAAAGTATATATACTTACTATTATTTTATATGTATATATATACACACACAAAATAATTAAGTATATATTAACTTTTGTTCTTCCAGAAAAATAAATCAACAATATGTTTTGAATGAAACTAATATTATTTAAAAGATTATTTTTAAATCAATATAAATTAAACATTTTTATATTTCATAAAGGGAAAGCTCCTTTAATTTTTTTTGCAAGCTTTTGTAAAGGAATGATAATACATTATTACCACTCTCTCCATTTTATCACATCAAAATTATGCATTAGAAAATTACATAAGGTGTAAAAGCGAAAAATTCGGTAATACTCAAAGACAGAGTATTTATAATCTATATATACATATAAATATATATGTATACATTTACACACTGACGTTTTACGTGTGTATAATCGATATATTATTTACAGAACTTTCCCAATTATATACAAAGATTGCATGAAATATTATTATATGTATGTATTGTTCATAAAGCGCTGTCAAAATATGCATTCTTATTATAAAAAAAATACTAATATAAAATTGTATTTTTTATATTGGAAAATATATACAATGAGGAGCTGTTGAATAACTCTTTGAGCCTATCTCGCGATATTTAGCGAAGGTGGCACAACGATCTCTCTGATGTCGCTTATGGCGGGCGGTATTCAACACACAGGCTGATATTTATAGACTGCGGCGGAGTTTTCTGCAAAGCTTCGCAACGTTTTAAGCGTCAAAATCTAGTCGTTACGTTTATTCCCGACGTTCGTCCGATGACCGTCGAATTTGATTTAATGATATGCGCAAAATGACACGACACCGACACGATCTTCTCGGGCGGCGAAACGACGAGTTTATCGCTGATCCCGCCAAGAAAATTACGAGAATTCTACTGTAAGACTGCGACGATAAGCTGTGTGCTGCTACAAGTCGCATCGTTGTTTCTCAGTGATATATTAATGCGTGCTGTTCCCATTTGATGTCAAATAATCGCCGCAATAATGTCAACGATACAACCACCATCATCGTCGTCATCTTCATCCTATCCGTTTGAAAAACCGCAAAGGAAGAAAAGAATTTTCTCCGCACATATATATATTCCTGTGGCAGATGACGGTAGTTCGAAATGGATCGGATAAATATCGTGCGGTCTCTATAGATATATATATATATATAAATATATATATAGTTTTATATGAGTGAGAACGCTTTATATAAAAAAAATTTGCTTTGAGGAATGATGATTATATTCAATCGCCCTGAATAATTTTGCAAATTTTTGTGTTCTCCAAATATTTTTTAAATATTGTGGTAGCGCACTTATTCACGATTTTTCTATAATTCTCTCACATTTTTTTATTATAGTGAATATATGAAAATTATGTATACTTTTCTTTGCAATAAGCAAAGCGATATAAAATATTCTTTGCATTTGTTTTTACATATAATAATATAATTGAGGGCATTTATTTTCTTAGGAAAAATCTTCGGCATAAAATTGTACTAATTATAATATATCCGGTATGAAAACAAAAAAATGTGCAAAGCTAACAAAAGTGAATACTAAATGACGAATTAATCTTCAAGAAAACATGTACTCTGACTTAACATTGAGAAATGCAAATTTTAGAGTCTCGCTATTTTTAATTTTTGTAAAAATATAACACCAACTATCACTGACAAGTGCAGATGGAAGAGGATGCGGCAAACTGATACAACTAAAAACACATTTCTCAGAAAGCAGTGCATTTCACGCATAATAGATGATATCGTTCGAATTCGATTATTTCTGGAATGTGTAAAATAATGAGATTTTATATTCAGTTTTCATTGTGTTTACGTCGCTGATTATTCGACATTTCTTCAATTTGCCGATCAAATAACTCGAGCACCAAAATGCACAATAAGACATGTGAATGCTCCAATAATGCGCGAGTATACGAATCATGGATTATCAATTAAAGCGCAATGATGGCGCTGTCGATGTGAAGTATAATAATAAAGTGAAGTTCAACCGGGTTGTTGGTGAAGATGATGTTCACCGGTGGCTCGCATGCGAAGAGGAGAACCGCCAGCAGCAGCAGCGGATATGGATCCTCCGGAAGGAAGTCCTCCGTGGACCATCGGAATCCTCCGATACGCTGTGTAGGTGCCGAAGGATATACGTATAGGTGAGCTACTCGGTACGTAAATATCTATGTTAAGATGATGACAGTGAAAAAAGCAAAGTTAAAAGGTTGTATATATAGCAGAACGAGAAGAGAGAAGAAAAGAAGAAGAGAGGGAAGAAGAAAGAAAGAGAGAGAGAGAAAAGAGTTGTATTAAAAACTTTTTAAGTTTAAAACATCTTATTTACTTACTTATTTGCATACAAATATAAAAAATATAAAGGCAATCTTTATATGGTACATTTTGAATAATGAAAAAAAATTTGTTAATTTATTGACTAAATCTTTTAACTAAATATTATTTTGTTATTCTAATTGAACATATATAAAAATATTTAAATTAAAATATAATATTAAATCTAACAAAATGTATATTTGATTTAAATACTAATGTTCAATTAATAAAATATAAGTAATTTAGTTGAAAGGTTTAGTCAAGTTAACAAATTTTTTTCAGTGTACTTTTTATAATTTAGGAAGTTTTTAATAAAAAAATTTTTCAATATTTTAAACACTTTAATATTAGCATTTATGTTCGAGAGTAATATATATATAAGTATACAATAAAATTTTATAATAATTACACACTGAAAAAATTATTAAATTAATAAATTATTATTTCAATACTGCTTTATTAAATCATTTATTTGAAACAAATAAATATTTACCTGTTTTGAAAAGGATTATTTTTACATTATATTTTTTCACATCAAATCAATATTATTAGTTTCAAATAAATTATTTATAAAGGAGTATTGAAATAAATATTTATTTGAATTCAATAAATTTTTTTTCGGTGCAAAAAATTATGCAAAAAATGCGCAAATTATATTTTAACAATATACTGAAAAAAAATTGTTAACTTGATTAAACTGTTCAACTAAATAATATTTTGTTAATTATACGTATAAAAATATCTAAATTAAATATAACAAAACATGTATTTGATTTAAATACTAATATATATTTAATTAATAAAATAGTAATTTAGTTCAACGATTTAGTCAAGTTAACAATTTTTTTTAGTGTACTTATTTGTATTTAAAAATTGTTACAATTGATAATCTTTTCAATTAGGCTTTCCTTGAACTAAGAAATATTTCTATGCAATTTATAGGACAGAGATAATCAAATAATTTCCAAATTGAATTTTCCTATTATTTTTTAATTCCTGGCTTGAGAGAAAAAATAAATCCAAAAATTTTATTGATTATAGTAATAAAAAACTTGGCACTTATATATATATATATATATATATATATATATATATATAAGATTTTGTTTTGTATTGTACTGTTTTCATTAATTAATTAATTTTAATTATTAATAAAATATTTTGTTAATAAGCTTCTTTATTTATATGTACACATATATCAATGAAAACACAGTTATTTTTAAGAAAAAAATACGTAACTGCTAATTACACATTACATATTTTGTCTTAAAAACAACTATATATTTTTTTTATATACTAAAAAAAATTTGTTAATTGAACATATAAAAATATTTAAATTAAATATGACATTAAATCTAATAAAACGTATACTTGATTTAAATATACTAAATATATGTTCAATTAACAAAATAATAATTTAGTTGAAAGATTTAGTCAAATTAACAAATTTTTTTACCAATTGTTTTTTCATTATTTTATGCATAAAAGTAAATTACAAAATGAATATTTTACGAGATATTTTACAATATTTGATCTAAAATTGTCAAAATTGATGTATAAAAAATAAAAATATATCTCGTAAACTATTCAATTTTTGATAATTTTACTTTTATTACTTTTTATGCCGAATATTGTGCGCAATTTTGTACTGTAAAATGCACATGAAAATTTGACGAAAAGTCGAATATGAAGTAATCGAATAATTTTTAGAACAAGAATTCCGACGCTTTTGAATTCTGTGGAATCGTCACCGACAACCTCAACGCAAGGCAAGACTTATGTCTACAGAACTAGAGTTCCTCGAAGGGATTCCGCGGAAACGACGACGACACAGACGTCCACTCCGACGCGAGAGAATAACGTCGGGCGTGCTATCACGAAGAGAAGAGGAGCTGTTAAGCATAACAAAGTACATATTGTACGAGGCCACAAACTTGTAGCTAAATTCTTTCGACAACCGACATTTTGCACCTTTTGCAAAGACTTTTTATGGTAATATCTCACTTTAGACATTTTTCTTCTTTACATATAAATATTATATTTTGTTCTTTATTGCGCGCGTGCATATTCACACATTTCTGCAATTTGAAATTATATATAATATTATACATATTTTTACTAAAATATAGAGAGACCATTCTTAATCATTTTTTTTATTCCAGGGGTTTCGGTAAACAAGGATATCAGTGCCAAGGTAAAGTATTTTTATTCCTTATTTTACAAAATTTATTGATTTAATGAAATTTACATGAGAATTTTCTTTCGTTACAGCGTGTCAAACCGCGGTGCACAAAAATGTCATGACAAATTACTAACTAAATGTCCAGAGAGCGGGAGAGAATCGGAAAATACTATAGTGAGTATTATTAATTGATTGCAATGAAAAATAAATATAAAAATAGGATTGCTCAAAAAGTTGTAATCTTCAAGATAAATTATTTAAATTTACTACTTATACATATATATATTCACATAATTTATCGATTTGATATTACAAATAACATATTGTAATGTAGTGTCAACTTTGGTATATAAAATATTAATATAAAAAAAGATAATATATATATTTTTTTTCCTATAATATATTTGCCGAAATAATTATATCAAGAAAGTTTTTGTATAAAAAGTTGCGGAAATATATTTTTAATTACTTAATTTTCGACAATTTTCCTGCTGTGTTAATTTGCGAATTCGGAAATCTATATATATCCAAATTATAGAATATTATAAATTATATATATTATACATATATGTATAATTTATGACATTATATATAATATATATTATAATAATTATAATTAAATTATGTTTGTTTTTCATTATAGTACTTGAAAGAACGTTTCAAGATAGACGTGCCTCATAGATTTCGAACTCACACTTTTATGTCACCGACTTTCTGTGATCATTGTGGCTCGATGCTGTATGGATTGTTTCGACAGGGTTTAAGATGCGACGGTAAGAGTATTTTAGACGTATTTTAAAAATATATATTTAACAGTATATATTATATAATCAAAAAAAACTTTAATGCATCTTGACTAGTATACAATCATTTCTATTTGCATATCGATTAACTAACGTGAATTGATTCGACATGCGCAAGTACAATGTTTTATTTAATTAATATACTGAAAAAATTATTAAATTAAATATTTATTTCAATATTGCCTTATTAAATTATTTATTTGAAACAAATAAATATGTATTTGTTTTGAAAAGGATTTTCTTACATTAAATATTTATTCACATTGAATCAATATTATAATTTTAAATAAATGATTTATAAGGCAGTATTGAAATAAATATTTATTCGATTTTAATAATTTTTTTAATATGTACATATATAGAGAATGATAATTATCATACAATTATTTTTACTTTAGCATGTGCAAACATGCTTTTTTGCTTTGCGCGCGCACACATAAAACTGAAAAAATTTGTTAACTTGATTAAATCGTTCAACTAAATAATATTTGGTTAATTGAATATATAATAAATGAATTAAATATACATATTAAATCTAACAAAATATTGGACTTAAATATTAATAACATATATTCAATTAACAAAATAGTTTTTATAATTTAGTTGAACGATTTAGTCAAGGGAGTTAACAATTTTTTTTTCAATGCACATTCACACACACACACACACACACACACACACACACACACACACACACACACACACACAAAGATGCACCCGCTTAGATATTTAACATAAATTTGAAATATGAAAGTTCTAAAAATTTAATTGCTAAAAAGCTTGATTACTTGTATTTTATGTTGCTGTAGTTTTTCTCGTGCTTAAATACTCGAGAGATATTATATATTAATATACATTATTAATATATTAATAATAATATGTTTTTATATTATTATATAATATATATTATTGTATTATTTGAAAATATATGTAATATTTTATCGGCAAAAAGTCTGGTCTATGAATCCCCAGCACAAAATCTCTCGAGAGATTGTTTTATATAGATGAGTTTGTGTTTAAAATGCAAAACAATTTTGCTAAGAACAATTATTTTTTTCGCAGAGTAATATAAAAAAAAATAAAATATGTAAAAAAAATACATATATCTAAGTTACTTGTTTTATGTAACCAAAAGTTTGATTGTTATCGTGAGAAGTAATTTTTTATTCAATCGTTTTTATCAAATTTAGTTATTAAATTTCTCTTTCTCTTTCTCTCTCTCTCTATCTTTCTCTTATCTAAAAATTAAATGTTTTAGTTTAATATAAACACGAAAAATGTATGAAAAATATATGAAATTTTTATTTGATGGAAACTAAATATATCGTTAATATAAAATATGGTATATAATTTATATTAAAATATAATAAAATAATAATTTAAATTTATTTATACATTTTGTTTATATAAACTATTGTTTGTGAAAGTTTAAGTCATTTTCTTCATTGTAATATTTAATTATTAGTTCTGTTTGCAAAAATATAACAATTAATTTAAAAAATTAACTCTTATTAATATAATCTTTTAAACGTAACATTTGACCGGAATAATCTAATTATTTGATTTATAAAACAAAATGGATTTAATTAACATTTTTGTTCGGCATTATAAAATTTATTCCATTATAATTTTTCTATAAAGAAATCTGTAAACACAAGTTAAATATTTTTATGGTAATTAAACAATTTTTTTCTAGTAGAGATATAATTAATTTTAAATACCAAACAACAAAACATAAGTAAAATTTGTTTACGTATCTCACATTATTATTAATTACTACCTAGTTTTTAAAATTTTTGTGCGTAAATGTATTTTTTCCTAATTCTAATAATCTCATTAGTACCAATAGTGAATTTTTACACGCAGAACACTTAATAATAAGATATATGTAAGGTAGCTTATTGTTCCGCATTCCTTACCATTGCAACTATCAGCTGTAATAACCGCCGTGCTTTCGGTTTATTAGAGTCTTAGGTGGTGTATAGTTAGACGCGCACTGGGAAGCCTCATATACTAGAATTCTATTATTACATCGGGTCGCCGGCTTAAACTCAGTTGGTCTTGGCTCCCTGAACCGTGAGAACGGATTTGCTTTTAGCACACCTGAGAGTGAATTTCCACGGCCGATCCGCTGCTAAAAGCACAACGCAATTGCTCGATCGTCCTTTCGGCCAGGACACTTTTTCATTATTTCTCGCCCCTCAATTGTTACAAGTTCATTATCGGGCAGTGTAAACAAAAGAAAGTGTAAAAATGCCGTACTACAACGACGTACCGTACTACTACGGAGGAGGGACTTATTCAAATCATAGCTCGTTAATGACAGGCACAGGACGGTAAGGATGTGAAGCAAAATTTTATTTTATTAGTGCGAGTGTAAAACATCGGATAAATGTCATTTTGTTTGTATTTTTAATATTTAGAGTATATCAGAGAGAGAGAGAGAGAGAGAGAGAAATTCGAATAGCTTTATTTTTTTATTCTTATATTTTATTTCCTGTCATTTGTGTCTTTGAGCGGACGTTGATTGGTGGAAATTTTTCTTAGAGATCGTTTTTTAGGTATCTACATACATTATGGGTAAAATATTTTATGCGCAATATTTTTCGAAAATTACGAAATGGATTGTATAATTACAATATGCAAATTTTTTTCCTCATTTTTCATGCTAGAGATTTTGGCAAGACAAGTCGCTGACTCACATAACTCTTCAAATTATTTATTATCGCACGATATATATATATGTAGCGATAAATTTAGGAGTTACTCGAAACTGAAATCTTTATTACTTGTTATCAGAAATAAAAATTAAATGATGTAAAATGTTTTCATTTTCATTATTAGTATTGTAAAAGTCTTTTGTAATAACATTTTTTGCGCATTTAATTATCCTAACGAATATTATGTGCCAATATTTTTTTTACTGTTTCTTACATTTTTATTTTGCCAAATATGTAAGAGAAACAACATATAATAAATAATTTTTTTTTTGAGATGATATATAAATAAAAAAAATTATAGTAAAAATTTTTGGAGGAATTTTATGTGATGATGCATAGAAATAGCATGACTTTATGCGTTGATTATACGTGCTATTAAATGCGAACCATGTAAGCTTTTCTCATAAGTGTACATACAATCAATGTGTACCCAACAAATGTTCGTGAAATATTTCCACTACGTAACGTAACCAGGAAACAAAAATAACTATTTGACATTGAGGTAAATATGTGGTAGTCGATTAAAGGACTTAATTATGAATATAAGATTTTATCAGATAAATGAGACTTTACTAATCATATAGATTTTTTAATTGTAGTTACATTTGTTAATTATTGCTTTTTTATGTGATTTTTATATTCTTTCTTATAATATAATATTTTATAAAATTATGCGATAAATTCTTTACATTGGCAACAATATTTTTCGCACAATATTAGAGGCTGAAAGACTTAATGATCATTTTTGCACATGACAAGTCAAACTCTCAAAAGAAGCTCATTGAACGATTTACAAGAAAAGTATCCACCAAAAATCATAATTATGCAGAGACAGAAAGAGATCAGATGGCACTAGATATTGGAAGTTCCTCTTCTTTAGACCCTTATCTTGAAAAAATTCTAATTCTAATTTAGAATCTATTATAATTTATAATCTAATTTTATTTTAATTGGAAATGAGTTTAGATTAGGAGAGAATTTTTTTAGATGAAAGTATAGGGAAAGAGATTGAGCCTCTCCCTCATCCACGTCTTATTAAATTTATTAAACTTGTTTTATTAATTTCTCTGAAGTTTTTAATAAACAACAGCGTTGGCTGAAACCTCCATATTATTCAAGATGATGACATCTTGAAATTGAAAGTGGGACCCTGTCTTTGCACAATTATCCCCAAAATAATAGTAAAGGACTTCGCATAATCCTTATGGAAATTGGATTTTGGTAAAAAAATTGGTTTTTTCATATATTGTAGCTTATGATCTGCTGAACAAAAGATATAATAGCCTCAAAATTAATTAATGAACAATTACTGAATCTACTACATTTTTTATTCAGCAGATCATAAACTACATGTGAGAAAACTAGCTGATTTTATTGAGATTCAATTTTATCTAGGATTTCATATAAGTTTAAAAGCTTGAATCTTGATAAAATTAATTGGTTTCCTATATTGCAGCTTATGATCTACAAAAATCTGAATAAAAAAATTTAATAGATTTAAAACTAAATACTAGATAATTCACTCTACAATAGATTGCAAATGTTTTAGCTGCCTGTTGACAGTTGCGGATTGACCAATCAGCTGACAGGTTGTTTTGTTCTAATTGGTCAGTCAACTATCAATTGGCAATTGGGATATTTGCAATTTATTGTGGAATGACCCCTAATTACTGATTTACAGCTAGCCAAACTCGAAAAATTTGGGTTCTGCGAGTTGTTTGATTAGCTGTCACTGTTTATTATTTAGCTTTGAAGCTATTACATCTTTTGTTCAGCAGGTCACTAGCTACAAAACTAGCCAATTCTATCAAAATCCAATTTTTATAAGGATTGTCGAGTCCCCAAGTAGCAAACTGACGTCATTAAACGTCAAAATGACGTATGCTTGCTACCTAGGTGTTTTATGCAAAATATAAAAATTACGATCGCGATTACAAACAAACAAATGTGTATAATGTTGGCGCAGAATACCCTTTCACACTCCATTATCGCGTTTCTCGCCGCATCTGTCGACTATTTCGGAATCTCCGCATCTGAATCACTTGCACCGCTTTCCTGTGAGATCGCCACCGATCACGTCCGTGAGATCACACGCGAGGCGAGTGATAGATACGGCGGACATCGATGTCTCATCGCCGAGAATTCTCCCGCAGAGCGGGAACCGTCCCAGGAATCGACTGCAACGCAACCGCCCGACCATCAAGATCAGGTCGCAGGCCTTGAAGGATAATCCGGTGTTGCGGGAGCACAATGAAAAGCACGAGAAGTCGGTGGGCGAGCTCCTGATGGAGAAGTTCTTTATCAAGGACAAGAAGCTGAACGGCGACGGAGGTCAGCAACAGCAGGTGCGTCTGTACCACCAGGTCAATCTGAATCGTCAGGAGGAGCCCCAGGAGCAGGAGGAAGCCGTGCAGAGGCGAATCACTCGCAGATTCACGCGACGCAGATCCTCCGCTGATCTGCAGCTCAATCCCGAACAGTTGCAGCGAAAGGCCACGTATGCCCAGGTTCAAGCGAAGGTCCTGGACAGCCTCGTGGCCGAGGAGCAGGCTCAGATCGAGAACGAGGTGCGACGTGGTACCCTGATGAGAAAGGAGACCGGGATCAGGAGCTCGATCCACTCTTATTACACCGATTCCGATGCGATAAGTCAGGACGAGGAGGAGAAACAAGCTACAACGAGAATAAGGAAAGCCGCGAAAACGAAGAGGAAGAAGAAGTCGGTTGTCGATAAGCCTTGGCCAGGTGATAACAGGCGATCGTCGAGCAGCGACATGTCCATCGATTCCGAGATCGAAGAGGAGAGCAACGGACCGAAGCCTCAGATGTACAAGATTGAAGCTTGCAACAGCGCCGGGGATTTTTCTACGATCTGGGTGAACGCGGGTTCCGAAAACGAAAAGCGCAAATCGATGGTCGAGCAATTCAGGGAGAGCGCGAAGGTCCCCACTCCCAGGATTCTCGAAGCTGAGATAGACGCTTCTCCGAAAAATAGTACGGACGAAGCGGAGATGCAAATCGTGTTGCCTGTTCGAAAACCTTATGCCTTGGATTCTTCAAGGAACAGCGTATATTTGACAGTGAAGAAGCCTACGGAGAAACTGGACGAGAAGCTCGAGAAAATCGAGAGTCTCGGTCAGGAAATTCAACAAAGCGAAAATCAATTAAGCCTGACGAATGGTTTTGTCGACGTGAAAAATAATGTTCCCAAAGATAACGAAAAGCTGAAGAGCTTAACGAGTAATAAAGATTCACTGGAATCGAACGACGAGGTAAAAACGACAAGTGACGCTAAGGATTTGACGTCAAATAAAGTCACAGACGATTCTAAGCAACTGGAAACTTCAAAAAATAACTCGGGCATACCAAGTAAGATGCCAAAAATAAACAATAGCGATATACGAAAAACTGATCTGAAGCAAAGTGCAACGTTTCCGAAGACTGCCGAACCAATTGTGAATTCTATACAATCGAGCGCGTCATCGGAGTTTATTTCGCCGAATAAATTGTCAAAAAATGTTATCACGGATCTGAAGAAAGATAAGGGTCAAAAGAATGAAAATAATTCGATTAATGTTACGAAAAATCTGAAACTGTCGACCACCGAGACGCCGGAATTTCTCAGTGCTAAGGATTCCTTTCCCTCGAAGACGGATAAACCCATGCAGGAGGAAGATAAACCAAAGAGCCTGGCGATGTTACGTGAAGATACCGTTGTCATGATCGAAGCCGACGATAATGCTAGGGAAAACAGCGCCAATAGCGCGACGTGTCGTCTGCCAAAAGCGTCTAAAATTAATGCGGATAGAAATAATGTCGTAGAAGCGCCAGAGCTTTCGTTACGAGACGCAGCACAGTACCTGGCAAATCCACCTGAAAGTGTTGAGGAGGAGACTGTCACGTTGCCGGAAAAGAAGGTGAACAAAGCGTCGGGTTTGGCAAAGACCCCCTTCTTCAAACCCAATAGCGTAGACACGAGCAAACCAGCTTCGGCCTCTAAAATTGCCCCGATTCGCGGCAACGATGACACGGCCAATTTGGTGACCGCAGAAACGACCTTGCTCAAGGAAATGAACGGCGAAGTGCGTAATAACGATCGCAATGAGGAACCAAAATCGATTACGACGGATGTCAAACAGGATCTGACGAAGACGCCCAGAAATAAAATAGAAAAACCATTACGCAAGTTATCCATCAAAAAGACGACCGATTCGCCCAAAGTCGACGCAGAAATAAATGCCACTGAAAAATCAGCGCCGAAAGACTCGACCCCGTTGAAAATTGATGTTAAAAAAATAAGTAGCGACGTGAAAAAAGACTCGTCCGACCTACCCAATCTCAAAAACAAAGCGGCACCGAGACTCGATGTTGCAAAACCCAAAGTTCCCTTTAAGATGAAAAATGTTCCGAAACCGGCTGTGAATGAAGCCGATAAGTTAAGCTCGAAAGTTAAGAAAGAGTCGGATACGGTTGAAGTAGCAAAAATTAACGACGACAAGCCGATATCGGTTCCCAAGAAAGACCTCGATGAGCCGAAAATCCTGAAGAAGACCATCTTAAATAATTGCTTGTCGAATAATCTTCCCAATCTGCAACAATCTGTATCCGTTGATGAGAAAACTGGAGGCAAAAGTGTACCAATTAAGAAGACATTGGAACCCGCCAAACTTCTGAATAATAAAGCAACGGATAAGAAGCCAGTGATAGTCGATGCGGGTTACGACAAGTCGCAGGAGAAAGGTGGGCAGCTATCCAAGAGCGCTTCTACCGAATCTATTGATTTTTGGAGCGAGATCAAAGCGACGAGCGATCCCGAAGAGATTAAATCGAAACGAGAAAGCGGATTTCCCTCTCGCGAGCCTGCGATTACCAAAGTCGACGATTCAACGAACCCGAGCAATTTATTCAATCATACATTGGTAAGAAAGAAGTCGGTGATAGTGAAGAAACTTGACGATAAGAAAGATAAAGGAGAACTCGATAATTCTGTAGTTGAGCCTAGAAGCCTTATTGCAGAGGAGAAAAATGAAAATAAGGAGAAAGTCGTTTTACAATTTCCAAAAGTGAAGAAGGAGGAAGCTGTGAAACCCGTCAAAATCACAGGGAATGAGAAAAACGTGCCGAAGATGCCGCTAAAGAAGAAGAAGAACCTTCCAACAGCAATTGGTGCCAACAAGGACTCCGGAATTAAGGACTCTGGAATTAAGGACTCCGGAATAAGGAGTTCAACCCTAAAGAAGGCTCCCTCGAAAAATGACGATTCCAATTCGATCTCGACGCAATCCGACACGACTCCGGCAGCTTCGGAGGCATCTCCTTCAATCCCGGAAGTCATGGTATGTATAATAAATAACTTGGGCGAGGAATTTAAACTAGCCGAGGAACCTAAAGACCGCGAAATCGACGAGGGGAACCTGAGTACTCCGACGAACGAGCCGGCTTCCGATCTTTTCACCGGGAAAATCTCCAAATGGAGCAACCAGGACAATCTGACGAACGCTGACGACGTGGAAACCCCGATCGCGTCAGAGGACACCAGTTTGGTTCCCAGTCCTAATCCCAGCATCAATTCGCAGTCTTTCAAGACGAAGCGTTCGGTGAAGAAGAAGAAGAAGCAGTCGTCGAGCAAGAAGGCTCCGTCCACGAAGAGCGAGAAGGAACCGAAAAGCCGTAACAGAGAATCGACGAGTCAGCAGAACACGCTCGTTCCCGAAAAGCAGTTCCTGGGGAAACCTTTACCGAGAACGTCGCCCAGCACCAGCCCGAGGAATTCGCCCTCGCAACGTCCGCTGGATCTCATCAGGATGTTCTACACGACGCCGTCGGCGTTGCTGACAGCCACACCTAGAGATCTCACCAAGATTAGAAGAGCGAAGATCAAGAGGAGGCGACATCACTCGAAGGCGTCCTCCGTGAATAGCGATAGTACCGGAAGTACAACCAGTACCGCCACGACCGGGAGTACGAACGGAAGTGGGTCGACTTGCGTCGAACTGGATGAAGAGTCCGAGCACAAGAGAATGAACTCGACAAGAAGCAACGATTCCGGATTCGACGGTTCGCCCAGAATCTTGAGTATTTATTTTGCGATCATCATCTACACACGTCAGAATTTTGTTCTGTTGAATGTGTATATTCAGATATAGTTTCAAATATTCTTTTTTATTTATATCTTTAATCGCAATTTACACAGAAAATATTATTTAATATTTATAATATTATTATATATAATATTATATTATTAATGTATATAATATTATTATATATAATATTATTATATACTATTTAATATTTATATAATATATTTAATATATACATATATAATATATACAATAGAATATATAATATATATAATATATATATATATATATATATATATATAATATATTATTTAAATAATAATATATATATTAAATAATAATTGTTTATTTTTATATATAAAATATTATTTAATATAACTTTAACGAAATATTCAGAAGACATCTTGAAAATATTAACGCGATGCTAATATTAATTTATTAATTCACGTGTGAATTATTTGTCAGTATTCTGCTTATTTCGTAATTTTTTATTTAAAGTGTGTATGTGGCTATATGGAACCTCTAGTTAAATAATAATTGTTATGCGAAAGTTTTAAAAATATGTCTAAGTGTTTATGCTTGGATTTTATAATTAATGTTAATTAACATTTATGTGTGTTTATGTTTTTGTAAAATAACAATTACACTTTTAAACAGAATTATTTTTACACGTGTTGATTTTAAATCGACAAATAGGGGAGAATGTTTGGGAGAATTTTCGGGACCCCTCAATTTGATAGATGTGTTTGATAGATTTTTTATCGATAAAAATATCGTAAACCTTGATGCGTTATGATTATTTTCAAAATATTGTTTCACAATTTTAATTTTTTCGCAAAAAAATATTTTTATATATTTTTAACTATATTGAAATTTCAAAATTTTTGGATTTCAAAAAATTAGAGTATTTTTGTAATAATTATTTATCAAATTTTTTAATGTAACAAATCTAATTTTAATTTAATCAGAAATAAGTTCGGAATAGGTTTGAATTTTTTCAGAATTATTACGACTTTTATCCTATCGCATATGATTTGCATTTTCTTTTTGATAAAAAATTATATGAAAATAACTTATATCAAATTGAGAAGTCCTGAAAATAACATTCTTGTTAATATACATATAATACACATAAACAAGCTATTGCTGAAGACGTAAGAAAATATTGTCGAAAACTCAGAATTTTATTTATGATCAAATTTGCACACTGCAGACAGAATTCATAAATTAGGTCAAGTCAAGAACTTTTCTTTCAATACGCCGGAATATGAAACTTATCGTTCTTTACATTATTATTTTTTCGTACGTGAATTTGTATTGAACTTGTATTTTATTTTAAGATCATATGCTGATGTTTCTAATGGTGGAAGCAATGGATGCGATTATGTTCGAACACTATTAAAAATTTATAAAAATTAATGAAAACGTTATAAAATCCATAACGTTCATATAAAACGAGATATAAAAATTTATGTAGAAATTTATGTGTAAAATTTTATGTAGAAATTTATGTATAAAAAATTTGTGTAGAAATATCTGGCATTTTAAATTTAAGTAGAAGAATATAATAGATCATATATATAGAATTGGATAAACTTTATATATATATATATGCTACATATCACATTACTGAAAAAATATGTGATATAGATATAAATCTGTCATCTCTTTCATCAAAGAGATTAAAATTGTAAATTTTAATAGAAAGAAAATCTTTCACTTGGATAAACTTCACAAGTATATATATAGTCACATTTACGAAAATATTTGTCCAAGCCACAAGAAAATATTATATAAATCTCATTTAAAAATAATATTGATACTATATTTAACAAATATTTTTACAGTCCAATCTTTTTAAATTTAGAGAAATATTATATTGAGATATTTTTTAAATATTCATTCAAGCAAATTTTTTTACACAAATTTAAGTAAATATTAAATATATATTTGAGAAAAAATTAAAACGCGAGTAAATGAGTTTATTAGAAAGATATTCTCTTTTATTCTTATTCTTATATTTTTGTGTAAATTTTGTCAAATATTTTTACTTTACCATTCCTTTATTTTCATCACAAATTGTACATCATCGTATGTGCATATGTATATATATGATATATGCTATTTATAACACAGCAGCTTAATATATAAATGTCATAAATCGAGTCTGTGCTGCTCACGCCGTTAAAAGACATCAAAGAAAAAAAAATGGAAAGTTATGTTTTGATATTAAGCGGATTTAAGGGATATATTTTTATATCGCTCTGCAATAAAACGTTCCTATAGATTGTGACATGGCCTGCCATAAGAAGTGCGAAAAGCTAACTGGAAATCTATGTGGATTAAACCAAAAACTAGTTGCAGAAGCGTTGCAAGCTTTGAAAAGAGGTGAGTAGTAAATAAATAAAATAAAATATTTTTTGCTGACCATTTTAATTTCAACATTTTTTTAAAGAACTATAATTCAACTACCTTTTGCTCAGTATATATATATATATATATATATATATGTTTTATGTTGAATGGTCAGTTATTTTTAAAAAATGTCATACAGCCAAATTATTGCATAGAAAGTCAGAGGTTTTTAGGTTTTTTAATCGCAATATATCAAAGATGACAATTAGTAAAAAATGTGAAAAATTTTCTTGATGCACGCGAAGAAAAAATCTTGACATCCTATATACATATAAATGCAAATTTTATACACACACATATACATATGACATTGTGCAGATATATTTAAAAAATTTTTAACATTAATATTTTCAAAAACGATTAAACTGCATCAATGATACAAATCAATGATTGAAAATAAGCTTGTATAATTGCTAAATACGGTTGTTAATGTATATAACATATATTAATTTTTATTGTTTTATTATTAAAGAAGGTTCAAAATAAAAAACCAAAATGTTTATATGAATTACTATCATGATTTTTTCTTGAATATACTTTAACAATCGCATTTAGTTCCATTTAAGCCTAATTTTGATAATTATGCAAAAACAGGGAGCCATTCTTGATTTATATAATTTTTAAAATATATTATCAAGATCATCATCTTGATTAACGTGAAAGTTTCAGCCCGCGTTCGTTGTTTATTAAAAAATTATTAACAAAATAATTTTATAATAAAAGCCTCGGCTTCTCAACAATTTACTTTCAGTGAATAATGTAATATAAAAACATAATCTATATATGGTGAATTATATATTATTTATTATATTTTCTTTGTTATTAACTTTTTATTAAACATCCAGGTAGCAAGGATACGTCATTTTGACGTTTAATGACGTCAGTTTGCTACTTTTAATAACATATTTGAAAATTATTAAAATCACGAGTGGCTCCTTATCTTTGCCTAATTAATTTTTAATGATAATTAATATTTTTATGTTCGTTATTGTATTTAGGAGTTGGAATCACAAGTCTCTTATCTATCAAAAGCTGAGTGCATGACTGAGTCTGAGGAAAAATATATCCTAATATAATATAATTACAGATATGCATGTTGTTCGACTTTTATTTTACTTATTTAAATACCAATTGAAAAACGAAGTTGATGCAATTATCATATATTTTTATTCTTAGCGCCTTCGCAGTCATCGGATCACAATCAACGAAACTCAGACATCTCGGATCGTTATCCAAGTGGTCGAATAACACCTCCAGCAACGAATTTACCAAGGTTCAAGAAATATGCCGTCACAGATTTTAATTTCCTCAAAGTAAGTTTATTAATCGAACAAATTTCATCAATGATGAAATGCATGCTTAGATGATTTTAAAATTAGCTAGATAAAGATGAAATGAAAATATGGAAATTTATTTTAGATAAGATGAAGATGATTTTGTTTTAAATAAATCTATAAGATATACATATCTAAATAAATAAGATACATATCTAAATAAATAAATAAATATCTAAGATAAAAGATAAAATTATATGGCGATTCATCTAGATACCTTCCGCAGATAATATTATATATATTAAATGACGTCGCTTTGTTTAATGACGTCAGATTGCTACTTTAATTATTTTGATAACAATAATCACTGCATCCCAGGTAGCAAATTGATGTCACTAAAATAACATTTTGACGTCGAATGACGTCATTTTGACATTTAATGTCATTAAATGTCATCAAAATTTAATGTCACCCAAATTTAATGTCATCAAAATAATGTTACCCAAAATTTTGACGTTTAATGACGTCATTTGCTACTTGGGATAAACTGGAGCGCTATTTTAAATAATGTTGATTCTATTTTGCAGGTCTTGGGTAAAGGTAGCTTTGGTAAAGTCTTGTTAGCTGAATTGTGCGGCACGGAATGCGTATACGCGGTGAAGTGTCTGAAGAAGGACGTTGTTCTCGAGGACGACGACGTCGAGTGCACGTTAATCGAGAGGAAGGTTCTGACCTTGGCGACGAGACATCCGTATCTCTGCCATCTGTTCTGCACCTTCCAGACCGAGTCCCACCTCTTCTTCGTTATGGAGTACCTCAACGGGGGTGATCTGATGTTTCACATACAAAAGTCCGGTCGATTTGCCGAGTCGCGCGCACGTTTTTACGCCGCCGAGATATGGTCCGGACTGAGTTTTCTGCACAAAAAGGGCATCGTTTATCGGGACCTCAAGTTGGACAATGTATTACTCGACTTCGAAGGCCATATTCGAATTGCGGATTTCGGCATGTGCAAGCTTCAAATCTTTCTAGACAGAATGGCCGATACTTTTTGTGGTACACCAGATTACATGGCACCAGAAGTAAATATATTATCATTATTTGCTTGAGGTTTATTTTTATTTTCTCTACGTACTTAATTTATTATAATAGATATTTTTAATAGACCAAATTATAGGCAAATATACTTAGAGATATAATATATAATTATATATTTTAAGTAGCAAACTGACGTCAAAATAACGTAAACTTGCTGGGATAAATAAAATAAAATGATGTCATTTTGACGTTAAATAACATCAATTTGCTACTTGGGATATACATATATTTGCCGATAATTTTGTCTATTATTAAATATCTGTTAATATATTAAAAATAAGCGGAGAAAGTAGAGAAAAAGACGACATCATTTTAACGTTCAATGACGTCATAATAATAAATAATATCCAAGAAGTTTTAATTTATTATTATTAAAAAATTATTAACAATTAAATTGTACGATAAGAACAAATCAAATATGATATTTCGGACTTTTCCGAGTAGAAATTATTTGATAAAACCCTTTATATGTTCCTCAGGATCATGATCTTGACGTATATATGTTGTTAAGATTAAGATTATTGGAGGCGAATTGGGTTCTCTATTTATGAAATTATTGAATTATTTATATTTACAGATTATAAAAGGACTTAAGTATAATCATGCCGTGGATTGGTGGTCATATGGTGTCCTGTTGTACGAAATGTTAACCGGTCAATCGCCATTTTCCGGATGCGATGAGGACGAGCTATTCTGGAGCATTTGTAACGAACGACCGTTTATACCTCGTTATCTGAGTCAAGAGGCTACCGACATACTCATCTCTTTATTGGAGAAGGATTCTGGAAAAAGGCCGCCTGCTCACGAAATTGCCATGCACGCTTTTTTTCAGGTAATTCGCTGATGATCATCTTTTGCAAGCGCAGAAATATATTTCGCGCGCAGAGCTTAAATAAACCCAGCTAGTAAAATGATGTCAGGTTACTACCTGGGAATATAAATATGTATTTCCAATTTCGCAGAGTTTGCCTTGGGATCGGTTAGAGAGGAGGCAATTGGAACCGCCATTTAAGCCCGCGCTCGATCATACCTTGGACACAAAATATTTCGATACAGCTTTTACAACTGAACGTCCAAGACTCACCCCGGTGCCCGAGCAGATTTTGACTTCGATGGATCAAGATGTTTTCCGCGGATTCTCTTACACGAATCCGAACGCGACAGACTGATATGTATATTAAGAGTGGAAAGAACGTGTTATGTTAATAAATTTTTAACAGACCCAGCAAAAATATAGTCACTTTGACGTCAAATTATGTTATTTTGACATCAAAATGATATCGTAATAATTATTGTGACTATATGGGAGATTAATGTCTGTCATTAATTTTCTTGTTTCATACGAAAACGAGAAAAAAGCTGTGTTATGCTCTTTTGAGCTCGCACATTAAAGTTACTATTATAATATAATAATGAGATGCAACATATAAATGAATCACATCTTAAAGACATGTATTTTGTCTTTAAACGAATCACGAGGGAGGAATAATATATAACTAGATATTTAAAAATAAACGTACAGGATGACAGTTATAGAAAATGGCGCTATATTTGGGAACAAATAAATTAAAATTAAAAACATTAAAATTTGACAAGGAATCTGTATGTCAATTTTATTATATAGCACACAATGAATATTATTTAATCTATGCAAAAATTATATATATATATATATAAAGTAATTTGATAATTAAATTTTAAATCTTAAAATAATTTAAAAACAATAGTGAGCAAATTTGACTATTACATTGCTTTTATAATCAACATTATACAATACCTGATAGTAATCACTTACTATTCCGCTGTGTTGTTTAGAAACAAATGAAAATTGAACAAATCAAATAATTTTGACTATAAAAAACTTGTCAATTTTATCGATATATAAATATATAATATAAATTATACAAAGCAAATTTGATAAGCAAATTTTGTCCATTATCGTTTTTATACTCTTTTTTTTAAATGTAAAATTTGTTTATCAAATTGCTTTATATAATTTTATTGCTATATGTTAATAAAATTAATGAATTTTTTACTCAAAATAATTATATTTTCATTTATTTATTTCTAAATAATAGCTGAATAATTTCAGCAACTTTCTGTTTTGTTATCCTGTACATTTACTGATATACAAAAGTATATCGATAAGTTATTAGCAATAAGCGATGCACTTATTGCTAATATCATGAATTGTTTCATATATTTTATTGGTACATTATATATATATATATATATATATATATATATATGTAATTAAAAAATTAATGCAGATTGTAGATAGCTAGCTTAGTATAAGATTGTTTTCTTATACAAACTGTAAACGTATAAGAACATATAAATTTTTATATTGTAGGCAAAGCATAATAGAGAGATGTAACAATTATACACAATTAAATATTATTTAGTTCAGTGAACTGTTTTTCTAGTCGCAATTGCTCCTGATTTTCTTTTTATTAAATGTATCCTCTAGTTAGTCTGTTAAAAGTTAAAGATTCCATTATCATTTAAGATATTAATTATATAAATCAATTGGAAAAAGTACACTTTAAAATTAAATTAGAAATAATTTTTAAACATGTACGTGTTCATCAGTAGATATACATATATATATAATTCAAGTATATATAATTTTAAGCAATCAAGTTCAATAGAGAGATATATTATATAATACATAAGATATATATAAATGCTTTATTTTCAGGAGTAAAAAAATCCATGTTTAAAATAACTTGCGTGTAAATATATGCAAGATATTTCATCAAATGAGTAAAATGCATTTATTTACACACAATTTTGAATCCATTATACGTCAATGTAATATGCATCGTACCTGTGAAATTATGTAAATTAAATTGTTTTGTATTATTTAAATTTTATTAATTACATATTTGTTTTTCTGCATGCTCTCATTGTAGGGAGATAGGCGGAAAGTGTTGATCACTTTTATCCTATGATATAAATTTCGGCTATAGTGTAATTACTTCACCGCTTTGAATATAAGTCTCGATTTGTTACTACAGCCAGATTATTATTATTAATATGTGAAATGTCTTATTATTTTATTTTCATTATAATGATATAATGTCGAGCTTTTTAACGAAAACTAGCTCTTACACTGGTGTATATCATTACTATAATTGTATCTTTAAATCTGTTTTGCATTACTTTTTATTTGTTCCTCCCTTTTCGATCAATTCTCTCTTATTCTTCCAATGTCTAAAATACAGTTCTCTCCCTTTTTTACGAATAAAAACCGTAGGCTTATATAATAATAGTTTTATACTAATAGTTATAGTATTAATAGTAATAGTTTCTCGTCTTTTGTCTCTCTTTATTTCCTTATTACTTCTATGAAATTTATTTTTTAAATTATGAACTTTTTTAAATTTGTTTTCAAATTTTTTAATATTATTTTATCATTATAAATAATTTTTTTCTCATAAATGTATATTTTTTACAAATAGACTTTCACAATCTGTTTTTTTATTCCTTTAACTTTTAGATCATGTATTTTTTTGCTCCTACTTGGATGCTTACATATATATATATTAACTTTAGATTATCAAAAATGCAGACTCAAATTTCGATCTCTAGCTCTTCACATATAAATATCTTAATTAAAAAAAAGATAAAAGAATAACATATATTATGTGATAAAATATATTTTCGAAGTCTTGCTTTTACAATTAATAAATATAACTTTTATAATAACAAAATAACTAAGCGACAAACTAAAAAATAAATAAAATATATATTTATAACAAGAAATAATTAGTAATGTTTCAAATAAACATTTGAATATCAATTCAACTAAATATACTTTATAATATTAATATATTCGAAATATATAAATATTCTAACATGGAATAATCATTTCCTAAACTGTGGAATTATCGGTACGGGATTGTTGCTATATATTACATATAATCGTCAAAATAATTGAGAAACACATTAGGCAGTTTTAACATTTGTATATCAATATTTACATTTATAGAACGAATTATACATCTTCCTGTGACTTCTTTTTCTATTATCAACATTTCTTCACACATATTTTTCGTTTAAATAATTTTTCCTTTATAACTCACAGTAGTGCACGATCTACAGAGCAGTCAACATGGCAGATATGTCAGATGTCCAAGAAAGGTAATACCAGTTTATGAGATAATGGGCCAATTATATCATCTCCGTCGTGCATTTTAATCGGCTGATTAAATTAAAATTTGCAAACTTAAAACTCATCAACTTTGTCTACATTTAAAATAGGATGTCTGTGCTTTGCAGTTGGAAATTCTTCAATTGAATCGGTCGATTAAAATAATAGGAGATGGTGAAATTGGCCTATATATCACATATAATAATAAGGCATGATAATTGTGATAATTTTTATCAAATCAATCGAAAATAGAAAAAAATATAATTGAAAATCTAGAAAGGTACATAATGGTCACTTATTGTTAGTAAAATCATGTACAACGAATAGAATCATGATTTCAAATATTTAGGACGTCTTTATCACAAATATAATATAATATTTTAGTTAACTTATAAATATACTCATAAAGTTAAGTATAAATATATATACAAAGTGCTAAAAAGGTCACATATTTTGACATAATATTATTGATTAAAACAAGAAAACAAAGTCTAATTAACTTGAGTTTTACAATTAATATCCTTGCAGATATTGACTATCTTTCTATTTGTGCGTATTGTCTCTTTTTAATAATCTAAATTTGCGTGCTATTATATTAGGACTTTTATAATCGATGATTTATGGGAATCTTTATAGATATGAACAAATGTACAATTTAATTAATAAAGATATAGATATTCGTATTTAGATAGTTTTCATGTTTTTAAGAATATTAAAAGTTAAAATTAAATGTAGGAGATAAAAGTTTAAATAGATAATAAGATCTTATTAATAATATTAGTTTTGATTTGTTATCAGTAATTGTACATTGTACACATTATTCAACCAAGCAAACATTACAATATTAATAATTCCAGCAATTTGTATCTTTTATTTTATATAGCTCAATAAACTATAGATGGATGTGGAATTATTTGAGAAGAAATACGGAGTATGAAATATGTAATATTTGTGATAAGAAATATTGTTCGACTCACATTGTATATATGCAAGAACATATACAAAAAGGACATCCTGATATTTATAATAAATCAGAAGAAACACCTTTTTTACAATAGGGAACAACAAAATAAAATGTAATTATTGTCTGCAAATTTATAAGCCATCTTTTCGTCTAAATTTTAATATGTAACGTCACATTAAGGGTAAGCATAAACTTAACGAAAATATAGCTAATAAACTCAAAATCTGGGTAAATCAGCAACTTGATATAATTGAGAAATGTGAGACTTGCGATCAATTTGAAAAATCTGATATTTTTAATAAAATGATACATTTAGTCAAAGCTCATCGTGTCATCGTGCTTCCGAAATTTATACCAACAGGGTAAGAAGAATTTCCAATAAATTAATTATATTGTTATTTATCATTAATACGTACATTTGTGTGCAACGAACAGAATTGTTTATAATAAATAAGATAATAAAATTCAATCATTAGAAATGTGTTTATTACATATATATTTAAATTCACGTCAATTTGTCTGAGTTAGTTAATACTTTATATTGAAATATACGTTCGACCAGATTTGCTCTGTTGTATTTCTGTAATCGGTAATTTGTAACAATTTATTTAATTAAGTATTTAATTTAGTACAAATTGTGAATTAGTGTTTATAATATAAAATAACCGGTCAAAAATGGTCGTATGTGAATATATATATTATACTGTACACCTTACTCAACAAGCAAACATTACAATATTAATTATTCCATACAATTTGTATTTTTTATTTTATACAGTTTAAAGGATTGTACATGGATGTGGTATTATTTGAGAAGTGATACGGAGAATGAAATATGTAATATTTGCAATAATGAATATATCATTGCACACCGATTCAGTATGATTGTGCATGTGTCAACTTCACATCCTCGTTCATATAATCCCTTAGAAATACATAATAACTTTACTTCTACTGAAACCAACGGAGTAAAATGTAATTATTGTTCTCAAATTTATATGCCATTCTTGAATCCAAGTATGAAGGTGCAAAATCACCTGACAAACATACATAAACTTAACGAAAATATAGCTAATGAACTCAAAAGCTGGGTAAACGACCAACTTCCTTTAATTGAAAATGCGAATCTTGCGATCAATTTAAAGAATCTGATGGATAAACACGATCGAAGCGAAAAATGTCATCTGCTTCCGAAATTTATACAATAATTTATTTTCAATAAATTAATTATATTGTTATTTATTATTGAAACAGAATGGGGTCGAAGAAGTTATAATTAATTATATTGTTATTTATCATATATACGTACATTTGTGTAGAATGAACAGATTGTTTATAATAAATAAAAATAAAATTCAATATTTTGAAATGTGTTTCTTACATATATTTATATTTACGTCAATTTGTCTGAGTTAGTTAATATTTTATTAAAATATATTTTCGGACCAAATTTGCTCTGTTGTATTTCTTGTAATTGTAATTTGTAAAAGTTTAGTTAATTAAATATTTATATTAGTTTAAAACGTAAATGAGGGTTTATGTTTATAATATGAAATAACCGGACAAGAATTGTTGCATTTCAATAATATTCTATACATGTTACATTTATATGAGTATTTCGAGTTTACAGCGAGAAGTGTTTATATAATAAAATCGTTAAGTTAATATCAATAGTTCGTATTCAATAATTATGCATTATGCACATGATACAAGCAAGACTTTATAACTTTGACTAATTCATAATATTGTGCTGTTAATTATTCCAGCGTAACAGTAATTGTATACAATCTTTTTCATGGTGATGGAAACAATGTAGATAGTTCAACGTTAAGCAGCAATCAGTAGCCAACTTGTAGTACTTCGAGAACTGACGTTGAAAATTTTTGTTCCGATTTAAATTCTGATAGGGCAGTAGAGTCTACTGAAAAAAGTAATAGAACTAATCTTAAAAGTAATTATTAACACTGCTTTTTCGATTTAACATAAAGCGATATAACAAACTTATAAATGTATCGATTGTGTTGCAAGCTCATAAATTTTTTACTTATCTTCATATTAAGCGACCGAGCGAAATTTTTATTTTTTAAATATTTTTAAATATTTTGTAAAAACATTTTATTTAAAATTATATATTATTTGATTGTTATTTTACACATAAAACATTTTACATATTTATATAAATAAGAATTTATATTAGTATTGATTATTAATTCAGTAATTGTTATTGTTATAATTCTGTGAAAATTATCAAATATTGTAGATGATCACAATCTTCCTGCGTCATCAAGGAGCTTTTTTTCATTTGGTGATACTGATGAGTATATGTCAGATGTCAAAGAAAGGTAACATCAGTTTATGAGATTATGGGCCAATTATATCATCTCTGTCCTGCATTTTGATCGACTGATGAAATTAAAAAATTGCCATTTTAAAACTGATTAACACTATCTACATTTAAAATGGTCTGTGCTTTCTAACTACAAATTCTTAAATTGAATTGGTCGATTAAAATAATCGCAGATGGTGAAATTGGCCTATATATCACATCAAAAAATATTAAGGCAACATATAATTTTTATAAAATCCATCGAATATAAAAAAAATATATACTTGAAAACCTTGAAAAGGTACATAGTGGTAACATAGTGAAATCATATACAAGAAATAGAATCATGATTTTAAATATTAAGAACGTCTTCATCACAAATCTATTATGATATTTAAGTTAACTTAATCATAGCTAATATTATATACATAAAAATATACATAATAATAATATACATAATAATATACATAAGTAATTATAAAATATTAATATATACCATATATATGGTGCGAAAAAAGGTCACATGTTTCGAAATAATATTATTGATCAAATCAAGAAAACGAAGTCCAATTAACTAATTTTTATAATTAGTATTTTTGAAGATACAGACTATCTTTCTAATTATTGTCTTTTTAATAAAATAAATTTGCATGTTATATTATATTTAGAAATTTTATAATCGATAATTTGTGACATTCTTTATAGATATGAACACATATGTGTAATACAATTTTTTAATAAGATATACATATTCGAATTTGGATAATCTTTTACGTTTTTAAGAATATTGAAAATTTTAATTTAAATAAAGGAGATAAAGTTTAAGTAGCTAATAAAATCTTGTCAATAATATTATAGTTCTGATTTGTTATGAGTAATTATACAATGTACACATTATTCAACAAGCAAACGTTGTAAAATTAATTATTCCAGCAATTTGTATTTTTTATTTTATAGCTCAATTATATAGCTCAATAAACTATAGATGGATGTGGTATTATTTGAGAAGAGATGCGGAGTATGAAATATGCAATATATGTAATATGCCATGTACTAGTTCTCACCATTCCAAAATGTTTAGACATATCGGATACTTACATTCTAATACAATTTTAAAAAAACAGTTTATTCCAACACAATGGAATAAAATGTAATTATTGTTCTAAAATTTATATGGCATCCATAAATCTGAGTACATATACACAAAATCACTTGACAAATGAACATAATCTTAACGAAAATATAGCTAATGAACTCAAAATCTGGGTAAACCAGCAACTTGATATAATTAAGAAATGTGACACATGCGATCAATTTAAAGAATTCGATATTTTTAATATAATGGTACATTTAGTCGAAACTCATCGTGTCATCGTGCTTCCAAAATTTATACCAACAGGGTAAGAAAAATTTCCAATAAATAAATTATATAGTTATATATCATTTATACGTACATTTGTGTAGAATGAACAGAATTGTTTATAATAAATAAGAAAATAAAATTCAATCTTTTGGAATGTGTTTATTACATATATTTATATTTACGTCAATTTATTTTAGATAATTCATATTTTATTAAAATATACTTTCGGACCTGCTTTGCTCTGTTGTATTTCTTGTAATTGTAATTTGTAAAAATTTATTTAATTAAATATTTACTTTAATATAAATTGTGAATCAGGATTTATAATATTAAATAACCGGACAAAAATTGTTGCATTTCAATAATATTTATATATATTACATTTATATGAGCATTTCAAGTTTACAGCGAGAAGTGTTAATATAATAAAAGCGTTAAATTAATATTAATAATTTGTATTCAATAATTATGCATTATGCACATAATTCAAGTAAAACTTTATAACACTGACTAATTCATAATATTGTACTGTTAATTATTCCAGATTATTATCACCAAGATTATACAATCTTTTTCATCGTGATAGGAACACCGCAGATATTCCAACGTCTAGCAGCAATCAGCTACCAACTTGTAACACTTTGAGACCTGACGTTAATAATTTTTGTTCCGATTTAAATGCTGATATGGCAGTAGAGTCTACTGAATATGGTAATAGACACTGCTTTTCGATTTAACATAAAGCGATATAACTCAAACTTATAAATATATTGAATATGTTGCGAACTCATAATTTTTTTAATTACCATGAATTAACTATCATGCATCGACAGAGCAAAATTTTTATTTTTTAAATATTTATTAAGTATACAAGTTTATTAATATTTTGACCGTCAAAACAAAATGTTGGCAATAATTTGTACTGATTAGTTAGGTCGAAATATTAATAACTTGTGTGGTTTTACTCATTACTGGCGACTTCATTAAATTTATCGGTATGTTTTAAATACTTTTTAAAATTATTTATTATTTGTACTTGATAGTTATTTTACACATAAAACATTTTACATATTTATATAAACAAAAATTTATTTTGTTATTAATTAATTCAGTAATTGTTATTGTTATATAATTCTGCGAAAATTATCAAATATTGTAGATGATTATCACGATCTTCCTGATATGTCACCATCAAGCAACTTTTCCTCTGCTACTAATAATGAAGATATTGATTCGTTTTTTAAAAGTATTGACAAGGACAAGTTATTTAAATCGGTATAATGAAGTAAAGAGCCATCTAATGAATAATTATTTACACTGTTTTATTAATGTAACATGAAACGAAATGGTACGAAATTATAATGATGATTGTTTTGCGAACATATTTGTCAATTAACTACTTATCGGGCAACTGCTTTTAAAATTATTTATACTTATAATACTATTGTTCATTATAAAACATAAATTTATTGTTAATTCTGTAAAATTAGTTCTTTAAAAGTATTGTATTAACAAAGATATTTTATTTAAGCTGTTATAATATTTCTATGTCTATTTTCAACGCGTCGCTTAATACGTATTTATTTTTAATTATTTATAGTAAATAGGATGTATTAAATAATTTTATATTTTGCATGATCTATATTCGGTTTGACAAATTCTTCTCAAGATTATTGCACAGATATTTAATTCTAACGAAAAAATTTAGTTTCGTTGGGATAACGCACTGTCTTCCGCGATTGGTTCTTATTGCCTGTCTTACACTTTAAATTTATATTAATATTAATAGTTTGTATTCAATAATTATGCATTATGCACATAGTTCAAGTAAGACTTTATAAGACTGTTTAATTCATAATATTGTACTGTTAATTATTCCAGCTTATTATCACCAAGATTATACAATCTTTTTCATCGTGATACGAACACCGCAGATATTCCAACGTCTAGCAGCAATCAACAATCAAACTTGTAATACTTTGAGAACTTACGTTGAGAATTTTTGTTCCGATTTAAATGCTGATGCAGTGGAGTCTATTGAAGAAGGTAATAGGACTAATCTTAAGCGTAATTATTAACACTGCTTTTTCGATTTAACATAAAGCGATATAACACAAACTTATAAATATATCAAATGTGTTGCAAACTCATAATTTTTTAATTATCTATATATCAAGCATAATTGACACAGCGAAATTTTTATTTTTTTTATATTTTGTAAACACTTTTTAAAAATATTGTTTTAACATATATATTATTTGTACTTAATAGTTATTTTATACATAAAATGTTTTACATACCTATATAAACAAGCATCTATATTGGTATTGATTAACTCAGTAATTGTTATTGTTATAATTATGTGAAAATTATCAAATATTTCAATTGCTAATATTCTTGAAGATATTGCACCCGCTGATATTGACTAAATTGATTCGATTTTTAACAACGAAGTAAATCAGTTATTTGAATGTAGTGGAGAAAAGAGTCATTTAATGTAATCTAATGAATAATTATTTACAGTTTTTTTAATATAACATAAAGTGAAATAGTACGAAATTATAATGACTATTTTGCGAACATAGTGTATGCTAATTAACCACTTATCAGGCAGCCGTTTTAAATTATTTATATTTATAATAATTTTGCTTTTGTTATGAGACATTTTGCGAACATATTTGTCAATTAACTTCTTATCGGGCAACTGCGTTTTAAATTATCTATACTTATAATACTCTTGTTCATTATAAAACAAATTTATTAGTGATTCTGTAAAATTAGTACTTTAAAAGTATTGTTAACAAAGATATTTTATTTAAGCAAATATAATATTTTAGTGTTTGTTTTCATCGCGTTGCTTAATACGTATTTGTTATTGAATTATTTATAGTAAAAAGAATGTATTAAATATAATTTTATATTTTATATTTGGTTTAATAAATTCGGTTTAATACTTCTCAAAATTGGAAGAAGAATCGGGTATAAGAATATTGAAATAATAATTCATGTGAGCAATGTATCTAATTTGTAACAATTATTTACAATAAACTTGATTCCATATTGTGTATCGCATTGTTCTTTTTGTACAAGTGTTTCAATTTTAGTTATTTAATCAATTACATTTGTTATACATTTATATAGAGCCGTACAAATTTTAATCTGTAAGTGGATACATTTTGGCTAATATCGATGGAACTGAAAATATAAAATCGAGTGAGTGAATGTGCACTCGTATGTGACTGTCTGTTCGACATTAGGAAAAACACATTATTAGTTCTGAGTCTATAAAATTCTCTGTGATAGTAAAAGGCAAAGTCTGTCTAGGCATAGTAGATGTTCACATTAACTCAATTATAGTTTTTCGTTATTAATAAAGCATTCCATTCCAAGAATAAACTTATATTGTTAACATGCACGAATAGTGAAATGAAACAAATCAAATAGAAGTAAATGAAACTCACGGAATATAAAATTCTCGAACATGTAAATAACCATGTACACGTATTTCGTTTATTAATTTTAAAATACATTAAAATTAATTGGGCAACAGTCTGATATTTTACCATAAATCGACTCGTTATTGATACATAGTCGTAGTTGTAAAAATTTGCAGTGAAAAATATGCATCGCTATATGGCTTCTCTTTCGCAATATTATAAAAAAGTACTTAGTTCTTAAATACCAGTAAGCTCTCTTATTTTCATTGTTCCATTTATTAAGAACGAATAATTGTTAACCGTTGTTCTATTATAATTAAACTTGTATTATACATATTTTAGATTTTGTACATTTATAGAATCGGTCATTTTAATTATCGGTAAATTTACAGAAACTAATGTAAAAGCTACATTGCATTTATATAAATGGAAATGATATTCTCTTGATTGCGGCACAAAGTGTAATATTTTTGTACTCTTATCTACGTACTTTTTTTTCTTAGTTGCGCCATAAACGGATGATTTTACTCTGAATATTTGAGAATTAATTACACTCTGTATAGTGCAATCTCACTGTTCACAAATGTGACAGAATCTTCGTTTATTCACGAGTAAGCAACGAGCACAGATCTATTTTAATTGATTATTTTTCTGTTACGTCAAGTGCTGCATTCGAGAATCAATTAGTAAATCCAAAATTTGGTGGCATCCATATCGTTGCTCCGTAGTTAAGACATCCAATGCTGCAATCACCTGTCTGAACGTATTGGCAAAGTCCTGCTCGTTCACGATCACCAGATCGATATATATTTTTTGTAGACTCTTTGCAAGGCCACAGATTGCAGTGTGGATCTCAAGTCATCCTTTTAGTAATAAATACATTAATTATTTAACTTATTTTATTGTACGGATGATTTTTCTAAGTATTGTTTTATACACGCGACACAATGTTTTACGCAAATATTGTATGGATGATTATTTTAAGTATTGTTTTATACACGCGACCACTATGTTTTACGCAAAAGATGTATTTATCCGAAAAAAATTATTATTTTGAAGAATTATACGCAACTCTGGCTAACAAAATTGGCTAGGTAATTGAATATTATTTAGTGTATTTCAAATTTTTATTGTTTATATTATATTTAAAATTATTCAACTTTTAAATTTTTATTCTTTTATTTATTTAATAATACATATAGTTTGTGAAACACAATTTAGACGAAATCACAAATGTAATTTATTTTCTTGCAACTTCAAGCGTAATAGTATGGAAAATGATTAATATTTGCAAATAAGAAATATTTTTATCGGCTCTCAGTATTAAATAATAAATAAGATATTTTAAAGCGGCCAATAGAGCTCAAGCGCGAAAATTAATTTTTTCAGAACTGTATCTCTTGGTACGAGATTACTAAATTCTATATATTAATTTACCTTGAACTTACATATGGAAAAATAGGCAAGAAAAATATAGGTCCGAATATAGGTTCCCGCTTCAGCGACTTTTCGGACCTATATTTTTCTCGCCTATTTTTCTATTATGTGTAAGTTCAAAGTTAATTAATATATGAAATTTAGTAATTTTGTACAAAGAGATACATTTCCGAGAAACTTAATTTTCGCGCTTGGGCTTTATTGGCCGGTTTAAAATATCATATTTATTATTATTGATTAATATTTGCATGTGTGGTGATGATAAAAGAAGTGATTTTCCCGCGATGCGTTTATGATATAATGCCGAAAGAACTATATAATTTTTACGTGACAGCCACGTACGTTGACACGTGGCATATAACTGGCTGGCCGTGCGGCTGTTTAATATTAATTACAGTCATTTAATATTTGACATACATTAGGTTTTAATACCATTTTCATGTTAATAAGTTGCAAGTATTATAGTATTATATTTTTTCAAGAGGAAATTGTTTTCTTGAAAATATTTTTTTAATTTCTATGAGATTATGTTCAGAATATGCTAAAACGTCGAAAAATTATATTAAAAAAGAATATACGTGTCTATCCCTTGAAAATTTAATTTTTCAAGAACATTATTGTTTGAGTTGTAGTGCTTTAATATTTGGCGTAAAATTAAATATTTATTATTCATATATATAAAATTTTATAAAATGTTTCAAATATTAATGTAATTTTAATTTTTTTAAAAATATTTTGTGGTTTCTCTAACTTCTACAAATTTTGAAATATCGGAATAAATTTTTTTACATAAATTACATAATCGTTATTATATACAAATATAATCATTATTATATATGTGGTATTGAATTAGAATATCGATGCAAAAGAGTCAATTTTTTCTATAAAATTTTGAATTTTTTAAATAAATGTCTGCATAATTGCTCTAACTTCCATAAATTTTTAGGTATTGAATTAAATTTTATATTTACGTAAAATATAAAATATGGATGCGTAAAAATAATTGGTATTATTGAATTTGGCGAGAATTGGTAAAAGAATTAACTTTTTAATGAAATTATGAAGTGTTAAATGCATTTTTTATTAACATTTGCAAATTTTGAGGTATCAAATTAATTATATTCTCGAATAAAGTATTGTTAAGGTTGTTCATTTTTGTATATATATATTTTTGTATATTTTCACATTTTTAAAAAACATCAATTTTCGTATATTACGAAACAAACATTCAAAAATAGGTATATATATCAAAATAATACATAATTCTCGTTGTGTTAACTAATAGGGCTCAAGACATGCCAAGTTATTATATAAATATAAATTTATTATTTGTCATGCAAGAACAATTTCTTGAAAGTATTGTGTTAATTACTGTATTAATAACATATAAACAAATATTAAATTTTTTGTTTTTTATATAATTAGTAGACTCATTCGATTTGTATTGACTGCAATAAAAGTAATATATAAAGTTAATGCAATTTTTATAAATAAAATACATAAACATAAAATTATAAAAAAATAAATGTGACGGTACATTTTTAATTTATTTGAAATTATTTGTAATACATGTGATTATAAATTATATTTTAAATCGTTTTTTAAACTGTGGAATGATCGATACTGGATTATTGCTACCTATAATCGTCAAAATTGAGAAACACGTTAGACAGTTTTAATATTTGTATATCAATATTTACATTTCTAGAAGGAACCATACATCTTCTTGTGACCTCTTTTTCTATTATCAACATTTCTTCACACATATATTTTTCGTTTAAATAATTATTTCTTTGTAACCTACAGAAGTGCACGATCTACAGAGCAATCATCATGGCAGATAAGTCAGATAGGTCAGATTACGATGAAAGGTAATACCAATTTATGAGATTATGGATCAATTATATCATTTCTGTCGTGCATTTTAATCGACTGATTCAATTAAAAAATTGCCTCTTTAATACTGATCAACTCTATCTACATTTAAAATGATCTGTGCTTTTCAGCTAAAAATTCTTAAATTGAATCGATCGATTGAAATAATCGGAGATGGTGAAAATGGCCTACATATATATCACATCGAAAAATATTAAGGCAGCATATTTCTGATCATTTTTATCAAATCCATCGAATTTAATAAAATATATAATTGAAATTCTTGAAATGGTACATAGTGATAACATAGTGAAATCATGTACAAAGAATAGAATCATGATTTCAAATATTTAGGACGTCTTTATCACAAATATATTATAATATTTAAGTTAACTTAAACATAGCTAATATTATATATATAATAATATACATAATAATTTAATAGTTATAAAGTATTAATATATATATATTGTGCGAAAAAAGAGTCACATGTTTCGAGATAATATTACTGATCAAATCAAGAAAACGAAGTCCAATTAACTATTTTTTATAATAAATTTCTTTGAAGATACTGATTATCTTCCTATTTATTGTCTTTTTTAATAATATAAATTTGCATGTTATTATATTTAGAAATTTTATAATCGATAATTTGTGACATTCTTTATAGATATGAACAAATGTACAATATAATTTTTTAATAAGATATACATATATTCGAATTTAGATAATTTTTTATGTTTTTAAGAATATTGAAAATTTAAATTAAAATAAAGGAGATAAAGTTTAAGTAGCTAATAAAATCTTGTCAATAATATTATACTCAGAAATAAATATTTTTATCGGCTCTCAATATAAAGAATATAAATATGCTGTTTTCTAAGTCGGGCAATAGAGCCAAAGAAACGAAAAATTAATTACTCGGAACTGTATCTCAATTTGAGATCCCAAAGTCCCATATATAAATTAATTTCGAAACTTACATATGGAGAAATAAGCGCGAAAAATATAGGTCCGAAAAGTCGCTGAAGCGGGAATTTTTCGCGCTTATTTCTCCATATGTAAGTTTCGAAATTAATTTATATATGGAACTTTGGGATCTCAAATTGAGATACAGTTCCGAGTAATTAATTTTTCGTTTCTTTGGCTCTATTGCCCGACTTAGAAAACAGAATATTTATATTCAATAATATTATAGTTCTGATTTGTTATGAGTAATTATACAATGTACACATTATTCAACAAGCAAACGTTGTAAAATTAATTATTCCAGCAATTTGTATTTTTTATTTTATATAGCTCAATAAACTATAAATGGATGTGGTATTATATGAGAAGAGATGCGGAGTATGAAATATGCAATATATGTAATATGCCATATACTAGTTTTCACCATTCCAATATGTTTAGACATATCGGACACTCACATCCTAATACAATTTTAAAAAAACAGTTTACTCCAACACAAAACAATGGATTAAAATGTAATTATTGTTCTAAAATTTATATGGCATCCATAAATCTGAGTATATATACACAAAGACACTTGACAAATGATCATAAGCTTAACGAAAATATAGCTAATAAACTCAAAATCTGGGTAAACCAGCAACTTAATGTAATTAAGAAATGTGACACTTGCGATCAATTTAAAGAATCTGATATTTTTAATATAATGGTACATTTAGTCGAAGCTCATCGTGTCATCGTGCTTCCAAAATTTATACCAAGAGGGTAAGAAGAATTTCCGATAAATTAATTATATTCTTATTTATCATATATACGTACATTTGTGTAGAATGAACAGAATTGTTTATAATAAATAAGAAAATAAAATTCAATCTTTTGGAATGTTTTTATTACATATATTTATTATCACGTCAATTTATCTGAGTTAGTTAATATTTTTTTAAAATATACTTTCGGATCAGATTTGCTTTGTTGTATTTCTTGTAATTGTAATTTGTAAGAATTTAGTTAATTAAATATTTATTTTAGTTTAAAACGTGAATCAGGTTTTATAATATTAAATAACCGGACAAATATTTTTGCATTTCAATAATATTTATATATGTTACATTTATATGAGTATTTCAAGTTTACAGCGAGAAGTATTAATATAATAAAAGCGTTAAATTAATATTAATAGTTTGTATTCAATAATTATGCATTATGCACATATTTCAAGAAAGACTTTATAACACTGACTAATTCATAATATTGTACTGTTAATTATTCCAGCATATTATTACCAAAATTATACAATCTTTTTCATCGTGATAGGAACATCGCAGATATTCCAACGTCTAGCAGCAATCAGCTGCCAACTTGTAACACTTTGAGAAATTACTTTGATAATTTTTGTTCCGATTTAAATTCTGATAGGGCAGTGGAGTCTACTGAAGAAGGTAATAGGACTAATCTTAAGCGTAATTATTAACACTGCTTTTTCGATTTAACATAAAGCGATATAACTTAAACTTATAAATATATTGAGTATGTTGCGAACTCATAATTTTTTTAATTACTTACATATCATGCATCGACAGAGCAAAATTTTTATTTTTCAAATATTTATTAAATATACTAGTTTATTAATATTTCGACCGTTAAAACGAAATGTGGGCAATAATTTGTACTGGCCAGGTAGGTCGAAATATTAATAATTTGTATGGTTTTACTCATCACTAGCGACGTATTTAAATTTATCGGTATGTTTTAAATACTTTTTAAAATATTTTTTTTAAATTATTTATTATTTGTACTTGATAGTTATTATACACATAAAACGTTTTACATATTTATATAAACGAGAATTTATTTTGGTATTGATTAATTCAGTAATTGTTATTGTTATATAATTCTGTGAAAATTATCAAATATTGTAGATGATTAACACGATCTTCCTGATATGTCATCATCAAGCAATTTTCCTTCTGCTGATACTAATAATGAAGATATTGATTCGTTTTTTAAAAGTATTGACAAGGACAAGTTATTTAAATCGGTACCGTGGAGTAAAGATTCATCTAATAAATAATTATTTACACTGCTTTATTAATGTAACATGAAACGAAATGGTACGAAATTATAATGATAATTGTTTTGCGAACATATTTGTCAATTAACTATCTATCGGGCAACTGCGTTTTAAATTATTTACACTTATAATACTATTGTTCATTATAAAACATAAATTTATTGTTAATTCTGTAAAATTAGTTCTTTAAAAGTATTGTATTAACAAAGATATTTTATTTAAGCTGTTATAATATTTTTATGTCTATTTTCAACGCGTCGCTTAATACGTATTTGTTTTTAATTATATATAGTAAATAGAATGTATTAAATAATTTTATATTTTGCATGATCTATATTCGGTTTGACAAATTCTTCTCAAGATTATTGCACAGATATTTAATTCTAACGAAAAAATTTAGTTTCGTTGGGATAACGCACTGTTTTCCGCGATTGGTTCTTATTGCCTGTTTTACACTTTAAATTTATATTAATATTATTAGTTTGTATTCAATAATTATGCATTATGCACATAATTCAAGTAAGAATTTATAAGACTGTTTAATTCATAATATTGTATTGTTAATTATTCTAGCTTATTATCATCAAGATTATACAATCTTTTTCATCGTGATAGGAACACCGCAGATATTCTAACGTCTAGCAGCAATCAGCTACCAACTTGTAACATCTTGAGACCTTACGTTAATAATTTTTGTTCCAATTTAAATGCTGATATGGCAGTAGAGTTTACTGAAGAAGGTAATAGAACTAATCTTAAGCGTAATTATTAACACTGCTTTTTGATTTAACATAAAGCGATATAACACAAACTTATAAATATATCAAATTTGTTGCAAACTCATAATTTTTTAATTATCTATATATCAAGCATAATTGACAGAGCGAAATTTTCATTTTTCTTATATTTTGTAAATACTTTTTAAAAATATTGTTTTAACATATATATTATTTGTACTTAATAGTTATTTTATACATAAAATGTTTTACATACCTATATAAACAAGAATTTATATTGGTATTGTTAAACTCAGTAATTGTTATTGTTATAATTATGTAAAAATTATTAAATATTTCAATTGCTAATATTCTTGAAGATATTGCACACGCTGATATTGACTAAATTGATTCGATTTTTAACAGCGAAGTAAATCAGTTATTTGAATGTAGTGGAGAAAAAAGTCATTTAATGTAATCTAATGAAAAATTATTTACAGTTTTTTTAATATAACATAAAGCGAAATAGTACGAAATTATAATGACTATTTAGCAAACATAGTGTATGCTAATTAACCACTTATCAGGCAGCCGTTTTAAATTATTTATATTTATAATACTTTTGCTTTTGTTATGAGACATTGTTCATTATAAAACAAATTTATTAGTGATTCTGTAAAATTAGTACTTTAAAAGTATTGTTAACAAAGATATTTTATTTAAGCAAATATAATATTTTAGTGTTTGTTTTCATCGCGTTGCTTAATACGTATTTGTTTTTGAATTATTTATAATAAAGAGAATGTATTAAATATAATTTTATATTTTATATTCGGTTTAATAAATTCGGTTTAATTCTTCTCAAAATTGGAAGACGAATCGGGTATAAGAATATTGAAATAATAATTCATGTGCGCAATGTATTCTAATTTGTAACAAATATTCGCAATAAACTTGATTCCATATCGTGTATCGCATTGTTCTTTTTGTAAAAGTGTTTCAATTTTAGTTATTTAATCTATTACATTTATTATACATCTATATAAAGTCGTACAAATTTTAATCTGTAAGTGGATACATTTTGGCTAAGATCGATGGAACTGAAAATATAAAATCGAGTGAGTGGATGTGCACTCGTATGTGACTGTCTGTCCGACATTAGGAAAAACACATTAGTTCTGAGTCTATAAAACTCTCTGTGATAGTAAAAGGCAAAGCCTGTCTCGGCATAGTAGATGTTCCTATTAACTAAATTATAGTTTTCCGTTATCAATTAAGCACTCCATTCCAGAAATAAACTTATATTGTTAACATGCACGAATAGTGAAATAAAACAAATCAAATACAAGTAAACGAAACTCACGGAATATATAATTCTCGAACATGTAAATAACCATGTACACGTATTTCGTTTATTAATTTAAAAATACACTAAATTTAATTGAGCAACAGTCTGATATTTTACCATCAATCGACCCGTCATTGATACATAGTCGTAGTTGTAAAAATTTGCAGTGAAAAATATGCAGCGCTATATGGTTTTCTCTTTCGCTATATTATAAAAAAGTACTTAGTTCTTAAATACTAGTAAGCTCTCTTATTTTCATTGTTCCATTTATTAAGAACGAATGATTGTTAACCGTTGTTCTATTATAATTAAACTTGTATTATACATATTTTAGATTTTGTACATTTATAGAATCGGTCATTTTAATAAATTTACAGACACTAATGTAAAAGCTACATTGCATTTATTTAAATGAAAATGATATTATCTTGATTGCGGCACAAAGTGTAATATTTTTTGTACTCTTATCTACGTACCTTTTTTCTCTTAGTTGCGCCTTAAACGGATGATTTTACTCTGAATTTTGAGAATTATTTACACTCTGTATAGTGCCATCTCATTGTTTACAAATGTAACAGATACTTTGTTTATTCACGCGTAAGAAACGAGCACAGACCTATTTTAATTGATTATTTTTTGTTACGTCAAGTGCTGCATTCGAGAATCAATTAGTAAATCCAAAATTTGCTGGCATTCATATTGTTGCTCCGTAGTTAAGACATCCAATGCTGCAATCAATTGCCTGAACGTATTGGCAAAGTCCTGCTCGTTTACGATCACCAGATCGATATATATTTCTTGTAGAGTCTTTGCAAGGCCACAGATTGCAATGTGAATTTCAAGTCATCCTTTTAGTAATAAATACATTAATTATTTAACTTATTTTATTGTAAGGATAATTTTTTTAAGTATTGCTTTATACACGCGACACAATGTTTTACGCAAAAGATGTATTTATCCGAAAAAAATTATTATTTTGAAGAAATATACGCAACTCTGGCTAACAAAATTGGCTAAGTAAATTGAATATTATTTAGTGTATTTCAAATCTTTATTGTTTATATTATATTTAAAATTATTCAACTTCTTGATTTTTATTCTTTTATTTATTTAATAATACATATAGTGTGTGAAACACAATTTAAACGAAATCACAAATGTAACTTATTTTCCTGCAACTTCAAGCGTAATAGTTTGGAAAATGATTAATATTTGCAAATAAGAAATATTTTAATCGGCTCTCAGTATTAAATAATAATAATATAAATAAAATATCTTAAACCAGCCAATAGAGCCCAAGCGCGAAAATTAATTTTTTCAGAACTGTATCTTTGGTACGAGATTACTAAATTCTATATAATAAGTAACTTTGAACTTAATAAAGCGAGAAAAATATAGGTCCAAATATAGGTTCCCGCTTCAGCGACTTTTCGGACCTATATTTTTCTCGCCTATTTTTCTATTATGTGTAAGTTCAAAGTTAATTAATATATGAAATTTAGTAATTTTGTACAAAGAGATACATTTCCGAGAAACTTAATTTTCGCGCTTGGGCTTTATTGGCCGGTTTAAAATATCATATTTATTATTATTGATTAATATTTGCATGTGTGGTGATGATAAAAGAAGTGATTTTCCCGCGATGCGTTTATGATATAATGCCGAAAGAACTATATAATTTTTACGTGACAGCCACGTACGTTGACACGTGGCATATAACTGGCTGGCCGTGCGGCTGTTTAATATTAATTACAGTCATTTAATATTTGACATACATTAGGTTTTAATACCATTTTCATGTTAATAAGTTGCAAGTATTATAGTATTATATTTTTTCAAGAGGAAATTGTTTTCTTGAAAATATTTTTTTTAATTTCTATGAGATTATGTTCAGAATATGCTAAAACGTCGAAAAATTATATTAAAAAAGAATATACGTGTCTATCCCTTGAAAATTTAATTTTTCAAGAACATTATTGTTTGAGTTGTAGTGCTTTAATATTTGGCGTAAAATTAAATATTTATTATTCATATATATAAAATTTTATAAAATGTTTCAAATATTAATGTAATTTTAATTTTTTTAAAAATATTTTGTGGTTTCTCTAACTTCTACAAATTTTGAAATATCGGAATAAATTTTTTTACATAAATTACATAATCGTTATTATATACAAATATAATCATTATTATATATGTGGTATTGAATTAGAATATCGATGCAAAAGAGTCAATTTTTTCTATAAAATTTTGAATTTTTTAAATAAATGTCTGCATAATTGCTCTAACTTCCATAAATTTTTAGGTATTGAATTAAATTTTATATTTACGTAAAATATAAAATATGGATGCGTAAAAATAATTGGTATTATTGAATTTGGCGAGAATTGGTAAAAGAATTAACTTTTTAATGAAATTATGAAGTGTTAAATGCATTTTTTATTAACATTTGCAAATTTTGAGGTATCAAATTAATTATATTCTCGAATAAAGTATTGTTAAGGTTGTTCATTTTTGTATATATATATTTTTGTATATTTTCACATTTTTAAAAAACATCAATTTTCGTATATTACGAAACAAACATTCAAAAATAGGTATATATATCAAAATAATACATAATTCTCGTTGTGTTAACTAATAGGGCTCAAGACATGCCAAGTTATTATATAAATATAAATTTATTATTTGTCATGCAAGAACAATTTCTTGAAAGTATTGTGTTAATTACTGTATTAATAACATATAAACAAATATTAAATTTTTTGTTTTTATATAATTAGTAGACTCATTCGATTTGTATTGACTGCAATAAAAGTAATATATAAAGTTAATGCAATTTTTATAAATAAAATACATAAACATAAAATTATAAAAAAATAAATGTGACGGTACATTTTTAATTTATTTGAAATTATTTGTAATACATGTGATTATAAATTATATTTTAAATCGTTTTTTAAACTGTGGAATGATCGATACTGGATTATTGCTACCTATAATCGTCAAAATTGAGAAACACGTTAGACAGTTTTAATATTTGTATATCAATATTTACATTTCTAGAAGGAACCATACATCTTCTTGTGACCTCTTTTTCTATTATCAACATTTCTTCACACATATATTTTTCGTTTAAATAATTATTTCTTTGTAACCTACAGAAGTGCACGATCTACAGAGCAATCATCATGGCAGATAAGTCAGATAGGTCAGATTACGATAAAGGTAATACCAATTTATGAGATTATGGATCAATTATATCATTTCTGTCGTGCATTTTAATCGACTGATTCAATTAAAAAATTGCCTCTTTAATACTGATCAACTCTATCTACATTTAAAATGATCTGTGCTTTTCAGCTAAAAATTCTTAAATTGAATCGATCGATTGAAATAATCGGAGATGGTGAAAATGGCCTACATATATATCACATCGAAAAATATTAAGGCAACATATTTCTGATCATTTTTATCAAATCCATCGAATTTAAAATAATATATAATTGAAAATCTTGAAATGTTACATAGTGATGATATAGTGAAATCATGTACAAAGAATAGAATCATGATTTCAAATATTTAGGACGTCTTTATCACAAATATATTATAATATTTAAGTTAACTTAAACATAGCTAATATTATATATATAATAATATACATAATAATTTAATAGTTATAAAGTATTAATATATATATATGGTGCGAAAAAAAAGTCACATGTTTCGAGATAATATTACTGATCAAATCAAGAAAACGAAGTCCAATTAACTATTTTTTATAATAAATTTCCTTGAAGATACTGATTATCTTCCTATTTATTGTCTTTTTAATAATATAAATTTGCATGTTATTATACTTAGAAATTTTATAA